ACCTCATGGCGCCACAAGATAAGAGAATTTTGTAAGATGGGTGAGGTTTGGACCAAAAGCAGCACCGACTAAGAACGATGATTGGTAATGAACTTTTATTGTTAAGTAGATGCAGGTAAATAAACACAGTTTCAATTCAAAAGGGGAAATGGCAGTCTTTGAGGGGGCTGGGGAAAATCCGAGGGCCCAGAAATCAAAGCTGTGGATGAGGCAGCCGTACCTGGCAGAGGGTATGGTCGGAACCAGGCAGAGGACCGAAAAAACCAGCAAGTGAGTAACACAGGAACCACTCACAATGCGTCGAGACGCAGGATCTCTGTCCCAGCGATGATCAATGCGGAACGAGGAGAAACTCACACGCTCAGCAGCGGAGGTGGAGGACTCAGAGCAGCCCCGAGAAACAGGCAGACGAAGCCAGGGAGAGGCAAGGCAGAATAATCGTGGTCAAAAAACAGAAGGCTGAAGTGAATTACGACGGGGCAGCCGAGAGGCGGGTAGGTCGGGAGCAGGCAGGGTAACGGAACCGCGGAGAGTCAGATGAAGAGTAAAACGCTGGAAAGTCTTTCATGCGGAACAAAGAACAATCTGCAGTTGAGTGTGGAGGAGAGGTGGAGCTTTTAACCAGGCTTGATTGCTGAAGAGCTGCAGCTGAGGTGAACAGGTGAATGAAGTGCACTGACAGGTGGTGTGGTTGGCAGATGGGAAAAGAGTGAGCAGGAGTGGTAGAGTGGAAACAACAATGAGGCATATTGAGTGGAAAACAACTAGAACAGCGTATGACCATGGAGGACAAACCATACAGATATTACTCTCTCATAAACTTGGCACTTGGCCCCCGAGGTTAAATCAGAAGTGACATACCTAGGCATTATTTTAGACTCCAAATAAAATTTTAACTCACATATAAAGAAGGCGACCAAAACAGCTTTTGTCATTTAAGAAATATTGCCAAAGTACAGCCATTCCTAACCCACAAAGACTTTGCAGGTTCTTAGTGGTTTTATAACTCTTTATGAGGTCTCAGATCTTCTACTACCAGAACTTTTAAATACACATAATTTTACACAAGCTTTTTTTAACTATAGCCCCTGCCAGTGAACATTTTTAACAAAATCTCTGAAAACCTATTTATTAACTTGGCTTTTAATTAATTCTCTTATATTTTATTATTTTTATTGGTTTCTGTTTTTATCTTCATTAACATATTTTATCATCGTTTGTCTTTCTATTGTCTATTTCAGTGTCCTTTAATCTGCCCTCATTTTATCATACTACCTGATTTTTTTTTTCATTGTAAAGCCCTTTGAGCTACATCTCTTGTATATAAGAGGTTTCTAAGGGTCTTCTAAAGATTATATTTTGACCCACCTCCTTTTCATATACGATTATTTACAACAAATATAAAATATACCAACAATATCCCCTCATAAGGTAAAAATATTTAGTGCTGTGATGTTGGCTTTATGAATTAATTATCAATGTGGTTCCTAGTTACCTTTATGTAGCGCCTATGGCCATGCAAGACCTATTTCCACACTCAGATTCAAACCCATTCACTGTTCTTTACCATTATAAGACACCAACCCATTCCTCAGCACCGACATATATCACATGCTGCTAGCTGAGATCAAGCTAGCAGAACTCATGGATCTGAGTTAAACGATAATTATATATAAACCCCATTTTATTTGGTATCTATTATGTATTCACTAATTCGACACCATATCTGCATTCATTCGAAAAAGTTGCGATATGTTTATGAAGCAACTCTCGAAGACCTCTCCTAGTATGCAAGCTTACGTATATAGGTGTGTATAACCTGCTAACTCTATATCACCTGGTGATGTTACGAGAAAGCCACACTAAATAGTAACCAGCCAATGACCTCCGTCTATGATATTCGAGACATCAATTAACAAGCCAATAATTAAAAATATATAACAATACAATACGCTATTATATATAGCCAATGTACATGCCGTGTACACGAAGCGAGTCTGCAGAACCAGGACTTCATCATAATAGTAAGGGCGGACTATCTATACCTCATAGCAATTCCGACTAGATCTACCGCCAATAACACAGTATAGAGCCTGACCGCTGCTGCCAATATATGTACATAGCGGTATCTTGAGTTGGTGGTAACATAAATAACATACCAAGCGCGCACTGAGACCTCTCATGCTGTTATAGCACTCCAAGTGTCTGCGTATTCACCACTGATTAAAAAATACTAACTAGCTGCATAGAGACTCTTGCGTATAGATCGATACAAGACAGAACTGAGAGCGTGACAAACAAAAAGGAAATCTACTATACAACATACTTATTCTATCAATCCTATCTAAGTCTATAGCTTTCTATTGCATGTGGTCTCTCTGCTCGTTAGAGAGCCTGAAAATCCAACCTTGCGTCCTATCAGCTGTTCCTCTAGCAACTCTTCCTAAATTACATACCCGGCAGTGGTTCATACAAGTCAGCAAGAGTGAACTGAGCAGCGACAGATTCAAGTCGCGATGATAGCACATACAGAACCCTAGAGAGACCGCTTGATAGTTGATATCACCAACGAGTATGACCTGTGAGAAGCTCGTCTATTTCATTTCAAGAGGTTAAATCGTGAACCACACATAGTGATCTTCGTAGACCTCTTAATGCGCTGTATACACTACGTAGTGATCAATAGAAAAAGCGATGGTGAGACTCTGTTCATGTCAGTCTCTGCAGCCTATGTCAGTCCCAAGTACCTGCTCACATTTAGTTAATTGCTCAATTTGTTTTGTTCCAACGCCGCAGTTCAGCGAGTGCTGTGTTGTACATGCAGTTGCTTTAGAACATGTAATCCCAGGATAATGAGAAAAAAATGTGCTATGTAAAATCTCAAATGAGACGAAAAGACACATACTCTGATAGCACGGAGATATTCGCCGACATCTCATCCGATATGGATTGATGTCACATAGGCAAGAGGATCACTCAGCGACAATGCGCGGCTCAATGGCAAGATACACGGTGACGCTATGCTAGCTCAAGCAAGGGCTCCGCAGAGAAGCATAGACAAGTTTCTCTGCAACATGCGATGTTGACCCTCTCTCATGCGTAAATAGTATAAGCGATATAGATAGCATGACTATCTCTAATTGTGCTGGGGCGTGGGCTCTGCACATAGATAGCACACATGGTGCGAGTTCGTGTAATACCTGACGCTCTCTAGTTCTCTAATTCTCTTATATCATTAATATGTGAAGTGCCACCACTCTCTGTCATATGCATCATTCTCCCGCGACGTTAGCTGTGTATCATCTACATAACTGTGAAAATTTAATTTATGATGATCATAACGCCCTTTGTACCCTCACCACTGGCATGGCAGTAGTAAAAAAAAAAATTGGATTGATTAGCAACTTCCTGAAACTAAATGAAGATAAAACCGAAATTCTTCTCATTGGCCCACAAGATAAGAGATTTTGTAATGGGTGAGGTTTGGACCCAAAAGCAGCACCGACTAGAACCGATGATTGGTAATGACTTTTATTGTTAGTAGATGCAGGTAAATAAACACAGTTCAATTCAAAAGGGGAATGGCAGTCTTTGAGGGGCTTGGGGAAAATCCGAGGGCCCAGAATAAAGCTGTGGATGAGGCAGCCGTACCTGGCAGAGGGTAGGTCGGAACCAGGCAGAGGACCGAAAAACCAGCAGGTGAGTAACACAGGAACACTCACAATGGTCGAGACGAGGACTCTGTCCCAGCGATGATCAATGGGGAAACGAGGAGAACTCACACGCTGCAGCAGCGGAGGTGGAGGACTCAGAGCAGCCCCGAGAACAGGCAGACGAAGACCAGGGAGAGGCAAGGCAGAATCGTGGTCAAAAACAGAAGGGCTGAAGTAATTACCAGGGCAGAGACGAGGCGGGTAGGTCGGGAGCAGGCAGGGTCGGAACCGGGAGATCAGATGAAGAGTAAACGCTGGAAAGTCTTTCATGGGAACAAAGAACAATCTGGCAGTGAGTGTGGAGGAGAGTGGAGCTTTTAACCAGGCTTGATTGCTGAAGAGCTGCAGCTGAGTGAACAGGTGAATGAAGTGACTGACGAGGTGGGTGTGGTTGGCAGATGGGGTGAGCAAGGGAGTGGTGAGTGGAAAACAACTGAAGGCAGGTATGTATGGAGGACAAACCATGACAGATTTACTCTCTCATAAACTTGGGCACTTGGCCCCCGAGGTTAAATCAGAAGTGACATACCTAGGCATTATTTTAGACTCCAAATAAAATTTTAACTCACATATAAAGAAGGCGACCAAAACAGCTTTTTGTCATTTAAGAAATATTGCCAAAGTACAGCCATTCCTAACCCACAAAGACTTTGCAGGTTCTTAGTGGTTTTATAATCTTTTATGAGGTCTCAGATCTTCTACTACCAGACTTTTAAATACACATAATTTTACACAAGCTTTTTTTAACTATGCCCCTGCCAGTGAACATTTTTGAACAAAATCTGAAAACCTATTTATTTAACTTGGCTTTTAATTAATTCTCTTATATTTTATTATTTTTATTGGTTTCTGTTTTTATCTTCATTAACGTATTTTATCATCGTTTGTCTTTCTATTGTCTATTTCAGTGTCCTTTAATCTGCCCTCATTTTATCATACTACCTGATTTTTTTTTTCATTGTAAAGCCCTTTGAGCTACATCTCTTGTATGAAAAGTGCTCTATAAATAAAATCATTATCATTATTGTTATCATTATTATTATCAATGTTGGTTCCTTTTAACCAGCAATATTTCTTTAACATTAATGTTTTTAGTTTTCTAAAGTAAACCACATCTTAACCACAAACCTTGACATGACTTGACAGACTCTTTTTGGGTGAAATTAATTCCCATGGTCATTGACTAATCCATATCTGATCATTCGAAAAAGGTAGATTGGAAACTTGAGATATACAGTACATGGTTTAACCCTTGTCATTGCATAGTGTACTCAGAAAACACACATAGCCACCAAAAGTTAATTTTAGCTATACAAATTTTATTAAAATACAAAGACTTGGTATGTATGCCTTCATGTCTGCAGAACCAGGCATTCATATAATAGTACGTATTATACAATGATACGTCCTCAGTGCTGCTGACCGCTGCTTTTATTGTCATGGAGCTGATTGTAGACATCTAGAACCCACTGGAAAGTCTGGCTGTAGCAGATCTGTTTCCCTCTAACAGTGTGGACTCTGTAAAACATACAGACAATGCAAAAAAAAACATAAAAAAACATACACCTTCTTTTGTTCTGTGGTCTTGTGATAAAGCTTAAAGGTCACAGGTCGTGCATTCTTCTATTCACTGTTTCAGTTACAAGAAATAAACAGCAAAAGTTCAAAGCCAAAACTTACATGAACGCCTGCTTTGGACAGGAGCTGTGGCTCTTGGTTATGCTGATTACGAACTTTAATGGTAAACTACGTGTATAAAAGTTGAAGCAGCAGTCCGCAGGTGCTGTGTTGTACTGCAGTGCTTTAGCTGTAAGGAAGGGAAATGGATAAAGTCAATGCGAAACACATCTCTGAGCAAACTCTGAAGATGATAAGGAACAGAGAGCACTCACGCATGGCTTGGCAGACGGTGAGCAGCAGCAGCAGCCCCAGAGTGAAGCAAGAAGTCTTCATGATGGTGTCAGCGAAAAGGTGATGATGATGATGTTCTTTGTCTTTTTTCTTCTCTGCTGTGATGGACGCTTAGCTCTGCAATCCAATATAAAGCCTGTCCAGTTTTTGTCATCTTTTCCCCTACCCCCACCTCCGTGCTTTCCACTGCTCTAGAAGGGAAGTTACTGTTTTTTTAGATCTAATCTCTTGTGCCACCGACAATGGAAGAACATGTGCAGCATTTATCTTTACATCTTGGTTTTTATTGAGTTGGTGGAATTTTCATCACAGACTGGAGTTTTCAACAACTACAAAGAGCACACAAAGAGAACAGATACACATTTTATTTGGATAATACTCAGATTCAGTGAACATTTTGTCACCACTAGAGCACATCAACTGATAAGCCAGGGGCCTCAAGGTGGGTCTTGACCCTGAGGTCTTGTCTATAAGAGAGTACATACAGTGTCGAAGTCAAAGTCTTCATTATATAGTTTTAATGGCTGTAGTATTTTATACTCATAGATTAATGCATGAAATCACATTTACCCCCTAGCAATTCTAAGAAAGCATAGAAATGTTGTACAAAATGCAAGTGGCAGTAATGTGGGGTAAATAGTGGCCCAGCATCTTAATTTTGCACCGACTCCCCAAAGCAGATTAATCCAGATGTGAATCCACCGACAAAAGGAAACAGGATCAGAGAAGCTAAACTACTAAAGTCAGTTTACAGGTTAGTGGATTTTTAAATGAAACATATGTTAGCTTCCAATTTCTATAGTCCTGGAGGACTGACCACACAGCAAGAGTGAGTGTGCAGGTGCTGATGGTGTTCATTTTAAAGGGTTATTCACACAAAATAAAAAACAAACAAACAAACAACTACAAAACGTTTTGGTCTAATTAAATTTTTTTTAATAAAAAATGCCTTTAATCAAACGACTACATGATTCTAGATAAAGATTAAAAAAAAATACCAGACACAAACTCATATTGTTTCTGCCTCCGCCAGAGTAAACTACATGACTAGTTTAACACGAGTGGAGTTCCCCCACTAATGCAAATCTGTGTTGCGCACACAAAGTGATGGAGATAGCAAAATGAGACAAGATCTTATCACAGCTATTTTCAGACGTGTACACAAACCCAGGCTTGGCAATGTTTAGCAGTGCAGCTGTGACCTATTTAGATCACTTTCGTGCAACCCATTCAATTTCCTCATGCTTACCATCTGTAATTTATTTGCATTACTGTCACTATAGTGTCAGGCTGTCACTATAATGCAATGAGCTTTTTATAGCCTGTAACATACTTTATTTATATAACTTCCTAATGAAGATGCTGTACAATTAAAGAAGCATGTATTACATGTGTTTCAGCTAAACTACTGATATGTAAGACTTTGACAAAATATTCAAGAAAAGTTTCACATTCAAAAAATTGGAATCCCCTCCTCATGGTTGTCTGCCTCCTCCTCTCAGATTAGTTTCAGGTTATATCCCTGTTTATCAAGAGTCATAGAAAATATGAAGCATTTGTGGGAAATTCTGTCATAATTGCTGTGTGAAGTCTTGAGTAATGGCTAAAAAGTGTTTTGTGAGGAAAGAACAAACAACCTGAAAACAATATAGCTCTGACTCTGACTGTCGGTGGCGCGGCGGCATAAGAAAAGTGTAAAACTATTGACAGGTGTAAATAGTTCCTTCTTCCCAAGATGCATGAGCCACTCAAAAGATGTCAAACATGTGTATAAGGTATCTCACAGTACACCATGACATACTGTGGTCTAGCAGTGGATCTCACTGCCCCATACGCAAATGTAATATTTGTACATAATTTGAATTTCCTATATGACATAAATACTACATATAAAATGGAAATATATATGTAAAAAATCATATCATATATTGACATATATGTCTAGCCCATACAAATATCTATGTTTATGTGAACTTGTGAACACCACAATTTAGAATTTGCACTCATTGTTAAGGGGGCACCAGTCCTCAGGGAGGACAACAATTAATTATTTCATTGATTAATGTGATTAATCTCATATCAGAGGCTGTGACTTTTGATTCAATGGATCTCTTGTAAATGAATTAACAATAAATGCAACATTAATAATCATAAAGATGAAAATAATAATGAAATGAGCTGTGTGGTGAGTTGGCAATGGTGGGAAATAATATGTTATGGCTATACACTATGGCTATACAGCTAATGATACTACATCTACGAATGTAATTTGATGATTAAATATTGTCATATTTCGACATCAACCCAGACATGAGCAGAATGTTGAGACCGGCCTACTGTGAGTTGTGCTGTAACTTGAGACCCTTGGCTGCAACCCATCCACTACACACATTTTTATATTTTAGACGTGTTATATAAATATATATCCATCCCAAAGCCTGATATTTAGACAGCAGGGACCAAGAGTCTGAGGTCACTTTCCCAGAATGTGAAGATAGACATGTTTAAAATTAATGAGAAATTAATTAGAAAAACATATATGAGCATATAGAATTTTTATAATTATATTGTCTCAGTAAAGTTCCATATATATCATTAACATATAAGGTAGTAACATCTTATACCATGTAAAATTGATCATATAGATATTTTTAATACACAAATTTTACTATGAGTATTTTATACATGTTATGAACCTATATATTCATATATCCAGAGGCTATATGTGATAATAATATAGGGACATATATGTCATAAATTAAATTTCTGTGTGGGGATGTAATTCAGCCTTCACTTACTAATATTAAAATGACATCTGACCTCTGCTACTGTCTCAATAAAAAGAAATCAAATAAATAAACATACTGAAAACAAACAGTGTCCTCACCGAACCCTGCTACAAACCTGTGTACATAATATAAATTGATTGTATCACCGTCAAAAACAGGTTCCATCAGCTGAATGTCAAGGGAGAGATGTTATCATAGCAGCATGAACAACTGTGTAGCTAATTTTAACAAATGAACATCCTGTTTACTATGGTTTCTGATTCTGACACATCAGAATAAGAATTATTGGTCAAGTATGTTTGTGCATGCAAGGAATATGACTCTGGTTTCCATTGGCCCTCAGTGTACTTATAGGCCTACATACAGCCCCAATAACAACATTCAGGAAGATACACATGGATATACAGCAAAAACATGGACAACAAAACCGAATTAAGATAAATAAACATAAACACATGACTATTACATGTACAATCATGTAGGTGAAAGATAGATACATATATTTAAAAAAAAAAAAAAAAAAAAAAGATGAATGCAGACCAATAGTTCCAGCTTTGCCACATTGGTTCACCTCCTCACAGGCTTGACCACAGGCGTTGCAAATTTTATTTTCTACCTGTAGGAAGATAAACCCGAGCAAACAGAATGCACTCCACAAATCGTGTATTAAACAAATCTTTAATGTTTTAAACCTAAGCTGCCTCACCCAACAAAACACAGATTTGTACCGTTTTTGTTCAAAGCTCTACAAGAGGCCCATTCAACTGCCCCCCGATCAACATATAAGGGACTCTTGATTTGCGTGTTTATTTGGCTGATTACGGTAAAACGGCCTCACTTCGAGCTATTCAGCAGGTACAGACGTGGAATCAGATTATTGATTTCTGTAGTCCGCTGACCTAACAGGGCCTGCGGTGCTCAGTCTGATCCCAGATCAGCACTCTGCCAGAGTATTTACGGGACTCCAGTTGTTTGTTCTGCTGACGTCAGAAGGCCCGCTGAAATTCGAAGTTAGGGGAGGAGACTAAAAGCATAAAACAACAAGAAGGTTGTTCCTTGCTTCCAGTCAGTTAGCGTTGACCTGGTTTATAACTTTAATTTCATACATACTTCTTTTCAGGTAAGACAATGAACGACTTGCTGTGCAGTTATCTTTAGCTCTGCTAAGTTTGTAACACGCTTCCAAGACAGTTTTCTTCCGGCTAAACTTAGCTTGCCATCCTAAGCTAGGCTAACGTTTTGTTGGCCAACTTTGGATAAGTTGAATTGAAATGAGCTGGCCAGGGTTGACTCAAAAGTCAGTGTTGCTAACATAAGCTGGCTAATGTAGCTCATTTAGAGGCCACTGTCAAGGGGTCGGTTGTCAATTCTCAGAAATAGTAGAAATATTAAGGGTAATATTTTGAAGTGTTGATTTGGCTGACGTGCTAGTGCAGGTAGAAATGAATGTACAATTAATTTTGTATTGGCCTGAGCTGAAACTGAAAAGCTGGGGCGTTGTCGCATTTCGTTAAATTTGCGATACTACTGAAACGTTTTAGTAAAACATTTCTTTTTCCTCCCGCCAGTATAAAGGTGTGTGAGAGCTAGGTTTGAATTTTTAACCAAATGTCCTTCATGGCACAGTCACCTATAAAACTTGGACAATGATAATTACGTAAATGACCTTTACTGTCCGAAAATCTCTTATTTTTGTAACTCTCAGTGGGCAGCTTTAATGGTAGTATCAAAAGCAGGTGTTTTGTAGACATAACTCTTTAGACACCTGTCCCTTGTTTGTACTGCTGCTGTTGTGCTTGTAGGTTTCTGTTCAATAACAGTGAGAGCTGACATCTTAACAAAACATATCCACTCTGTAATGTCACAGTAGTTGCAGTTCAGTATGGAAGCTGGCGAGGAAACTAGTGGCAACATGAACTTGAAGAGACAGAGAGCACCTTTGTCAGATTCTGAAGACAATGTCCTCTCGTCATCAGGTTTGTTTGTCTGTATTAACAAGACTGTCAAGGTTCACATCTTTTATAAATACAGAATGTCCACATATTTATAACAGTATTTCAGGTCTTTGTATATGTGACATATATCTTGTCACAATTTTTCTGTCATATATCTCAGAGGTGAATGATGTCCAGAAGCGGCGGCGTCTGGAGGCAACTGGTCAGGAGAATCGTAGCCCTAAACCATCCAACTCTGGACGCTTGGTTGAGCTAGGGACAAAGCCAGACACACCGATGGTTCCCTCAGTCCGGTCCCGAGTCCAGCAGCTCACCCAGCGAAGAGAGGGTAATCCTAACTTTTACTGTTGAAGCAGACACTCTAATGTTTTGTCCACCCATTTTTTTTTTCATTAATGAGGGTGACTAAGCATTAGAGCCACCTCAATGTATAAGGCAAAACAATTCAGCAGAAGACCCTCAACAAAGTACAACCTTTTAAATGACCATAAAGCCATCTCCAACTCCTCTCTAAAACTGATTCAACAAAAACCTACATTAAGGTAGAATTTATTAAAGGTCTGTTGTATTAGATTGCATCAGTCTCTGCTACGTGGCACTAATAAACTGGTGCCCAAGTGTAAATGTGTACATATCTGTACATACAATGTGTTATGGTGTATATTGGCAAGTAGTAGTACTCTTCCAGATTGTGACTTGTCATGGCAAGTTCAACACTCAATATGGATTATCTTCATACAAGTTGATAACTATGTCCAGTCTGTGTCAAGCCGATGTGACAGTTTGGATGTTAGATAAAATAATTTTTTTTTTGTAGGAGCTCCACTGGCCCAGAGGTGCCTGTCGGATCCTGGGGCTGTCAGCCCATCAGCCAGCATCTATGACAAGGGCTTGAAAGAGCATCTCCTCGGTAAGCATGCAGAGGAACACACATTTAAAAACCTCCTGAGAATAAATATCAGACTTGTCTGTTGAATGCAGTGCTACTTTGATATTTCCAGATTTCAAAACAACATGTACAGACATGGAAACTTTTAATAGATGGAAGTCAGTACAGGGCTGCACAATGTAATCATTTTGCTTGTATATGCAAGTGAAAATTAGTGTGCAGAGTTCCTCCGGATGCCTGTTCTAAACCAGTTTTTCACTTTGTAAGGAGTGGGAGCATTTTAACAGTCCTTGAAGAAACCGCAGTCCCCACTCCCAAACCAGTCCCTCCTCCCTCCAGCAGTACCTGCCCAGCTGGAATTTATATCAGCAGCAGGAGGGAGGAGAACAAAACATGAATGACTGATAGGGCCTGATTTCTATGTTAATAATTCAGTTCATTCATTTAAACTTCACCCAGTGCTTAATGTGGGGAATGTTATTTACTTTATACAGATTTCACATTTAATTTCAAGGAAATGTTGTTGAGTTTATATAATGGACAGATAAAGAGAATTGATGAGAGTACTAGAATAAATAAAATCCTAACTAAACCCATGCCTAGTTCTGACACAATTATTAGAAATGCACAACACAACATTAGCAAGCAGCAGCTTCTCATTTTTAGCCGGGGTTTATGTTCATATTCATTGTTTAACATCATATCATATCAGTTGTCACTAACTAATGTAAATTCTATTATTCATTTTAGAAAAAACTAATTTAGAAGACTCTATGCTGTTTTGAAAAGGGATGCGTTCATCAAGCACAATGCATACCTGGTCCCAAGTACATCTTATGTTTGAAATTTTTTAATTATCTCCTAGTTGAGTGTTTTTGCCCCTGTGATGTATGCATGCACCTAGCTACAGAGTCCTCAATAATAAAAAAAAAAAAAAAAAACCTAAAAAAAATTCTAAGCAACTTGGCAGCCGTTCCTGACATTTGTGGAAAAAATGGAAGCAGAGAATGTAATCTTGTGATATTTATGTTGCTCCCCTTTGGTAGTTGTCAGGAATGACAAGGAACTTTTACTCAGTGGCGTAGGTCTGGGCTATTGGATGGGTGGGTGGGTTTTGTGGGCACATGTTACTGGATTGGATACAGTTTTTGTACACAGAAAATACAAAAAGGCCTTGATCAACAAAACATGATGGTGACCATTCACTGATATCAGTACTTTGGCTGGCAAGGTATTAAGAGTTAGTTTAAAAAAAAAAATAAATAAATAAAAAGTTACAAAAAGAGTGAGAACCAGATTAGAGTTTTAGATCAGAATTTTTTTTGTGTTGCTTATGGCTTACATGGCGTTGGCCTTGTGTTACAATAACATACAGAACTCCACAAATTAAAACTACAGTGAAGCCATGAACTGGCCTATTTTGTTGCCTCAAACAGTGCATGACAGGCTTCCTGCAATGTTCCTTTAATGATCCCTCAATGAAATGTTTATATTTATTAGCATCAAGGATAGATTACCTAAACTGGGCTAGTTGTACTAATCCAAATCCACTTGAAGTACACACCCATTCAGCTGTAAATGTAGGAAAATATAAATAGATTAGAGTTTGGTATCAGCAGACCTTTTGATTGTAACAAGAAAGCATCATCAGGATAATGCAATGCAAAATTGTATCTATAAATTTGACTTAATTTTCTACTCATGTTTGGAAATTCATACCTGTTTGTCCCGCCAGGTGAAGAAGAATTCAATCAGCGAATGGAGCGGTTTAAAGCGCCTCTTGTAAAGGCTGCCCCTGCACTGAGCCCCTTAGACCTCTGTCCTCGAACCCGCTCCAACTTTGTATCTGACATTCATCAGAAACTCCAGGGCACTACAACACCCAGTTCCAAGGAGGCCTCTCGCATGCGCCAGGTTGGTTTCATTTTAAAATGAAAACGACCTCCGTCCAGACAAGCGTTTAACTCTTTAACTGCAAACAGGGAGTGGATTGTCTACTCTACAGTTGATTAGTTGCAGAAAATAATGAAGATAATGAAGTTGTTTAGATTACCTAAATAGATTCTGTCTGACATCTGACATGGTTTCCCGGTTCAGGAGCGGGAGCAGGAGTTGAACCAGCTGCAGTTCCAACCAATCAGTGAGAATGTCTGGCTGAAAAGGAGCAGCTCTGATCCCTCGTTAGCTCAGGTGGGTTTGTACTGTGATATTTTGTTAAACAATTAGGTATGCTTAATTCGTGGCAGTTTTGTCATGTCATATTGAATTTTCAGACATTTTGAAGGTAAATTTGATTTTCTTAGCTCCTAAACCACCAATTGACCATGATAAACTTGTGATTTTCTCACAATAATTTGTGTAAAATTGGATTCATTTAATTTGTGTATTAGATTACACCCAAGGATTTTTGATTCCAAAAAGACCTTACTCTCCAGATGACTGATAACTCATATTTTTAACATGTCATTTTTGTTTTTCTAATGTTTAGTAGACTCTTTTCCCTTTTGTTTGAGATTCATTACACACCTGCTTGTGTAAACATTAGCAGGGAAGGACCCCTCCTGGCCCTTCATCTCCCTCCTCCTGGATCCCTAGATCTAGAAGGAGAGTTCACTGGCCTCCCAAACAGCCCTGGGATGTGAGTCAGTGATAATAAAAAAAACCCTTTAGACTGTCTGCTCACTTTGTGCACATGGGCAAAACTGTAAATACATTACGTACATAATATTGACTTGGGCATTGATAAGAATTAAACTGGACAGGGAAATTTCTGTTTTAGGCAGAATTTCCCCATTTACATGTTCCAGTCGTCAGAGGAAGGAAGTTCACTTCTTACATGGTGCACCTTTTTAATTCTGTGGTGTGGTTTTGGGGATGTTGGCTGTCCACTGAAAAAAATAAAGGATTATCATCTTACTTATCATGAACACTAGTGAACAGTAACTGTCTTATGCCTTGTTTCATGTTGGAATCATGATGAGGTGGTGAACTGCTCCACAGAGAAGAAAATACTTTTTCTTTTAAGTTTCATTGTCACTATCCTCCTTAATTTCCCTGTAGTGAACAGTATACAGTCCAGACCATAAGTACTTGGACAGTTAGATGCTTCAGAAGTAATTGGACAGATACATGAAGTCAAAATCCTGTGACGCTCTCCCAGGCCTTCACTATTATCATCTTCACCTCATGGTCACCTCATTGAGCTGCTTCTCAATCTAACTCTAACTGTAACTCTCAACTGTTGGTCAGCTTGTGAGTTTCATATGTATGAACTTAAAACAACACACAACTGTTCAATTACTTTTGAAGCCTTGCGATTTGCATTTAAAGCTATATCTCCTGCACAGTTCTTTCTATATTGATGTAAACAGCAAATAAAAGCTGAGATTTGGCAATTTAATGTAGTATCCATTATTTTATGTCAAATTCAATGTACTAAAGGACAGAGCCTGAAGAATAGAAACTGTGGAAATGTCTAAATACTTACGGATTGGACTGTATAAATGTATCCTAGTTCATTTGCTTTTGTGGTTTGAGTTAGCTCTGGTATTCGGTGTGTATTGAAGATGACCTTCACATAAAATCACAATCCCAGCTGTTTGTTATGTTTGTTATTTTTCTCATTTGTTTGCAGTAATCTACAGTTCTGCTTCCCTACCTCTTATTCTGAAATGCCAGTGCTGATATTGTTTCTTTCAGGTTGATGATGCTGAGATGAAAGATGGCAGCTTCACTGAAGCTCCTATATCTGGTGCAGAAAAGCCACCTGTAAATACAGCAGGTGAGACTTTTGGTATCATGTTTTCCCTGATAGAGTTGATAATGAAATGGACTGTAGATATTTTCTATAACTTGTTCATACTTCGCCTTGGTAAAGTATGAATGTGTCAGGTTTAGGAATCTCCTGAATTGATGTACAAGGTCAGTATTGATGCCCATCCATCACAACACACAGTGGCTGTATACACAGTAAAGCCCAATTCAGAGATCTATTCCTAACCAGAGATCAACCAATCCAAGACATTGGTATAAACATTAGAATTAACTGGACTGCTCATTTGTTAGCTAGGTGTGATTGATCTGCATTAAATACGGAACAATACATAGAACAATATTATTAAAGTTAGTCCAGAATAAACTAATTTAGATGTATCGGTGTCTAATTAAGTGTGTGATGCAGTGTGAAGCAGTGAAGTGATGTTTTGTTATGATCCGATGTTACTTAACACACACACACTAATGATCCCACACCGTGAGGTGGGGCTGCTGGATTATGGCAAAAATCATAATCATGATATTTTTGATCAATATTGAGATCACAATTATATAACACTAGTACTCATTGACTTTGGAAACACCACATATTTATTAAGCTTTAGAAAAAACTTTGTCTTTTTAACAGTGGACTTTCTTGAACTTAAAATATGATTCAATGGAAAAATAAATTTAAAAAAAAATGTATTTAAAAAAAATTGATTAGATAAATAAAATAATCAATAATATATAATATCTAAATATATACAATTAAACACAAAAAATTATGGGGCGCCTCGGTGGCTCACGTGGTGGAGCACGTACTATTGAGGCTTAGTCCTGGCTGCAGCGGCCCGGGTTCAAATCTGACCTGTGGCCCCATGCTGCGTGTCATCTCCAGCTCTCCTGTCTCTCTCACTGTATCTAGAATAAAGGCATAAAAAGCCCAAAAAAATAAGTTTAAAAAAAAAAAAAACAGCAAACTGCTCAAGATAATGCACTCCTACATACATTACTATTGTACGCCAAGACGCAACCAGGAAGTGGATGGGGGAAGGGTTTTTGTAGGAGTGATGAAATTTGTTGCAAAACAATGCGGCACAATAACCATTTTATTGAGATTATCTTGTTTTCATAATTGTTGAAAGATTGTTGGAAGTTACAAAATCATAGTCAAAAATAAGATTAATTTCCCTACTGTGAGGCATACAGGCTTTTATTTCAAAAAGGAAAAAGCACTGGTATCAGATCAATAGTCAGCCAACCTGATTATTTCCTGGCTATGTTCTTTCTGCACATGCACGCCGTTTTGATGTAAATCTGTTTCTCTGCTTCCCAAAGATGACAGCCTCCAAGCTGAACTGGTCCACTACAGGGTGTGTTTTTAACACAAACTCCTGCAATGAACATTAGTTAACACCTAGATGATAAAAAGATGGCTGTTGAGGAAGACAAATGCACATAGTCATCACTTTTGCGCATGTTACAGCTGAGAGGGCTGCTGGTGAACTACTGCACAGTAAAAATACTGTCAAAGAAAAATTCCTGCAGTAAATCATTGTGTATTAAATTTGTTCTGGATTTCCATCATTACAATGCTGTTGAAGTTTGTTACTCAAGAATATTAATTGAGTACAAATGAGAAAATAAGCAATGTTAATTCTGTTTTCAATTTATTTTTGTTTTTTTCTCTTTCAAAACAACAAAATAAAAAGTATCGATAAGAGAACCGTTAAAGTACCGGATCAATAAGCAGTATCGATAAAAATAGTAGTACCGTTAAAATCTTAACGATACCCATCCCTAGTCACAGCTGTTCCAATTAAATGCATTGGTGCATGTAAACACCAGATCATACGAAATCACTTCCCCTGTAAACGTTCGGGATGATTTCAATCAGAATGAAAAGATGTCTGCATGTAAACATGGCAAGTGTTTTCTGCAAGCAGGAACACATCAATAGTAGCAAGAACAAAGAATTGGCACACACTTCTAAAATCCAGTCAGTCGCTTCATTTGATATCATGCCAGATGTGTTTCCTTTGTTATCAAATCACTGTCTTGCTCTACAGATTTTAACTAATGTTTGATTTGATATTAATACTTATTACCTGCTCTAAAGTATATTAAGTATGGTGCTTAGGCACCTAGTGTTAAGATGTGAGACTAATCTTTTAACAGGTGAAAGGCCACCTTGTGACTCTGACGCCCCAGCAGCATCTGTAGAGCTTGAAAGCTCCAGTGAAGGGCAGCTGCAAATGGAATGGAAGAACCAAAATTCTCATCAGGGTGAAGGACTTGTGAAGGAGAAAGACCATAAGGCTTTATTTGGAAATGAAGAAGAGCAGCTAGGGTCCCAAGAACCAGAGACCCAGACTGTACTGAAGTTGTCTTTTAGTGAGGATCAGAGTTTCTCCAAAACACCTTTCTTTGAGGATCAGAATGTGTCAGGTCATGAACAGACACCGATAGAATCAGCTCATCCACACGAGTCTGACGAGACGGAAACAGTGGAGGTTTCCGAAGTAACTGAACACAGCAGGTCAGATATGTTTTCATTTGAAGAAGATGAAACGATGGGTTCTTCTTCATATGGTGAAGAGGAGATTGAGCCTTCAACAGATGAGAAGGTATTGTTGTGGAGATATCCTCAATACAAGGTGTGCAAAGAGGAAGAGTCTATCATGTCTGAAGGACAGGAAGAAGATGTGTGTGCTAAAGAGGAGGAAGGAAAGTTGGAATCATCAAGAGTGGATAAAGAGAGTGTAGGCAGTGATCACTCTGACATCCCGGACAGTGAACGTTATTTAGGTGAGATTGCTGGTTCCTCTGAATTACAAGAAGATGAGAAACCTAGACCAGATGAAGACTCTGTGAAAGACCAGTCTACTTTAAACAGAGACCAAGTTAACATAGAGTCCCATGAAGACTGTTTTGAGGGAGCAGCTAAAGGAGATAATGATACTTTTACAATAAGACAAGACCAGAAAGACGCAGAAGGATATACTCATAAGGATGATATGTGTCAACAGTCAAAGGACATCCAGACAATCAATATAAAAGAAGACAACATGGATGTAGAGTCAAACTCAACAGGCCCAAATAGCAGAATGAAACAAATAGAGGCATCTCATTTTGCAGATGTAGCTCAGATTCAGAAAGAAACACAAACAGAATATATAGACCTTCAAAGAAACACTGAAGCTGAAGCACCGTCAGTGACAGGGGCTAATGCCGAACCAGTAGTCATGGATACAAAGGCTCCAGCTCTGAGTTTGACAGAGGTCCAGGTATCAGAATGCCTGTTGGAGACAGATGAAGCAGCACAAGAAGCAATAGATGGAAGGCAGGGTGTTATAGGTGGGCTGACAGAGGAAACTCACAAGGCAGAGGGAGGAGAGAGCTTAAAGAAAGTCACTTTTGTCCTGGAACCTGAGCTAATCAATGACTCATCCCTGTCTGAGACCAGCACCTCTGTGGAGTCCAGGGCAGAGACAAGTATGTCAGGTGAGAAAGGCGAGATGTACTGTATATGTGAACACCTGGGCTGCCTGAGGACACCTGAGGAGAGGGGGAGCACATTGGTGAAGGTGTTGGTAAACTGCAGACACTGGGTTTACATGAAGAGCATGTTTTTGAAAACACAGGGTGACTCAAGACTTGAACATGCTTCCCCATGTGTCTTTGTAAAACTATTATTTGAGACTATGGGCTTCATTTCAAAGATCCAAATCTCATTGTCTGAAGTATGTGGTGCAAGTGCATTTAGGCTGTGTCCATTTTCTTTTTTGCTATTTTTGACGCCAGAAAAAGTCTACACCAGGCGCATGGTTCAAAAGGGTTGTACTTAATCTCTTAGTTATTTATGGGAGTGTTTTGGGCGTAACATACAATAAACCAATCACAGTACCTCATCCCATTCCCTTCAAAAGCCAGGCAGACGAACTTTGTCGGTCTACAACTAGCAAAGACACTTGCGTTGCTCTTTGCGCCGTTTTGCAACTGGTTTAAGATAGGTGTTGGGAAAATATCTAGATAGACATTATAAAGAGACCAATATGGCGTCTCAAGCACACAGTTGGTATTGCACAGGTGTGAGGAATAAAGGTAACAGGACATACAGCTGTCCACATCTATCTGTTGTGAGTTTTCTTTATTTTTAATTTTTGGTTTTCTCAAAACTCACCAGCCATCGACCGGTTGTAGAAATTTTAGTCCTTATTTGCTTCTGAAACTGACTTTTGTCCATTTTTTTATGTTTCTTTCCTTAGATACTGAACTGAGCTCTCATGATGAGACCAACACCTCTGAAATAATTGATCGGATGTTCGAGGAGGTGCTGGAATACGCTGGAAGGATGGAGGAAGGGAGGGGGGATGATGAAGATGCTGAGGACCGCGATAGTGGTATTGGTGCTTGCTCTGGAGACAAAGATAAAATGGACACGGTGTCAGAGAAGGGGAAAAGGGAACAAGAGGGAGAAGCCAAAGAAGAGTATGATGAGAGCAATGGAGATGAGCTGTTAACTTTCCCTCCTAGCGGCATCCTCTCTCCTCTCAGCAAGTCTGTAGAGGCTGTGGTGACCCCTCTGGTAAGATGAATTGATCACTTTGAGCTGTTGACAACTTCCATTAGTACCACTGCAAAAGTTAATACATTCAGAAACTAAAATGTTTTGTTGTGTTTTTAATGTTCCATATTCCACCAACAGCGGCTAGCAGCAAACCAGGAATCAAATCCTCCATCTCTGCTGCTGACTCCAGAAGAGACCACCACTCCTCCTGTTGAATCTGCTCCTCTGTATAGGTACAAGCCATTTGTACAAATTCAGTTTGGAATAAGCCCAGATTGACTTCTCAGTCCTTAATCACCAGTGATGTCTTCTTTAGAATAAAACTGCATTATTGAATTGTTTTGATATCATTATTGAATTGTAGATGTCTTAAATTATGCCTTTTGTCTTCTTACTGTGCCATAAAAGCTGCATCGTATTCCACTCATGCATTTTTAGGTACATGTTGATCTGTATCAACATGTAGTTACACACTGTTTCTCAAGTATTTTTTAAAATATATTCTGAAACACCCCAATGGCAAAACATATAATATACAATACAAATTCAGGCTTGTATTTGGTTGGTTGTTTGTTGAATATAATTAATTTAATGACAGTACTGAGTGGAAAAATCAGCTCCAGTGCATGAGGCAGCTGTACTGTACGTATTGCACTATAACATGCCTAACTATAATTTTATGTTGGTTGTTGGCAGCGTTGATGCATACCGAACACAAAGGCAGAGCAAGCTGCCCGCCATTCAGAGTGTCACCCCCGGGGTTCAGAGACGAGCTCCAGAGAAGTTACAACCCCAACATTCTGTCAACAACAAGGAGAAAATCACAGTGAGTCATTTTTCATTATTCAAGAAAACACACTAACTTTACTAATTCAGTCAAATGAAACTGTAGTCTGTCCTGCAACTGCTGAAACTGACCTCTGTGTGATTGAATTAAATCTTGTACAAAGGTTCCTTTACCCATAATGCTAGGTGATGTTCTGTGTCTCTCCAGGCTCTTAATGAAGAAGCAGGGAAGCTGCAGAATGTAATCAACCAGACCCTGCAGGCTCTGAGCTGCTGTACTGATGAGGAGCATGGACGAGGCTCGCTGGAGGAGGCTGAGGCTGAAAAACTACTGCTGGTCTCCTGTATGTTCACCTTTTTGCTTTAATAGTCCCACCTTTGTGAACCATAGATAGGTCACCATGTTCACATTAGTCTGTTTTTATAGAACAGCAGCAGCATCCCTTTAATATGTGGGTACATTTTACATTCTGCTGATAAAGTAATACAAACAGAATAACAACAGTATTGATAACATTTTTTTGTTATTGTTGTTTATTGTTTCATGATAAACAAGTAACTGTTTATCATTAAACATGTAATGATTCTACCGAATCAGCTCAAATTGCTGTGAAGTGGAATGAGCTAGAAACTTAGCATATTAACTGGAGATGATCTACATGTGCTTCCCAAGAAAGATGAGCCCAATCAGCCAGATGGTGACACTGTAATTTGATACACAAGTCCAGCTCAGTGTGTGCTCAAAAAAAGCCTCTTATAGATCCTATAGATTTTTTGAAAAGCAAATTTTTTTGACATTTCCTAATCAATACCAAATTGTCTGATCGTTATTGCACTAAGCTTATCAAAAGTTGCAGAAAGCTTGTTAAGATCTAATAAAGTTGGTGGGGAAGGGGGCCAGGAGCCCAGTCCCAGAACATGGCAGCCCGCTAGGATTTGTCCTGGTATGCCCAAAGGCCAGTCCAGCCAGCTAGTTTAATCTACCGTTCTCTCTGTCTATTACAGGTGAGAAACGCTCTGCCCTGCTGGCAGAGGTGTCCAGACTGCGGGAGGAGAGGAACTTGGAGACTGGAGAGGCAGCAGGAGAGGACAGGGAGTATGTTTCCCAGCAGCCCTGCAGAGGGACTGTCAGCATCACAAACATCCAGCTGCCTCTGAAGGTGGAATTTGTCTGCTCCTCACACAGCCGAACAGGTACCACAGCAAGAACACATTTCTACTATTCTGTATTTTTAATTTCCTCATACAGTTATTGAACATTGATGCTTTTTCAATAAAAAGCCTCTATTTTAAAATTCAGGGCTTTATTAACACAAACATGGTGGTTGACATCCACTGTTCATGCCCTTGTTTAGGTCGGCCAAGCCACTACTTTTTTGTCCTGATCCGTTATGGGCCCTGCAACATCATCGCCACCCCGCTGGCCACAGCTGCTGATGCTCAGAATGGAGACACCATCTCCTTCCCTACATCTGTCACTCTGTAAGCTGCAACTTCTCATCCTGTCTGTGGTTATTTCTTTGATGGAAATCTCTGGACAAATAAGTTGGTGGCGTCTCTGAATTTAAATGTGTATTTTCAAATAATGTATACTCCAGACTACTTAGAGCAAATAAGGAAACTCTGTGATGCAAGTCATATCTTTTTGCACAGATTTCATGTTGAGGTTCTGAAATAATTTTGCCCACCTGCTCTGGGAAATTAAAGAGTCTTGTGACTGTATCATATACTGTGTAATTGTTACAGTGGAAATCTATGATGTAGATTAAATCTTGTCTTCATGATATTTCAGGAAGGATATTCGCTCATCCTTTGAGATTGATGTGGAAGTCTACAGTCTGGTGAGACACAACAGTGACATTTTGATTTGCTGTAGTTCTTAATTGAATTAAAAATGATAGAGAAAAGTGAAGTGGTTGATGCCCCAGAATCCTGCATTTTTCCAATCCACAAATTGACATTTCATATTGTTTTCTATATTCCATCATATTAATTTTTTTCTTCAGTGGTAGGAAGTTGTTAAATATGTCTTTATGTAAACGTGAAAATCACTGAGGGTAAACCCATCATTTACAATGATGTTGAGTAGATAAAAATATGAGTTAAAAAAGAACATCAATTAAAACATAAAATTACAATTTATAAATAATGTAATAACAAGAATCAATTAAAATGAGTACAAACAGAAATTAAAAGGTTAGAGATTAAGAGAGACCAAGAAGTACCAACAAATTCATTTTTAAAGTGCTTTGTAGTGAGTTCAGGTGGACGGTTCAAAGAAGCCAAAAGCAGTTCTTCCAAGCTCAGTATAAACTCAAGCAACATGGATCACAAGCATCATTAGTCCTGGTCTAATGTTGTCCAGTGGGCCAGACTAAAATGGATGTAAGATATGAAGGCAGTTTTTCAATAAGGGCTTTGTAAATAAACAAATACACATTGGGCCTCTCTGAAGGAGAGGACGATCCAACCTTTTTATACAGAATGCAATGATGAGTGTTATAAACATCAGCAGTAATCAACCTGAGAGCAGAGTGGTAGATGGCATCAAGGGGTTTTAGAGTTGCAGCTGAAGTCTGTACAAGATGTCACTATGATCTAAAACTGAATAAAGAGTTTTTTCTACAGAGCAACAGGAAGCAGGATTTATTCCTAAAGAAAAATACAATCTTCTGCCTTAATTTACTCACCAGATTTCATACATGATTCTAAAAGGATAAATTCTCATCAATCCAAATGCTAAGATATTTGTACACCACCACTCTCTCAATAAATACTGGTGCCACTTTTTTGTTTTGTTTTTACAGTCACAATATTTTTATTTAAATTGTAACATCATGGAATACAGCCTCTAGCGTTCACATAATATACTGTATACTTCAGCATATCATAGCTGCATTCACTGAGAACGTAGGAAGGAATAAAGAATTGATAAATAAATAAAACAAACAAATGATGATGAGATTATTTGAATCAAAATTTCTGGCTCCGGAGAAAAGCATAAATTGAGATTTGTCTACATTAAATCTAACTTATGGTTATTGAGAGCAAATTCTGTAAAACAGAGCTAGAGCGATTCTATATCATTCTATATCAGACTACAGTATCCACAATGCAATACAAAACAGTATCATCAGCGTAAAGATGGATATTACATCCTGTTGTAGAAGAAACTATCATTTATGTAAAGAGTGAAAACAGTTTTCTTTTTTATTACTGCAAATGCACGTCACTGTTACTGTTTGATTTGTCTGTTTTAATCTAGTCCCACACCTCAGGTAGTAGCTCCAGCGTGGACCGGAACACCACCAAGTCACGGGTAAGTGGGTGACTTTCTCAAAAATGAGCCAGGTGTGTATTTATCAATGACAGTCTAACTCATTGACATATATCTTTACATATTCAGGTCACACCAAGAAAGCTTCTGAGCACCATCACAGTGAGTGTTTTTATTTCATGCCCAAATATTGTGTGTTTTTTGTGATACATTGCACAGATGTATGTGCTTAACTTTTTCTTTTGTTTTCAGCAGAGATCCAATAACAGTCTGACATGTGAGTTGAGTTTATTTTGGTCAATATTTCTTGGAGTACAAGGAGGTATAATTTTTCACTCACTTCATTGACTCTAGAATGGTAGCCAGTAAATGTTTAAAAAACAAATAAGCCTGGCAAACACTGGTCATGATGGTCATGTATTGACTGACTGACTTATGTTATGAGGTTTGATTCTGTGCTTCTTTATCCGTCAGCTGCTGCGCTTCCTGCTCTCAACACTCGACGCTCCAGTAACTTCTGTCTCGTGGGCTCTCATAAGATCACCTTGGCCTCACTGGGACACAGCAAGTTCCCTCTGGATAAGGTAATTTTTAATGATCTGATATTGATGGGATGAGCTGCTCACAGTTTATTAGAAGTGAACACATAGTTTTTATGCTCTGGGCCCAAAGATTGTGTCTGAACTGTGTGATTGTGAACTGTGTGTTTATCGATGTTGGTGAAAGCAGGATTGTTGATCAGCTGGATCATTTTAAAAGTTAAAAAAATAATAACTTACAGGAAACTGTTGAATTTCAATTCATATAAAACAGACCCTCTCCACATCAACTCAGACACCTGTGTAATCGGCATGTAAAAAGTAATATTTCATAAACACAGTTTGGCGGATGTTCTTGTAACTGCAGAGTGCTTCTGTGGAAACTGTTCATTGACTGATGATATTCAGAGGAGAAAAGCCTGGCCCACATCCACTGTCACCCCCCCATGTATTTTATTTTTGGTCCTTGCATCATTCTGTTACACTTTCTGCACATGGGTGGGCTCACTGGTGATGTAACATGTCTATCTCCCCTCCCTCTGTCTCGCTTCCTCCACTCAGATGAAACTTGAAGGAAAAATCAGGAGGCTGCTGGGAGATGAGTTTCAGGAAAAGGTTTCACTCTTTTGTCAACACTGTCACCCCTTTTATCTCTCACATTTCCTTCTGCTCCTTTGCAAAAACTAACCCCAGACTCATGATTTCATTTCTACAGATAAACCGCCACCTCAGTCTTGATTGATTTTGTTTGTGGTGAATGAGTTTTCTTTTTTAGTTCAAGCTCTTTCCCATCTCAAAAATCCATTATGCTTGTATTTTGACTCCAGAAGTCGGTACATTTGTTGCAGAAAGACAGTGTTTAAGGCCAAAATAAAAACAAATTTGGAGACATTTACTTTGTGATGCACATTTGTATGTGTGAATTCACAGTAAAATGTACAAATATTCTTACATCTCTCCACCATGTTTTTTCTAGGGATGTCCCAAACAATTTTTTTTTTTTGCCCCGAATCCTGAACTGAGTCTTTTTAATATTGAGTATCTGCAGATACTGAGTCCCGATCCAATACTTCGCACAGTGCACCGTCAGATACATTAAGATCACTAAAATCAATCCAATGTATATGCTTGACAATTGAAAATCCGTAATGTTTTTTTTATTATTATTAAATAAATTAAACTATTGATAGTCACAACCCTTGTTGTAAAGCTCCGGTAGGGCAGTATCTGAAATGTAGTATTGAGACGGTGAGGCGCACCATGGCTCCAAAAATCAGCAAAAACCTGCGGTCACCACGATGGCCAGGTCATCCAAGGTGATGCACTCAGTGACATGCTCTGTAATCTTTTAGCTCTCCTGCTGCCTTGAGGAAATTTCTCTCTCCTTGTGAAATTATCGTCAGTGTCCGTTGCCTCAGTGCAGCCTCTGCATGAGTTACCTGAGTGAACTCACTGTGCTCCTTTTTGACTGTTTTTTTTTTTTTTTTAGGTGCCATATCAAATTGGTATTATTGAACGCAGCTCTGTTACTACCGCTGAATGAAATGCTGGCATTGCTGAAATTACAAGTGGCTGTTGCTTTTGCTTTGAATTTAAAATATTTCCACACTGCAGACATTTTATACACGTCCTGCCACAAATTGTGCGCTGACATAAAATACATGATCGGGCTGAGGTTCGTGCTTAATATAGCCTGTACCAATCAGTTAAAAAATGCCTTAATTGGCCCTGATACCGATCTTTGAGATCGACTTTGGACATCCCTAGTTCTTCCATCATTCAGTGTTGGATAACATAACATCTCGGGAAAATAGTGTCAAACTCTTTCCTCCTGTAGTAGCAGTATATGTTTGTGTATGTGAGTTAAATGTCTAAATATACAAGAAGGATTTCCCTCCGAGATGCAGTATGCACCGTGGTGATACCTACTCATATAGACACTAAATGAGCTAAGTTATAACCACATCTGATCAGTTCCCTTTACAAACTGAATGAAGAGCATGTTGGAAGGAAATTCTTCAAAATGTGGTTTTATTTCTTGCTTCTCTTGCTTGTCTTGCTTCTCTCGTCTTCCTCATCAGACCAGTTTGACAGCGTGTCCCTTCCTCTTCCTCCCTGCACTGCAGGTGCCGTTTCTCTCTCCTCTAGAGGGCAACATCTACTTACGGTTGGGCAGCGAGAGTCACTCTAATGTGCACCACCAAGGCTTCCTGGTAAGTAATGTTTCCTTTTTACTCAACACTCTGTACACACACTGTATTCAACTGTTAAGATTTAGAGCAAATTCTTGATGTAATTCTTGTAAATATGCATTTAACTTTTCCATAAATCAAAACAGACTAAATGGACATTTTCCTGAAGTGTTAGAACAGTTTTAATCTGTGTTTTTGGTGCATTTAGTTGCATTAAATTCACTCCCTGTCTTTTTGTGGTTCTGCTCTCAGACAATGTTTGAGTTGATCAGTGGATATGGGGTGTGGCATCGCCGATATTTTGTCCTGGAGGGATGCAGCATGTACTACTGGAACCACCCGAATGACAAAGAAACCAAGGTAAGAATCGACCAACAGACAAATGTGTAGATGTAGTCGCCACATTGCTTACAGCAGGTTTGACTCTGTCTTGTTTTGGAACCTCTCAGGAAGCAGAGGGCAACATCTCTCTGTCCAGCTCTCCCAGTCAGTGCGTCAGGCCTGTCAAGAGGGACTCCTGTGCCCGACCTTTCACCTTTGAGCTGGTGAGCAACATCCTACATCAGCAGCAGGACGACAGCCAGGAAGCCTCAGCCAAGTAAGTTAGAATACAACTAGATCTTAAGAAGTTTGTGACATGTAAGATGATAGATACACTTAATGTCTTTTTAGTTATAACTGAGAGCTTCGAACAGATCCCAGGGGTTTGTTTTTGATTGTGTTCATTGGCTGTAATCAACTTACAACTTCCATGTGTGAATCCTAGACCCAGAGCTGTTGGTTATCTTGGCCAATACAGAATAATACTTTTCATTTATCATCAAAACCTGTTTAAATATAATTGTCACTTTTGTTTACAGTGTGTATGTGGCTCTTCTGGCTGCACCCAACTAGTGATGTCACAGTGGGTGTTTTATTTTTGACAGCTGATGGAAAACACCTTATGTGACATCACTAGTTGGGTTGTGGCTTGAGAATTATTTAGAAATGGGTTTAAAGTTCTAATCTGTAACTTTTCCACATTCAAATGTCTAAAACAACTAGACCTGTGTTCTATATGTTGTTGAGTTGTGTTCTTACATTTTCCCAAATGTTTCCATCAATTCTCAAACCAGAGAAATCTGTGATTTTAATCATTGTGATGTTTCATTGGTCGCCTGTCAGTGACATCATATCCTCTATGCTCATGTGTCAGTGTGTTTGTCTGACTGAAGCTCAACATTGACTTTTATCTAGTTTTAAGCCACATACACTTTTTCCACCTCGGTGGTTTTCAGCTCTATATTTGAAGCAGATGAAGGATTTTAGTCGTCGGACGTCTGGATCTGAAGTTATCAGAGAAACAAGCTGAGGAAATGTTAGACAGCTCAGCTCCCAGCTGCTGGAGACGTCCTGTCCTGTGTCACTGAAGAGCGTCGCTCAAACATTCACACATGCGTCATTCAGTGTTTTTAATGGTTAGAATCACCAGGTCTGTTTGTTTTCCTGAACCACTGACACTGAAGGAATCCAAGCCGGGAGGAGCTTACAGTAATGGTGGTGAAGACAACTCCCATCATCCCACACTATTTCATGGCGTCACCCAACACTGTCTTTGTTATTGTTTTGATTGAGAGAGCCCTGGAGGCAGAATTTACAGATTGTGTTTAATTGTTAATTGCACTGTTTCTGGGATCACAGTGAACAAACTGGACGTTCTTCTTCTTTCTTGTTCAGGTGTTGGTTTTCAGCTGACACCAAACAGGAGAGACTGGACTGGATGGAGAAACTCAACCAAGTTCTTTTGGACTTTCACACATGGAACCGAACATCAGTGATCCAAACAGAAAGTCAGCAGTCACACACGTTGAGCAGTGGGAACTTGAGGGAGAGCATACTGTAACTACATCACTAAGATGACATACATACTCATACAGTTGTCTGGGATGATGAAGGCATCCTGGATGCAGCTTTTATGCGCTTGGTAGATGAGCTGACATCAGGGTTTAGATCGAAATCAAATGGCCACATTATAAACATATAACCAGGCAAAATGTATCTCATGTTGATTTATCTTTGGGAGATGTTTCTGATTATTTCTTTTAATCTGAATCCAATCATTACTGTTGGTCTCTACTTTTATTTGCCAAGTTACAGTTGCCATTTGAATATTTTTAGTTTTTCTTTATCATGATTTTGTGGAAATCAGGTTTTATTTTGACTTTTTTTTTCTATGGCAATCAGCTGCTTTAGCCTCTGCTGGCACTATTATTTGGTCACTTTCAGTAGCTGAGGTGAAACTTTTCTTGTAGCTCATATATTTTTGAAATAATTTACTTTATATTTAGGTCCATATTGTATTTTTGTATCATTCAAACTGGAAGGATACACAGATTTATATAGATACACTAATAAATATTGAGGGAGAAGGAAATCTTTAACTCTACTAAACTGATCTAGGATAAGAATGTATTTGAAATGGCCGGGGACACTACAAATTATTAGACTATTGAAGGAATGCTAGCTAGTGTGGAAATGGGAGCCTCTCATAGACATTTAGACATTATCTGCCTCTTTATAGTGAAATATTTAGGGACACAATCAATCTGTTCTAAGAAGTGAATGTGGGTTGTTCCACTGATCCAACAGATTCTGTTTCCGGTCAAAATCTGTATCTGTTCCTCCTGTTGGCACAGTGTGTCACTGGTGTCTTGGAGGTTTTACTTCCTTCTCTGTGGCCTGAAGTGTTCACTCATATTCCTTAGTACACAGATTGTGTTACTGCTCATATATAAATCTGTATATTTACATATGTAAACCCATTTTTTATATGTAATCCACTAGATGAGAGAAGTGGTGAGGTAAAGTAAGAGGGCCAGCAGTGATGCTGCTACGATGAATGTAGTCTGTTCTGTCTGATGTCCTGTTTTTTTCCATGTGTTTCCACCTATCAGTCTGTCACTATGTTCTAAATGTTTCTCACGTGAACTCTCATTCTATGCACTTAATGGAAGGTACCAATAAAATAAATGGAATGAAATGGCTACAGAAACAGTTAATAAGCTAATTTATAATTACTCATCAATGTTATGTACTGTAATATGACTTTTTAGTGGAAAACATGTTAAAGTCAGAGCACAGTGTTATTTGAATTGGATGTATGTGTGTACATTTACATTCACATACAGAAGAATGTAAAGGTTTAGGTGGCTTAGCCATAGATCTTCTATACATATGGAGCCTGAGAGAGACTGGCAGGAAGGCAGCTCAGGTCAGGAATGTCAGACAGGAAGTGGTCTAGAATTAGACATCCTGTTCGTCCCAGAGCCCCTCTGGGTGGAGGTGCTGCTGGATGTTATGGAGCTCAAGGTGATGACAACAACAAAGGGGAGGGGAGCACTTCGTTCTGCTTTCAGGACACACACAGCTGCGTTGAATGGGCCAACAGCAGCTGTTTCAGCATTCTTATACATGTACACTGGGCGGTGGTACAGTACAGTGGATTTCTAATGGTTTTGTCACCTTCCACAGCTTTGGCAGGCGTATGGCAGTGATTTACATTCAGTACATGTGGTTCATGCAAATAGAAGCTTGTACACAGTCAAATGGATTATTCAGATCTGTCCATGTGAAACATCAAATTGCATTTCTCCAACAATATGCCACTCCCTTAATTGACTTGATCTGGCTCCAGTTTTTCTTTGAACTGATCACACTCTGTAAATAGTTCTTCAAGTTTATCTTTGTTCAAAGTCGATATTGACCTTGCCTCGTGTTTTCTGGATCTGGCAACGTACCAGTGTTAGTTGGTAAGAGTGTTCTTGTATCACTAGAACCACGAGGTCAAAGGAGCACTTGGTGATTCACACCACTTATCACAGAATGTGGGGTTGGTCAGGCCGACAGTCGGGGATTTCTGGATCCGTAGGCCACAGAGATCCTTGTCTTAAAGAGTCACTTAATGTGACTGCATGTAGAAAAGTGTTGTTTCATGGTTGTATAGGTTCTTCAAAGTCTTAGTCCATGAGGAGAAATCTACATAAAACACTTTGAGGATACTAAAACATCAAAATGTCAACATTTTACTAACTCCGACCTGCTCCTTGGTAATCTGCTTAACAGACAGACTGTTATGGTGGCACTAGAGGAGTGGTCAGCACCATTGTCTATAGGCAGGACCATCCAAGAGAATTTCATCAATGTGACCAAAAATGTTTTGCTCTGGGTTAAGTGCTGGATGGACAGCCAGCCCGAAGCCACAGAAGTTAAAACGTCATCTTTAACTGATTTCAACCTGCTGAAAGCCTGTGTCCGCACATCAGATTGTCGCTCTACAGCAGAGTGACCAAGCTGGAAGAAACACTGGACTGCAGTAACAGCTGCTGTCACTGACGAGACGAGAGCGCAGCAGGTCAGCGGCCTTGTTGTCCTCGGTGATGTGGCCCCACCCTGACAGGAATACATTCTGCACAACATCCTGGTGTGTCAACCGCTGCTCTCTTCCGTACACCACCCTGGAGGAAAAACTGTTCCTGTGTGGCAAAGATACAAGAAGTGATGCTGAGGAGCGTGGCCTTGCTAGCACGACAAGCAAACAGTCGCTTTGACAGGATGATCGTCAGACAGATACTGAAAATGTCAGGACGACGCATTGATCAACACATCAGAGGATATTTCAATCAAGGGCTAACTCAGGCAGAAATCACACTGTCTCCATGGTTACCGAATGATGCATGCATGAGAGATACAGATTATCTGCATGTCACTTGTGACTTAGTGTATGAGGCTCAGTCAAAACCGCTTTCTCCTGATAATATCTCATTATCTCAGGATAACGAGTTTTGTTATCTTGAGATAACAGGGATAAAAAAAGTATGTGAGCATGGCCTTTCTCCGTTTCCGTACATCTTCTTTATGCATCACTATTTTGAGATTAAGGAAGTACTCAGCTTGGCTTTTTTTTTTTTTTTTTTTTAAATAAGTAAAACACAAGCTACACTACCGTTCTCAAAGTCAGTTCTTTCACAGTTTGTCCCCAGTTCACATTTTGTTTGTTATTCAAAGATAACTCCCACGCACAAGTCTTAAACTTGCATGAGAGAATGTGAAGTGCAGGACTGAAAGATGATGATGGTGCTGTGTTTCCTCAGATAGCGTGTTTGAGCTGGCTGCAGCTCCAGGGCCACTTGGTATGCTCCTCGCTGTGTTGTGAAGAGGTCCGGGAAGCTCGGAGGCGTAAACAGGGTGGTGGGGTCAGAGGACTCAACATGGATCGCAAATAAACAACGTTCCTTCAGTGGTAGCAGCCAGCAGTGGTCAAACAGCTGCAGAGGATCAGAGAGTCAATGACACAGTCTGTTTTTGTTTCAGGGAAACGATTCAACACATTTTATTCAGCATCAACAACAGAGCCACAAAGTTTACACCTACCTGGTGTTGCAGGAAGTTATGTGAATCATAACTGATTCACATTAAATAAACATTTCCTCATTTGGCAGATGCCTTTATCCAATGCGACTTACAACTGAGGGACAACAGTGAGGCTTCAGTGCAGTAGGAGACCTTGGTGTAAGTCCTAAGACCTGATGCTGATGTCTGGCTGAAATGGTCTGAGACACCTGTAAAGTGCCTCATGATGAAAGAATAATAGTCACTGACTCCATTAGTTCTTGGCTCCTTTGTGTTCCCATCTTTACAGTGGTTTGTAGCCTAATGACTTATGCATTATACATTGTTTCTTCCTGTAACTGCGTTTAGTTGGTTTCCCTTTACCAGTCAAGGAGACTCTCAATCTCCCAAAAGGTTTTGTGGAACATCAGGTCCACTTAGCCCCGACTCCCCCCACCCCCCTCACTCCTTCTGCCACCATCTGGATTGTCCCATGGGACAAAAACGAATCATTATTACTTCAGATTCAACAATTTTAATGTAGTGCATGTGTTTGAGTTCTTTTGATGCAATCAGTACACTTGGCAATATGTCAAACATTTTGTTTTTACACTTCAGTTTTTGTACAAATGAAACATACCAGGTAGAGCATGTTGATAAGTGAGCTGTGGAGCTGGTGGTATAGGCTGATACCCTCGGACAGAGCGAGGCTACTTGTTTGCCCTTGTTTCCAGTCTTCGTGCTAAGCTAAGCTAAATGCTTCTAGCAGTGATCTCATGGTTACCACACCTACATTAATAATGTCGCCCTTCCTAAAAGAATCAAAAAGCTCCATGTGGATATGCATGAAAGCTCTTATTTAACTTTGGAAATAGCAGTTTGACAAAATAATCCCAACTCAAGGTCCACTTTCTAACTTTCAAGCATACCACATGGTCTTCATGAGTGGGCTGGAGTTTGCTCAGTTGTCATGGAGATGGATCTGCAAGCTCAGTAAGCAGCTGTAAATATTGCATCCATAACAATTTTTTCCTCAGATGAAGACTATGTGGCTGAAATCTTTGGAAAAAGCTAGTAAGTAGACCTTGAGTATGGGATTGTTTTGTTGAAGCTTTAAGTTAAACTGGAATCAGAAAGCTGAGGTAAATGTTATTTACCATCTTCTCAACAGGCCCCTGAACGCATCACATCTCCTTGTACCCTCCCTGTCCCTGCCCCCTTCTCCCCTCCACCTCCCACCTCTCCACCCTCCAGCATTATTCTCTTCCCTCCCCTCCACCCCCACCCCCCCAGCTCCCTCCCTTTCCTGCTGGCCTCTCAGCAGAGGATGTGTCTGGGTGAGAGAGTGTGTGTGAGGGAAAAGAGGAAAGCCGTCAGTAGAATGGATTTGTGCCTTCTCTCCTCCACCCTTTCTTCTCCTCCTCCTTCTTTTTCTTGTCCTCCATCTCATCTGGTCTTCCTCACCCTCCTCAGTCAGCGTCGCACCCCGGGCACCCTCAGTGCCGACCCTCAGGGAAAAGGAGACTTGTCCGGTGGATGGACGGCTGAAAACTGAACTTCAATGTCAGCAGGAGATCAGAAGAATGGTGGTGACAAACCAGGAGGTAATGGGACACACACACACACAGACACACACACATACACACACACTTTGTCTGTTGAAAGCATTGCTGTTTGGCTAACACCCACTTCTTCTTCTAAAGTCTCTGAGCTGATAGAGACAAAACAAAGCTGTGCATGACTGTGCTGCTTCTCTACGAGAGAAATGAATGAACTCTTCAATATCCATCATTCCGGAGTCAGGATGAGAGTCATGTATTGATTTGTTGAGCAGCACTGGCTTTTATTTTATAGTTAACATTTGGATGTCAGTGCCATCCACCCCTGTGTGATGAAGGTCCCTCAACACAGAAACAAAGAGTGTTTCATAAAAACAAAAACATGAAGTGAATTTTTAAAAGCTGCAGGTTCATCAGCTTGGATATAAAGTTTTAGTGTCCCCTGGTGGTCCAAAAACAATGTCCCGCAAAGTTCATTTAGTTGTTATTGCATGATCTTCATCATCAGATACTGTTTGCCTTGTTGTACTGCTTCTGAGAAAAAAATAAATACATTTGAAAGTCTAATATTCCATGACAACTGATGATGAAGATCACGTGATGTGATTGAAAGCTTCACAACACTTTCTAAATGGACCTCGTGATGAGACTTTTGCTGGTTTCAGGGCCAAGAATGAACTTAAAATGTGAAAAATGTGAATGAGTTCTCCCCCCTGATGACGGTGAAGAAAACTGTAAGTACTTCTGTTTTTAGAGAATGATCAGCTTTTTAATTCAGTGTCTGACTTCCACAAAGTTGGTGGATTAACAGAAGCAACAGAGGCTGAGATATCCAGGGGCCAGTTGCACAAAACACCTAAGGTTTCTACTTAAGTACGACACTTAAGGTTTAATTTCTCATAAGCTGAGGGAGTTACTTAAGGGTGTTGCACAGAATCTCTTTTCTCAGTTAAGGAAAAAAGTTTCCAGTAGTAAAAGAGAATTTTCAGGGGTAAAATTCTACTGTTTCCATGGAGACTGTTTGTTTGCTGCCATTAGCACCTACTGATACCTGTTATCACTTTTGGGAATCCTGTTGTTTTGATGGGAACTTCACCACGGAGAACTTTGTTCTTTTGTGCAGCAGTTTAACTGAGTTTAAGTGACTGCTGAAGTGTAAGACCAAGAAAAGGAGAAAAGCTTAAATACTTCAGTGAACAGTTTAAGGAAACCTTAAGGAGAAAACTTAAAGGTGTTTTGTGAAACTCTTTTTATTTTAAAGAAACTTTAAGAAAAATCTTAACCTAAGGTGTTTTGTGCAACCGGCCCCTGACTTTTAGGGTCTTGTATGGATGAAGTTCCAAAAACCATGAATCCTACACTTCCCATGGTGCAACTTGATAGAATCTTTTGTGTTCCTCATGACCATGAATTGAGATGTATTGTTATTGGAATGCCCCTTATTGTCACTGAATATTTGCATAATATAAGATAGAAGTATGTCTATCAGAGTGGCTGTAATTCTGCATCATCATGACCAGAGAGTCTGCTGGTTTCTATACCAGCCCACCATCACAGCAGCAGAGTTATAGTGAGGTCATCAGTGAATGACTGCTCTGCTGTCCTCCGCTTACACGACACTCATCACTTTGAGAGAATGTGAGCTCTGTGGTATATTGTTCTGCAGAGTTGCTGATGACAATGTTTCATATTTAGTCTTGGTAAGAGAAAGCAGAGTGTCCCATAACCTCCTGAGACAGAGACTGTCCTGTTTGTGTAATTGAGATGTCCAACGACCTACAGAGAGAGAGCGAGAGAGAGAGAGAGAAAGAGAGAGAGAGAGAGAATCGTGAATCACTACACTTACGAGGACCTCTCACTCACAGAATCTTTACTTTTTGTGCTAAATGCCTCGTCTGTGACTGTTAGATATTTTAATCCCAACTCATTCCTTGCATTTTTAACCTTAAAGTCACAGAGAGATTGCTTTATGCTGGTGACCCAGCACAGCACATTACTGTCTGCTGACTCACTAGCCAGTACATTATCCAGTTAAGACCAATTAAGACGTGTAATTCAAATGGAAGCGTGGTCATGTGACTCTGATGGCTGCTCTGCTGCCTGTCCAGCTGACTAACAGATGAGAAATGATATCCTGCTTACCTGACCAGCTGGCTGCTGTAAAAAATATCCTCTCCATTAGGACGCAGAGATACAGACTGTATCATCTCTTTCAACGGGTGATATGGTTGGTAGCTCGACGGTGAGCAGTGAAATCATGGGAGAGCTGAGAGCAATAACAAAATAAGGTTGTACTATTTGTCTTGAACTGGTAGATGAGAAACAATAATGCAATCCATAATTACAGAAATCTTGTCAGCAGGGAGCAGAGAGCTGCTGTAGAGACAGAAATAATGATGCTGGCTGAGGAAGTTAAACCTCATTTGGCTGATAATCAGGCCACTTCACGCTTTTCTGTCATTAGGAATTGGGTGCAAGGTACAGGTGATTTTTCTTGTTGTATAATTCAAGATTCTGAAAATCATTCAAAGCTTAAAGACCCTCTGATGAAAATCCAGTGTTTAACCTTGTTAACATCCATATGATGTTTTTATATAATACAGACATATGATGAGAGAAATGATCATCAACACCATGACTGAGTGTTTCCACCTTGAACTGCAGTGAACCAATGACAGTCTCATAAACACAGATTCAGACAGCCCGAGTTTCATACGTCACAAACCTAAGGAACCAATCCTGTCAACTTGTGGGGACAGGGGGCGGGGCTAAATAAACCTGAAACCTTGTCAGTATAGAGAAAGAGAGAGAGTTAGCATTAGCACAACCACTAACACTGTGTCAGCCACTGCCAGTTACAAGCTAACAAACAACATAAACAAATAAAAGATGCTAACTGCGCTAACCGTTCTGATCCATCTGCTAGTCTCTGGTTCTGGTCTCAGACTCCTCATCTGAGTCTGGGTCTGACTGAGGCTCAAACATGTGGCTGAGTCTCTCTGATGTTTCCTCCTCTAACCATCTTGATACTCTCTGCTCTTTCACCTGTCCACCTGGAGACAGCAGGTGGTGGGCGGGGCCCAAGGCCTGATCCACGTTTCTCAAACAGGAAGTAAGAGGAGATGAGCTTCAGCTTTTATGTGTGAAAACCATGTTCAACTAAATATGAATCATAGTAGAGGAATTTTACACAGTTTAAAACATGTCTGGACAGGAACTGTTGTGTGTATTGACATGTGCATCATAGTTAGGGGTTCACTATTTGTTTGACAGAAAGCCTCGATAGTCAATGAGAACTATAAGCCCACGTGGCATATGTTGGTTGGATTGGGTCTGATCAGACTAGTCAAGTTAAATGAGTCTGAGTGTGAGTTCTGCTGTTCAGAGTTTGGCTGCACCATCTGCTATAGGGAAGAAAACATTCTGACTGGTTTGCATTTCTTTAAACCAATCTCTATAGTCTTGGGCAGCACTGAGCCCAGGATGCAGTGACAGTGCCCCTGCAGAATAGTGTCGGAGGAAAACTTGAATTGGTCGAGAAAAATGCCACAAAAAACAGCAAACGCGTGTCTCGACTGTGTGATTGCATGATCCAAATCTTGATAAGAACTTAAGACTACGGTCTGGGTGCTATGAGATGCTACTATGATATTACTTTTCCAGCCGTGCATGATAGAAAAACATTTGCTTTTGAACTAAGTGGAGAATGCTAATATGAAAATCCTCACAGTGCGTTGGGTCTCCAACCTAATCAAAAACCATAAATGTGTAATAGATTCAGCTGAGTGGCAGACCTGAGTGTAGAAAGGAGCTTTGGTGAAAACATAACTCAGAGAAAGACATTACAGTGACTAGACTTAGACTGTAGAGAGCCATCAGCAGTGGAATGACTGTGAATGTAAAGGGTTGGCTAGGCTAGCAAGCTGATCAACATAACAAAATGACAAATGATTTTTTATAATCAGACTTCATCAATCTCATAATAGCCTTATTCCTTGATTTTTCTGATGCGCTTCATTGTAACAATACTCAGCCACAAAAACTATGGTTCTAACACTTTAAAGCTCCATATTTCCCTCTTCTTCTGTGTTTTATTTGAAGTGTCGATCCATAAGAAGATGTATTTGTAGTTTTAAGAACCAGAAACCATCTCAGTGTAGTTTTACATCTCCTCTCTCAGGCTTGTCTCTTGAGCTCCATTAACAACAAGTCAGTGAGCCAATCAGAAGAGAGGAGGCTCTGAGCCTCTCTTCTGATTAGCTGACTGTTTTCTGAGTGATCCAATAAAAGCAATTGTGACATCACAAAATTCCAGTCAAAAGTCCTGACAGCTCATTTTAAGGCTCAGTTTCTGAATACAGGCTGTGTGCATTTCTCTGTGGACTGAGGCTTTGATACTTTCACAGTATTAATATAGAACCTAGACCTGATCTATAATCAAACAACACATGGACATCTACCTTTAGACTGTATGGGACCTTTAAAACCCCAATGCTTAGGACTTGAAAATACCCAACTTTGGCAGTTCTTAGTATTAAAAATGACAATGGCAGCAAATGAAAACATATTCATGAGAAAAATGATGCTGTTATGATGTACAAATCTCTATACGTTCTCCATAGGAGCTCAACCTCCAAGAGATTTGAAATGTGAAATTAAATCTGTGTTATTAGTTTGGTTTCTTTTGACAAAATGTCTCTCTTTATTTTGTCTGTAACATAACACAGTAGTTGTTGAAAGGATTACATTTTTAAAATCCTTCTGTGAACATCATGCTGCAGGATTGATTCTAGACATTTCCCTGACTCTGCCTCTCCTCTCTTGCTGACAGACACTGTGCCGGTGGCTGAGGTCTGGCCGGAGGTGGAGAGGGCCGAGTGTTTGGCCCGTGGTGCCGCCTTGAAGTGGGCGTCAGGTGTTTTCTGTCGGCCCGAACATCTGGAGCGACTGAGCCAGTACAAGAAGAGAGAGAGCCAGAGGACTGCTTCCATACACACCAGACTCAAGGTGACAGCATGGGGACACACACAGACATGCATAAAGACAAATAAATGACACAGTAAGATCATACTTTATTAAATGATCTCATAAATGCACCACACGATGGCAACCATGCACTTGAATCACTGAATCATTACTACTGTATTTCTGGTTATCAATAATTTCCCTCCAGTCCATGGTCCAGTCATACCTGGAGGGGGTAGGCTGGGGTCTGGAACAGCTCCAGGAGGCCAGGTCTGAGCTGAAAGACGTGTCACACGCTTTGAAGAAAGCAGGACTGGAATCCAGTCAAAACGCAGAGGGGGTGAAGTCTCTGGAGAGGCTGAGAGAAGTGTCAGTCAACCACTGTCAGCTCCTCGCTGCTGTCAGCAACCTGCCACGACTTTACTCTGGTGAGACGCTGCTCTGTGGACACGCTCATTCATAATGAATCAGTTTAATCAGGTTCAGCATATTTGTTTGACTTGGATGAAATCAGGGACTTACAAGGAAAAGAAGCTGTTTCAGTCTTATTGATTTCTGTTTCTAGTAGTGATGCCCTGTTGTTGCGTTTGCCCTACTCCGACTGTACCGTGAGAGAGTGATTATAGAACCTCCTGAACCAACTGTACTGGCAATATAATACAATACATCAGCCCTGCAGTAAATGTGAAGCTTATAATGCTCAACTACTGATTCAAGTCTGGTAAGCAATGAGTTTGTGAATTTGTGCAATTTATCTGTGTCTAAATGAGTGTCTTTCAAGTCACTGTCTACCGTCAAATAAGGCAAAACAATCGTGATTAAGCCTGTGACCCCCTGATGAAATTATATACAGGTCCTTGCATTTTCTTTTCCGTTCCTTTCCTAAGGCTTTCTTACATTTATCGAGGGTGTCCTGCACATCGGAAACCTCAGAGAACATGTTGCTTTAAATTCAAAGTTAGTGCACAGACATATAAAATGAGACTCCTGAAACCTTGGCTGTCTTAGCATCAAGAATAGATGGACGAGAAAGTGCTTTCCCTCAGCGTGGTCACAGGTCAGGTTCATTCACGTGATTTAGTCAGTCCTGTTGTGTGACATGAAGGGTACATTTATTGGACAGACATGTAAATGAAAACAAAAACAATAAACAGTGATAGAGACGTACAAATGAAAAGAATATTTATAAAATAAAATAATAATAATAATAATAATAATAATAAAGATTTAGATGATATCCTGTCAATGTGATAAAAAAATAGATAAATAAATCGACAGAAAATATTCTAATATGATATAAAATATAATAAGATATAATATAAAATACTGTAGACTACTAATGTGATTATCGTGCAGTGATGTTATGACAGAATAGTATGTATTATTTATATAATAGTTCTAAGCATGTTATAATAATATAATATACATTATTATTTTACATAACAATTATGATTTAACAACGTGAAGATACATAATAATGGGTGTTGAGGTCAGGTCGGTCTACTGTGCAGGTGAGCAAGTCCTTGAATTTTACAGTTTGATGAACTGAGTGTCTGACTCACCCACAAAATCACCCGCCAAAGATAATGAAACAGGGATGTTTGAAATTCTTACTTTAAATTGCCAGACTTGTGTCCACCATCTGTAAATGTCTGTATGGATAATAGCTAACGCCCTGCAAGTGTCTCCACTAACAAGCATCTGAATTTTAACGTTTTATAATCGTGGTCCAAGAAAAGTGCAGTTTAATGTGTTCAGATGGGTTTACATCTACTATACAGGTGAGTCTGTTGTTAATCTGATTTCTGGTTCTGTATAGAACAAGAAAAAAGAACAGGGACTTTCATCCTCTTAGAAACATTTCGACTCCCACAACTAGTTATGTTGTAATATGCAGCATTTCTCACTGGAAACTAAAATGTTTAACTTCCCTCTTGAACAGGCTCAAGTGGCAGCAAGAGGTTGCATAAATTGTTGACAGTTTGCGGAATGAAAGTTGTCCCTCCCTCCTCCCTGACCTTGCCCTTTGCAGTGCGTAGCATGGTGTTGGAGACTGAGCGTCTGGTGGAGTCCCGGCGGCTCCTGGAGGCCCACGCCCGGCTGATGGATCTGGAGCGCTGGCAGGACGACATCCTGTGGCAGCTCCACGGGGCTCCGGGGACGACAGGAAGTGCACTCAGCACTGAAGACCAGGAGCTGGTGGCCAAATATTTCTCTGGCGTGGGACAGCTGGTGGACGCGCTGGGTATGTTTACTCAGTCATATCAGTTTAATTCAATTTAATTAATTCAGAAACACAACATACCAAACACACCTTGTATATGGCAGCAGTATTTTCTGTATGTTGTAGTTTTGTGACCCATATCTTTGTTTGATGCGTTACACTCACAAAACATGCGTTATTAGAATACGGGAATGATCTACCACATACAAAACACACTGTATAGACAGAATATAGATATAAAATAGATATAAAAAATCTTGTAAATGGAAAGCAACATTATGGAAACAGTAACTCCCCCAAACAGACACATCTTTCCTTTCCAACCTCATTTCTAAGGACTGACGCTTGGTATGAATTCTCAGTTCTTTTTGTACCAACCAAATTGTTTCTGCAGCTTCAAGTATTGACTAGCAAGCACTGAGAGCTGGCACTGAATGGTCAGTGGTGGTTTTCCTGACTTTGGATGAGACATTCTGTGATTTCAATCTGGTTATGGTTCATGTGCAGCTGTTTGTGTTAAGACAACATTAAACACGTTTGACAGCTGGCACTGGTCCTCTTCTGAGAACAACAATCAAAGATTATTATATTATTGTTTGGTCAATGTGATAAATTATACTATATGATCATCACATATAACACTGGTCATCAGTTTCTCGGTTTAGATGGAACATTGTTCCTTGAAGCTTCTCTAATGTAGCTTTTATTGTGATATATAATAATCTTCACCTCCAAATCAAAATTGTTAGATCAAATTCAGACTCGCCCTCTGCTTAGATATTGAGATACCAACAAGCTTGGATAAAAGTTAAAGGTCCCATATAGTATAATGGTAGCTGTGCATGTGTTGTTTGATTATAGATCAGGTCCAGGTTCTATATTAATACTGTGAAAGTATCAAAGCCTCAGTCCACAGAGAAATGCACACAGCCTGTATTCAGAAACTGAGCCTTAAAACCAGCTGTCAGGACTTTGTGATGTCACAACAAAGCAGTCATTGCCCTCAGCCATGACTCAAGCTCCGCCCACCTGGACCCACCATCCAAGGAGGATGGATTTGGTTTCTCTGAGTGTTTACCTGAAGTCTGCTATATTTATATTCAATCCCTATGGACTCTTACTAGTGTTGTTGTTTGGCCTCTCCAATGACCCTCTCCAGCTTTTAAAGCCATTCTTCTATCACTCATGCAGTCTTACAGTATGAGTTACACTTGGACTGAAAACCAGCTGTTATTGTGGCTGTGTGTGTGTGGATTGCAAACCTGCTTACTCACCATTAAAAGATGATATAAACCATCTGGAGTCAGAGCTCTGAAAAAAATTCAAAGCTGCTTGATGACTTTGTCTCCATAGCTGCTGCCCAGGCAAAGTACAATAATTTGTAGATGCAATCTTCCCCTGTTGCTGCCCCAGCTGCCTGATCACCCACCTCCCTGATGTCTTCTCAATGGTCTTGCACCACGCAAGCTCTCCCGGTTGGCCTTGATGCACACTGGCACTGTACCTGTCCGCATTTACCAAGCTAAAGTATTAGGCTACAGTACGTTACCTGTGGTTGGCCTGGCCTCGCATCACTCAGAAAAGAAAGCATACAGTGGGTTTATGGCTAAAAAATATTTTTTTTTAAAATATATAACTTCAGGATTGGAGCATAATCATCCAGGCTTGTAACTACAAGTGACGTGTCACACACAGTCATTTGATCCTTTGTTAATATAAAAAATGGTTGGATGGTGGGTAAATGGTGGGATGTGAGAAACCAACAGAAGTGGGCCTGAAATTCTACGAAGGAGTATTAGGGCCATGAAAGAGAAAAAAAAATGGGTGGAGGAAGATTTTTTTCATCATGTACTTTGAGAAAAAAAGTCGAAATGTTGAGAATGAAGATGACATTTCGAATTTAAAGTTGACCTCTTGAGACGATATCAAACAGCGCCTATGACTGCCTCTATAACATGCTTATAGATGAACTGATGAAATTTTACTTCAGAATCGACTTTAGCAACAAAGAATTTTTCTGTCTTTTGGCTCATAAACACAGTGCAGTTGTCAGCGTTAGGACTTTGAAGAGATTGTGTTGAAAACTGCATCTGTTCAGAAGGAAAAACCACACAAGCTTGGAAGAGGTGGCCGCATTCATGCAAACTGAAATAGCGGGTAATGGACAAATGCAAGGATACTGTTGGTTACACCTGCGTGCAATTCAGAGGGGATATGTTGTATCGCAAGACACAGTAAGACAACTGATCAAGTTGTTTGATGCTGAAGGTGTGGAGCTCAGATGCAGGCATTACTGCAACAAAGGTCCCAACGATAAGCTAAAGTCGTACGGCATTGCTATCAATGGTTGTATAGGTGGGCTAAGTCACTATGTAGTGTGGATGGAGACCTACAGAACAACAACGACCCCAAAGTAACAGCAGACTACTTCATCACGTACACTGCGCACTTGGGAGGATGCCTGGAGCGGCTGCGCGCTCACAGAGCCATGAAAAATGACAGAGGGAGTTGACTTTATTCTTTATTCTTGAAATGCAAAATAAATAAATAAATCTTCCTCTTCTGAGTCAGTTTGACTTTATTCTCAACATTTCGACTTTTTTTCTCGAAGTTCTTGATGAAAAAAAAAAAATCTTCCTCCTCATTTTTTTTCTCATCCATGACCCTAGTACTCTGTGGTCAACATCAGGGGAAAAAAAGAAAAACAACAACATTAGATTACGTTTGATGCTGATAAGAGCAGTGGCAGAGTGATACGGATGTCAGTCCCTGGATGAGTGTGGTATCACATCCTCAACATCCATCATGTCGCTGCAGGTAAGGAGCTGTGGGCGGTGGTGAGCAGTGCTCTGGCTCTGGCACGACAAAACCCTACACCATTTGTATCGGCGGTAAGGATAGTGGAGCGGGAGGAAGCCCTGGACCAAGCTCTGCTGGAGGAGAGAGGTGGGACCGGGAGCAACAGCAGGCCCCTGCCCCCTGGACGACCTCGCTGCTGGAGAGCATGCTTCTTCCAGGTCAGCACCAGCTGATCCATAACACCTCAGCTTTCATTCAGTTTGTCCTCGTAAATGTCTGACTGTCTGTCCTCTCTCACATCTCCTGCCTCTCAGGTACTGGAGGAGGCGGTTTCTGCACGGTTTCGTAGTGTTTCCTACCTTCACACGCGTGGTCCGGGTCTGGCAGGTCACCTCTCTGCTCTCCAGCACGCCACCATGGCAGACCTGGGCACTGTACGCCACCTGCTGGAGCACTGTGTCCCACCACACTATCGGCTAACAGGAGCCTACCTGAGGGCCAGCCATCGCTGTTTACAAGCTCACCTGGCACAGGTGAGAGATGTGAGGGAAATAAACCTTTAGCCTTGATGTCTCTCCTCACCTTGTAGACTACAGATCTGTCTAAACAATAACAGGGACTAATAGAGCTTTATTTCTCTCATGGGTTTTTGCTATGCATTATCATGGCTTACATAGAAAAGTTAAATATGCACTAAGCTAATTATATTTAAAATGTTTATTTTGAAACTGGGGATGACCTCACCACACACATGTAAGAGATATTTGTGGCCTAGGTTAGCAGCTGGGACCTGGAGAGTGGTGAAACATTTGCTGTGCTCAACTGGGTGCTGCACATCTACAACAGGTGAGGTCGACGACCCGCATAGATTCTGTGTTTTCGTCTTTGTCTTTCTGTCTGTATGTGTTTCTTTACACATTAACAAAAATGTCAATTATGTCTTGAGGTTACTTTAGAGATTGAACAAATGTAAACAAATGAACAACTTCTGATTTGTGCAAGTGCACATCCTTCACTTTGGCTGCCTAGGATAGGGATAGGATACAGCTGATTACCTTTATTTTCAAATGCAGCTGATTACCTTTGATACACACTTTCCCCTAATTAACATCTAATGAAGCAGAAACTGAAAGAAAAATACAAACAGTGTCCTCTGTCACAGCTGCTTGTGTATTGTGAACTTCTCTCAAATTTAGTTTCAGTGTTTCACAAGATAGAAAAGAGAAAAAAATTCTGTCCCACAAAATAGATTTTTTAATTTTTTTAGTTTTTCTCTTAAATCTTGACGTTGTTCTTGAGAAATAAAGAATATTCTTACGTCTTTGAGCCTTCTAAAAACTATCAAAAGGAAATGATGTGATACCATGTTTTATATATATACATATACAGTATATTCAGATTTGAGATTTTTGCGATGTTGGGATGTCAATAAACCAGTTGGACATTGTTAACCATAAAGTGACACTCTTGTTTTGGCAGCCCAGACATGATGGGTCATCCAGAGCTGGTGGCTAACATGGAAAAAGAAGAGCTGGGACCTCTCATCTCCACCGAGGGACTGGAGCAGCTGCAGATCAAATATGTGCAGAGTGTGCGGGTGAGTCCGCCACAAGCCTTTGGTCAAGATTTGACAAACTGTGACCTGAAAACAGGGTCCCTGTGTTTCAGCCTTAGTATGTAGGTTTCAAGTTTGGTGTCATTCCAGTCAATTCAATGTGTGTTTCCGTGTTGTTGCTGTTAAAGAAGAGCGTATCAGAGTGGATGCACAAAGCTCTACAGGTGGAGCTGCAGGACTGGCAGAGAGACCAGGAACCCGATACAGACCATGAAGGTTTCTACCAAACCAGCCTGCCTACTATCATCACGCAGGTACACAATATGCTATACAATCCACTAAAGTACAACCACATACAGACACACAGGGTGTCTGCAGGCAGAATGTGGCCCTAACATTTGTTTTAGGTGTTTTAAAGTGGCTTTAACACACAAGAACCTCATCAACTTGACCAAAAAAGTGAAACTGATGTGAATTTCATCTCATCTAATCTCATTTAATCACAGTAATGGTCTTCATCCCTCTCCGCCCCCTAGAGACACAGTTTGTAATGACATCATGTGCTTATTGCTTCTTCAAATTGAATTTGAAAGCTGTCTCCCTGCTTCTCCTTTTTAAACTGACTTCCAGCTCTGTAAACACTTTTCAGCAGCACAGAGGCCAACGCCTGAGACGGCTCGTATCACACTTCACGTTTTGTGTGGGCTTGTTTTATTTGTGGGACTGTGACAGATGCTGGAGGAGAACGCCCGGGTGGCTCTGATGATCGGAGAATCCCTACGAGATCAGACTATACAGATGGGACTGTATGAGATGGAGAACCTTTTGAACAGGTGTGTGTGTTCGTGCATGTTTTGCTTGTCACTACCTGCCTCCTGTTTACTTCTCAGCTGCTTCAGACAGTTTACCTTTCATTTACCTGCAATCTGTTCACATCTTTACCTCCAGGTTTCGAGAAGCTCTGGTGGAATTTGGGAAGGAGCATCGCAGGGATCTGAGCAGCAACAAAAACAAGTTCTACCTCCACTATTTGCTGGCCTCCATCAGCAACTGCATCATCCTCAAGTAAGACTACAGAATGTTTGTGGAATGTTTTCAAAGCTTAAAGACCCCTCCAGTAAAAATCCAGTGTTTAACCTCGTTAACATCCACGTGATGTTTTTATATAATACAGACATGTGATGAGAGAAATAATCATCAACACCATGACTGAGTGTTTCCACCTTGAACTGCAGTGAACCAATGACAGTCTCATAAACACAGATTCAGACAGCCAGAGTTTCATACATCACAAACCTAAGGAACCAATCCTGTCAACTTGTGGGGACGGGGGGCGGGGCTTAATACACCTGAAACCTTGTCAGTACACAGAGAGAGAGTTAGCATTAGCACAGCCGCTAACACTGTGTCAGCCACTGCCAGTTACAAGCTAACAAACAACATAAACAAATAAAAGATGCTAACTGTGCTAACCGTTCTGATCCGTCTGCTAGTCTCTGGTTCTGGTCTCAGACTCCTCATCTGAGTCTGGGTCTGACTGAGGCTCAAACATGTGGCTGAGTCTCTCTGATGTTTCCTCCTCTAACCATCTTCATACTCTCTGCTCCTTCACCTGTCCACCTGGAGACAGCAGGTGGTGGGCGGGGCTCAAGGCCTGATCCACATTTCTCAATCAGGAAGTAAGAGGAGATGAGCTTCACACCCATTTTCTGATTTTTTTTTCTCACTTTAATACTTCAGGCACTTGGTGTGTGTTAAGCATCCTGGTAAAGTTGACACTCACCACTCGCTCGTTCACTCACCTCATGTATTTGGCAAAGACTCTGAGTAAACCTGCTCTCTCCATCTAATCAAAGAGAAAAATATAAATTCTTGCTCTTGTAGCAAGGTTCTCATCTCGTTCATTTGTTACTTGCTCTAATGATCTATTCACTCAAGCCAGTGCTGTTTATCTCGTGTTCCTCCCATAATGAAAGGAAAAATCTATTTTAAGAATAACCCAGATAAAAACAAAATTAAATCACAATCAAAAAAAAATCATGCACAGGCCATAGTTATAATCTCTGCAGGTTCATAGAACATTCTGTGTCCTGTTGTGTATGACGCAGGAAGTCCACAGAGAGCCTGCAGCAGCAGCAGTCGTCCCGGTCGGCAGGCCAGTTCTCTCGGACTCCTCCCAACCCACTGGCAGCTCTGGACCGGGCGGTGAGACGGGCGTGTCGCCTGGTGATGGATCAGCTGCTGCTGGACCTTCAGCCTTTTCTACCAGGTCTGCTGACCCGACCCTGGCTGGTCCAGGGAGACCCCACACCCAAACTCTGCCACGTCCTGGAGCGTCACCTGGAGCTGTATGGCCGCGTTCGGCCACCCTGCAGACAGGTCACTGCTCTGCTTCTGTTTCCATCACCACTTTGCATATTGTAGTTTAGCTTAACTGTTTCTTTGGGGTCGAGCTGTTCTGGAAGCAAAACTGAAAGTTTGATAAAACTCTGTGAGAGAAACTGAAGGATTCTGTGACCAAAAACAAATTAAAGCCCAGTTTAAATGCAGTTCAGCTGTATTTTCTCATAACCAGCGTGATGTGTGTGTTTAAATGTGGGTAGAATATATCTCCTCTTTATCTTTAAACAATCACATCTAACAATAATAATGAAAATTTATTTGTGTTGCACCTTTCATACAAAAAATGTAGCACAAAGTGCTTCACATGAAAAGACATAAAATGAAGATAAAAACATGTTAAAAGGCTGATGTAAAATGAAAATCATGAAAAACATTAATGTAAAATGAGATGGAATAATATTAAAATATAAATATTAAATAAAATAAATAGATAATTGCGAAAAAATGATAAATGATAACATAGAAAGCATAAAATCAGTAAGACATCAATGCTTACAAAGCAGTGTATGAGTGTGGAGTCAAGTGCAGAATGTCAGAGCTGGTTAAAGGCTGAAGAGGTGAAGAGACAAGTTTTTATCTTTCTTTTAAAAACACTCAGTGAGCTGCTTATTCTTCTTCTCTAAAATCTACAGATCGTGTGTTCCACAGCTTTGGGCCGTAACTGACAAAAGGCTGTATCCCCATTTCTTCTACAGCTGTTACTGGGACCTTCAATACACCAGCAGTAGATGATCTCAGTGTTCTCAGAGGTCTATAGTTAATAAGGGGGTTTGCAATGTAGCTTGGTCCTTGTCCTTTAAAGGGATAGTGTGGGTTATTTGACATGGTGTTGTGTGAGGTAGTCATGCATAGTCGGTATAGTACCTGCAGTAGCACCTGTTTGAGCAGGAGCACCGGCAGAGGGGCAGAGTGATGTGTTGCCGTGCACAGGGCCACCAGAAAGACTGTGTTTGAGACACTTTTAAAAACGGCCACCAAAACGATCCAATATCCGTTGAAATGCAGCTACATGTAGAATATTTTCAGCGGTTCAGCAATTGCACTGTATTACACCTCTTTCTAATTCACTCAGCTGACCTGCAGCTGCAGTGTAATACAGTGCGCTCTGAAGGTGCTCATGTGTGTAGGAATATGGTAGTTCAGCGGTTGAAAAAATGTAGTGCCAAAGGAAATTATTGTTTTCACAGAAAGATAAATTGCTGAACCCTGTGTATTCTACATGAAGCGTATATTTAAGCTGATATTGGATTGTTTCAGTGGGTTTTTTTTTAAAGATCAAAGATTTACAACACACATACTGTATAATCAGTCAAGCTGCTGTAACATAGCCATCATATCAGACAATTATAATACTGATTTGCCAGTTTGGTGCAGTTATACACCCAGAGTATAAAGGCCCCAACATTAACCACTTCCAATACAAACTAGAATCACCTCCTCGTGGTTGTCTGCCTCCTCCACTCACTTTCAGGTTACATCCCTGTTCACCCAGAGTCATACAATTTTGTCATAATTGCTGTGTGAAGTCTTGAGTAATGGATAAAAAGTGTTTTGTAAAGGTCACACTGACCTTTCACCACCAAAATCTAATCAGTTTGTCCTTGAGTCAGAGTGGACTTGTGCCTAATTTGAAGAAGTTCTGTCCAGGTGTTACTGAGATATCATGTCCACCAGAATGGGACTGATAGACGGACAATCCCAAACCAATATGCCTCTGGCTGTCACTGACGTGGAGGCATAAAAAGGGTGGTGTCTATAACAAGGATTACAAGAAGTAAATGTATTAGGTACAATTTACCTTGACACGGTTCTTTCAAAAAAGTATATGATATTTACATTTTACTCAGACGACCTTTACTAACCCCAAACAAAACAAACAAACAAACCAAACATAACCCATCTCCTTCCCAATCTGCCCCCCTCTCCTCAGTCCACTTGGTTTGCCCCAACAAGGCTAATTGAACACACTAGGCCCTGGTCAACAGCACTCTCATGGGCGCGCCTCCATCGACTTAACAGGATCTATCTTTAATAAATACATTACCAAGAATCACTAAACAAATATCTAATCTTAGATGTCTGACTGTCTGAGTGTAGTGTGTGTTTGGGAACGTGGGTGTAGGATGTGTGCACCTGTTTATTGAGGCTTACAGCTCCCTCACACTGCTTCACAGCAGTCTATCAACTGTACTGGGTATTAAAATGACAGGATGATGGTTGTCATGACAACTTAAATATATCAACAAAACCATAAAGTAGGTTATTAACCGCCTAACTCATGAAAGAATCTACTCACCCCCCTGATATACCCACCAAACACACACAGTGCATACAGTAATAGTCTGACTCCTATTTAAGCCGTACAGCGGTTCACAGGTCCTTCTTGCTGTAACTCTCTCATTGGTTAAACCTTGTATGGATGGTCCATATGCCTGCTGAGTCATATGCCTGTGTGCCTGTAGCGTCTGCAGGAGGAGGCCCAGTGGCTGATGGTGGTGGAGTACGTCAGGGCTCTGATGCAGAAGAGGTTGGTGTGTCGCAGCGCAGAGGAGAGGAGGCAGCTCGCTCAGCAGATGGTTCAGGATGACCAGCTGTTCAGAGAGATCTTGCATGGCCTGGTGAGCGTTGTTAATGTAAAACACCATCACCATCACCAGCACCTTACATTAACTCAAGCTGTCACGATTCAGAAATGTTTATCATGAATACATCCCAGCCCTTTGTAGTGTTGTATGGTGTTTGTGTCTGATGTGAAATATGGAATCAGTGTCTGATTCATCTCCCTCATGATGGGTGTGATGTGGTTTAATTGATTCTGTCGAACTAATCAAAACTACATAGACTGTGGGAAGTCCTGAAACTAATTGAGGTAACCCCTTTAATTTAAAGACTGTTAATTATGTAGTAATGTGAAGAAATTGCCCAGTCAAGTATCAGAATAATGCCAAGTTGTAGTAGTAGAATTACTGGGAATTACTGTAAAATACTGGGTAATTACAGAGTATATTGAAGCAGAATAAAGAGGGTTGGTTGGTAATTATATGGGAAGTGTTACAGTAAGTAGTATAGCCCATATATAGGGTAAGACAAGGGGGGTCTTCTCTGTATAGGCTACCATTAATATCTATAGCATTAATATCCCTTATTGCAGTGTGAAGACAGGCTGTTAGCAGGTGATACCAAGTCTCATATTTGAGCCATCAGCATGTCAACATAACCAAAATAAACACAGCAGCAGTTTCCTCCGCTCAGCCAAATACTTTCAGTGTAATAAACCTAATGTATTTCTAATTTCCACAGTCTGACCTTCCAATAAGCCAAGAGGAGTGGTAGCCATGGCAACAGTTGTTCACAACAGTCGATGTGGCGACTGCTGAAAATGTCACTGTAGTTAACCCATAATTACGTTACCACTGCCTTTAAAGTGCCTTTGTAGTGTGTGTTGTTTCTCAGACATACAGAGGTAGCTACCTGCAGGGGTGGACAGTAACAAGATTACTTTAGTACTGTACTTAAGTATATGTTTCCAGTATCTGTACTTTGATTTTTTTTTTTTTTTTTTATACAAATATTGTGCTTTTGACTCCACTACATTTCCATGGAGGACTCTTACTTTGAAGCAGAGCTTTTAGTCAGTGAATGAATTTTCTTCTATTTTGAAAATGTCATCCAAATGTGTTTCTGTGCAGGTTACACTTTACAGGCCATGGAAAAATAATTACAGCCAAAGTTCTTGTTACCATGTTCTTCCTATTACTCTGCTCATGTTGAAACTTTACACATATTATTACCAACCAACCCTCTTTATTCTGCTTCAGTGTTACTCAGTGATTACCTAATATTTGACAGTAACTCCCAGAAATTCTACTACTACAACTTGTCATTATACTGATATTACCTGACTGTTATTGCTTGGAAAATTCTTCACATTACTACATAATTACTACATCATTAACAGCCTGTAAGGTATACCCTAATTGATTCTATGACAAAATTATGAGTTTTTTTACACTTGGATATTTTAGATATTTTTCACAGTGGTAATTGGGGCCAATGTTTGATGATATCGTCACAATATTTGTCCTGCACTGTATCAAGATATTACATTTTGGATGTCACCCAATCCAAGTAAGGTGGAGTTTACAGTGCCAGAGAGGGTCTAAAGCCAACATGAAGGAAATACAAGATTTAACAATGATTTGTGTGAATTAAAATGTGAAACATTTCCAGTAGCCAATGGTGCCTCAATTCAATCAAAAATACTGGTGTTTGAATCAGCTTTCACAATCTCATAATCAGGTGTGTAACTGTGTGTCTCTGTAGGAGGGTGATGGGTCAGTACCTGAGGTGAACCCTTTAGCCTTACTACCCGTCCTGGCTGACTTCATCCGACTCAAAGACCCCAGCATGCTCACTTTGGAAGTGTCAGGACTCGCAGCCAAATACCCTGATATCAGGTAATCTGACTTTCAGTCTGCCCGGCTTGTTTTGTAGTTTTTAAATCATAGTTGGTATAGAATTAGCTAACGTTAACAGTGTTTGGTTTCAGTCATGGGAATGTTATTTCATGTCAAAATGAGGATAAAATATGCATAAAGTAACAGGCATAAACATTGTTGATAAAAACTGATCACACCTACATGTTTTTCTCTTCCCTCAGTGAAGAGCACGTGTCTGTCCTGCTGGACGTCCGTGGTGATGTCTCCAGGGACATCAGAGGGGCTGTGCTGGACTTGCTGGAGCAGAGCGCCCCTCCTCTGCCAGCAGGATATCGGCCCATCTTCACTGACATCCTGGTGCCTCCATCCACCATGGCCTTCTGTCTGCCCACGGCCAAGTGTGCATGACTACAAGAACTAAAACTTTGACATTGACAACAGTGTGGATCTCATTCTGAGATGGATCATTGAGCTAGCTCCTCTTAGCTCATCGTTACACTAAAAAATACAGTTCTGCCAATCATCATTTATCCAGGGAGCACCGACTCAGCTCCTTGTTTCTTCCTCAGCACCTCCTTGCTTTATACTCACAGTGTTACACACATCATTCATACAGGGAGCTTCCCATGACCACCATTACAGTCTGAAGCAGGTTGAGAGTTCAGGGTCTTGCTCAAGATCTCCTTAACATTATTTGTTAGTGAATCATATTCATTTCCTTCGCCTACAGTTTACCAGGGATTTGAGCAGGTCCACGCTGGTTCAGGTCCAACTTCAGTTATTTCAGAAACTCTTTTTTTCTGAATCTATGAGCCACTGATTTGGTAACATGGGCTGTTTTAATGCCTTAAAAATATTATCAGTACAACGATATCATCATCTCATCTTCATCAAATTGTTGTCAAGTGTCTCAGCGATTTGTGCTATGGATTTAAAGCTGCAGGAAGCAACTTCTCATTCATGACATTAGTACAGAAGCTGAGAAAAGCCATACTCGCAAATATTTTTTTGTTATCTCAAGATAACAAAGCTCATTATCTCGAGGCAACGAGATATTATCAGAGAAAACAATTCTTTCATGTCTCGAGATAATGAGATAATTACCCCGTTAACTGGAGATAACAAAGCTTGTTTTCTCATTATAATACTTTGTTAATCAGAGCTCAGATGTGCCAAGCCAGTATGCACATGGAAACTTGTAGTGCTGTAAGGTGAAAATGTCAGGATGACACATTGATCAATGCATTAGAGAATATTTCAATCAAGGGCAGAAAATCACTGGACTGATCATTTTCAGATCAGTCCTCGTCAGCTAACAGGTTACTATGGACTGTTGCTGAGGAGGAGTGTTACTGCGACTTAGTGTATGATGTTCAGTCTAAATCATTTTCTCCTGATAATATCCCGTTAACTCGGGATAACACAGTTCATTATCTCAGGATAAAGAGCTGTTATCTTGACATAATGGGATAAAAAAATATCCACAAATTTGCTGGGTTTGTGATGCTATCAAATGGATGGTGCAGCTTTAAGGTGACGTTATGGAACTTGCTGAACAGCTGCTGCTGTGGCCACAAGGACAAATTATGTGATTAAAATATGCTTCATTGTTTTCTGAAGACACACATATGATTGTGTAGGGGGGGTCACAGCCAAATGCTTTCCAGTTCTGTCACCTGTTGTAGATTGTCATCATTATGAAATATGTACATATGTAAATGCTAAAATATGATTTAACAGTAGCGCAAGTAGAGAAGAGTCAAAGTTACCAAACTGACTCCGTTTACACAGCAATATCTACTGTATCTCAAGTTTGCTAACATTAGCCATCACAAGCTACTGGTCATACCAGACCAAGTGAGGCTGTAACAGAGACTTCGATACAGAAAACTGGAGCTATCTTCTGCGGGAACAGACTGTTTAGTTACACCCAGCCATCATGTAACACACTATTTTGTGTTAGAGATCTTTAATCAGGACCTTGTGACACCTGGGACTCCTGGCCAACAGATGAGAAACTTTTAACCAGACAGTCACACAGAGAGAAGTGTCTACTCCTGTGGCCCGCGAGATCTGATCAATGAATGTAAGTAAGTCCAAAGCCTCTGATAACTTCCTACTGAAGAGACAAACTATGGGATTTTAAATTGGCTCATGGATTTATGTATATGATGCACTGTCTGTTTCATGTTGAGCCTCAGACTCATTGTAAATGTATTTCAGATAGAGATGTTTAAAATGAAATCAAAATAAAAAACATCATTGTGTTAATTTCTGGTTTAATCAATGAATGTCAAACTATGGTCACAGCATCGTGTACAAATGGAGGAGAATGCAGTCCACAGAGTGATGCACTGTAGCATGTAACAGATGAAGGTGATTGTATGAGTTATAACATATGGTGTGTTTTCAGTGAGGACCTGTCCTGCCTGTCTTTATGTATTTTCTTTTATTTTCTTATTTCTTTTTTTTTGTTTTTAATGTATCTTGTGTTGTTTATATTGGGTGTTTATAATATAATTTTTAATGTATTTATTGTATTTATGTAATTGTTCAACCATTTCCTTTTGAAGAGTGTTTCCTACTGGTTTTTCAAAGGGTATTTTGCTTGTTCTGGTTCAATGCCAACATCATCTCGCTCCGGTAAATAAATGCTTACATAAATGCTTAAAGTAAACTTTCATCATCATTATTATTATTATTATATGTTGTTGTATAATTCTAACAGGAATCTAATTTAGATATTTTTTTTAAATTGTGTTTTAGTGATTTTCCTTTTCAGATTTTTGGATCAACAGAACGTCAACAATGTAGAGATATATTTTAACATTTTATAACATTGCTGTTATAATGAAAAGTTAACTGGGTACTATTTACTTTATTCCCCTTTAAAAAGCCAAAGGGGGAACCAGAGGAAGCATTGTGTGGTGAGGAGGCAGCTGGATAGGTTAGGTTCAAAATGGATTTTTGAAAAAGCATATTGGGAAAATTTTCTGGGTGAATGTGATTTAAAAAAAAAAAAAAAAATCAAAATCAGATTGTAAGTTGATCTTACTTTAAAAAAAAAAAGCTACTGATTGCCTTAAAAAAAATAAGTAATTAGAACTATTAGTTTTAAGTTACGTTGACTTTATATCCCCTTACTAAGTTTATTTAAAATGTACATGTGTTTACTTCATTTTGTGAAGTTCCAACTTAAAAATGGCAACTAAAGTTAACTTGGTCTTTTTAAGTGTAGAAACGATTAACTGTAAAATAAGGCAGGGTATAATAGCTGCAGTAAGTTCTTTTCGTAAAAGCGCAGACAGGACAAGGAAAGAAATAGTAGCATGGTGAGATGGGAAGTGCAATCAGTAAAACTTTAAACTGCTACTAGTTTAAACTGCTACTAGTCAAAAGATCCCATCATTTTCAGAATCTGGTTCAGCACCAGCCAACCCAAGCAGGTTAGGAATTGATTAGGAAAACAATAAGACAGGCGAAGAGGACATATTGTTCTGTGAGTCAACTGGGAACGCCGCTCAGACAGGAGAAGTTGAGGAATGATAAAGAAAATTGGTGGTGATACTAGCAGAGGGGAACTACACTGATCTGAGCACTGGAGATGAAGTGGCCATAACTTCTAAAGAAAAAGGCTGAACTCATGGTAAATACCTTTGTTGCTGTACACAGCTCCATTAATCTGATTGAGGAGGGAAAGCGAGTGAATTGGATACTGCATTTACTGTTGGAGAGTTGAAGAGGGCATTAGCCAAAACAGGAAAGAGTGCACAGGGAAAGGGAAACAATATGTTTTATAATGATTAAACACCTATGTGAAGGAAGGTTAAATGAGATGTTGTCATTATTCAGTAAAGTTTGGATGGATGGGTGATTCCCTGTGAGCAGGAAGGAAGCAGTTATAATTCCAAGCAGGAAGTCTGGGAAAGATCCCAATAAGCCAGTACACTACAGACCCACTGCTTTAACATCACATATTGGTAAACTAATGCTCCAATGTTTGATGTGAAAAAGCCATATGATATGGAGAAGAGGGCTGTTGATGGAGTTACATTGTGGGAAACAGCTTCAGTTGGATTACGTATTTTTTTAGTTGAACAGAGTCTTTAGGTTAAGATTAGAAAATCATTGTAGAAAGTAGCAGATCCCAGGGGAGTGTTACATTATTCTCAGTTATGATTTGAAAGTATGCCATCAGATGTGACACCCTCTGTTTGCAGATGATGGGGCTTTGTGAAGGACAGGAAGGAATGTAGAACATATAGTTAAGAAACACAATAAGGGATAAATCAAATGTAAATATGAGGAACAGAATGTGGTTTTAAGTGAGAGAGAAGGGAAGACATGCAGCAAAGGGCCATAGGTTTAACTCGAAACCCAGGCCACTGCAGTTAAAGTAAACCTGCATGGTAGAGCTCTACCAGGTGAACCACCTCATCACTTTTTAGTGTCCCCTGAAAACACTTCCGTAGTGTTTTTGTGAGACCAAGTATATGAACTACTGTTTACTAATTCAATGTCAGAGGAACTACATCGTGTTCATGTGGATCAGTGTTGTGCCAGTTCACATGTAAAAAGAATTAGTTCACAGTTCAGTTCATACAGATGAAAGTGAACTAGTTCACGTTCATTTGTACCGTTTTTTTAATAAATAAAGGACGATATTCTTTTTCAATAAAACCTCCTTCTACCCATCCATCACCAGCCCCAAATCATTGCCACTCCTAAACTAAATGAATTATTGTACACCACTGACACACTTTAGTTAGATTTAAAATCCATATATAAATATAATCCGTCTGAGTCTTCACTTGTTTGTTCATAAAACTGCTTTGAATGCTCAAACAAACTGTCTTCAGCAGTAGCAGATGCGTCTGTATCGTCTGGTGAACTGGTCACAGCAACTTGAACAGTACAATTTTTATCATAGGAAAACATCCGACTGGTCATTGTAATCAGTGTCAGGAAAAAGAGACAGAGGAACACGTCCTGATTTCATGCAGGAAATATGAAGAGGAAAGAAGAGCAATGGTTACAGGACTACAGAGACCAGGGTAGGTGGAGGCCAGGATTAAAGATGGTGGAGGGAGACAATGGATATTTAGGTTTTTGAAAGACTAATTACAAGATTGTAGTGGACGATTAAAACCAGAGGGAGGCAGTTATCCAATACCAACTACCGTAAAACCCCAAAGGAGAAGAAGAAGAAGAAGAACACAAAGACGAAAACACAGTCACATGACCCGAGACGTCACGGGAAAAGATGGCAGCTTCCGTTGGGGCAATGCTTTTTCAGTAAACCAGAGTTTCTTTAGACTTGTGAAGAATATTTCGGCAAAAAACACTATTTTATGTGGAGTGTTGCAGTAGTTGTGGCAGAGATGAAGACCTTCTGCGGAAGAGCCAACCCGACCACTGGAGCTTTAGAGTGGGTGGAGGAGAGCGAGGAGTACGACTACCACCAGGAGATAGCCAGGTAGCAGTGAGCCGCTGTTACACCGGCGCCACCGCAGCAGCATGGAGAGAAACTGCACACATTATTATACTATTATTATACTATTATTATATGTACTATTTTACTATTATATTTCACTATAATACATACTGATAATATATACTATTACCCTCCTCTATATTGTAATACTTTTTTTTTTTTTTACCGTGACTACATTGACAATGCATTATTATATATCATATATTGTATTTATATTCCATAATTACTTACTTGAGATAACTACGTTGCTAACCACTGTTTTTATTCTGCTTCTGCTGTTTATAATCTGCTTAGTATTTATTATTTGTTATGTCACTCACGGCTACTTTGTGCTGTGTTTACATTCGGGTGTACACACCGCACATTAAGGACTAGTAGTTATATGCAACACACTCGCCTTTGTAGTTCTGTTCTCTGTCTACAGTATGGTGTGTGTTATGTTGTTTTCTGCACTTTGGTCCGTGAGGATCGACATGTTGTTCAGCCAGATATTTTGTATGTGGATGAATGACAATAATAGTGTTGACTTGATTGGCTTGATTTGGTGGCAACAATTCAACAAAGGACACAAGGATTCAGGAGCCCAGACTTGAGTTTGATGTTTTGTCATTTTCTTACATGGCAGTTTCATGAACAAACACCAACACATTCTGTTAATCAAGCCTGAGATGAGTGTGTTTGTCTTCCAGGTCCTGTTATGCTGATATGCTGCATGATCATGACAGGGTGAGTGTGAGAGAACATGACGAACAGCCTGATAGGAGTATTTATATTATTACAGTACTAAGGTTGCTACACCCTGTCCTTGGTTTGGATGTTTATGTGACAGCTGCATTACAGCTTCCTCTACAAGTATTTCTCTAAGTTCTTAGTGGCCATCAAAAGTCCACACATGATTAAATTTGTCCAATGCTTTTTGACTGAGGTGTGAGGAAGCTTTATAAAATCAGAAACTTTATAGGTGAGAACACAGGGCTGCACACTTCCTATAACAATGAATAGATAAATGTCACATTGTTAACCTGTTCACTAGTATCTGTCTCAGCAGCACTTTTTTTAAAATGAAATATGAACAAATAGTTCACCACCAGAGCATTCCCATAACACAGCTGTCCTCACACATGTCCTCTCTCACTTCCAGAACGAGAAGTACTACCAGGGGATCCGGGCGGCTGTGGCCAGAGTAAAGGCTCGTGGTGAGAAGGTCGTCATCCTGGACATTGGGACAGGAACAGGCCTTCTGTCCATGATGGCCGTTACTGCTGGTGCTGACTTCTGCTATGCTGTGGAGGTACAGACAATCCTCTTATATGTACTTAATGGATACTGTACATTAGCAGGGCCAATAGGTTCCCCTCATGTGTTGGATACTCTCAGTGACAGATGAGGAAGGAGACGCTTACAATCATTTCCTGTATCTGAGTCTTGTGGGTTTCTCCCCCTCCCTCCCCTGTAGGAGACCAGCAGCAGGTCTGAGTCTGTTCACTCCAATGAGAGACGTCAACCTGATCACATATTGTGATTCTTGAGTCACCAAAATAAATACCAGATCCATTTCTCACAAGCCAAAGCTCTTCAGAACATTGTGACATTAAAATGTCGTTTTTCAGACAGATCAGGAGAAAGTGAACTTTATTAGAGACAGACAGACTGCAGGAGAGCTGCCGACACTTTCCAACCACAGAAGTTTAGAGGGATCTATATGTTGAAACCATGGATTAAAAGTTAAAACTGAAATATAACTTGTTTCTTTGCTTTATAATACTATGGTTGTTACTGTTTTTGGAGGGACAACAGAGTATGAGACTGATATGATCTTGCACTGGGTTGATCAGATAGAAGCAAACAGATAAAAACATCAGGTGTTCAAACTGTATCTAGTGTTGTGTTGTTGTGTTTTGACGTGAACAAGCAATCATGACCACGCCCACTTAGGAGACAAGAAGTGTACAGCATTTCTTACCATTGGCGCTGCTTGTAATGCATCATCTTTTGTTATAAAGGATCTTTGCTCTTGTCCACTGTAAACACAGATGTGCATGATAACTGCTTGTCTAGATCTGGGTGCTACTCACATCCAAAACCCCACTTTTACCTGTAGGTTTAATCTGTGACAGGTCAACACTTGTACAGTTCAAAAATTAAGTAAAAGAAAACAGTATGCATGTTAAAATCATTGAACTTTTGACTGTGGCATGGACAGGAGCAGCGACAGATTAACATTTTAATAGTTTGTTGATTCATTTAACAATTCACCTGTATAAAATGTGAAAGATCACTGCTGCTACTACTTACAACCCAACTGTATGTATTTACTTTTACCTTGATACGAAACAAACAAAACAACCTGCGGCTTCAGGTTTCTCTGTTTGCTTTGTGTCTGCAGGTTTTTAAGCCCATGGCTGAAGCAGCACAGCGCATCGTGGAGAAGAACGGCTTCTCTGACAAGATCAAGATTATTAACAAACACTCTACCGATGTCACTGTGGGGCCAGGTCAGAGAGAAACAACACACACACACACACACGTACCTGCTCCATATTATTATTGTCATGTTGTTGTGTCTCTGTAGTTGATATTTGTGTGATGGGGATTTGCACATATTGTATTTTGTCTTGGGTTGAGATGTGTTGCACTTGTGATTTACTACAGATGGAGATATGCAGATGAAGGCCAACGTCCTGATAACAGAACTGTTTGATACAGAACTGATAGGTGAAGGAGCCCTGCCCAGCTATGAACATGCTCATCAAAACCTGGTCCAGGTGTGTGTTTGTGTGTGTACGTATGCATGTGTGTGTGTAACCAACCTTGACAGAACTTCTTCAAATTTGGGGCAAATGTTCACTTGAACTCAAGGATGAAATGATTTGATTTCGGATGGTCAAGACGGTCAAAGTCAGTGTGAACCTAACAAAACATGATTCGTGGTTTGTGAACGCCATATCTCGAACACAAAAGTGTTGGTGGAGGCATAAAACGTGAAGCAGTAATTCTAGTTACAGTTATATCTTTTTCTATGTTTGCATTAAGGCTAGAAGTGAAATCCATCTACTGTGTTCTAACTGCTCCTGTCCCTCCACCCGCAGGATGGCTGTGAGGCGGTTCCTCATCGGGCCACCGTCTACGCTCAGCTGGTGGAATCGGAGCTGCTGTGGAGCTGGGCTCAGCTGCAGCTGGAGGTGGAGGGGCGCCTGTCTGGTTCCGCCGCCTGCCTGTGGGTCGCTGTGCCGAGAGCTCATTCGGTGTGTGACATTCAGCTGAGCCAGGTGTCTCCAAACAGCTTCACCCCGCTGGGTCCTCTCTGCACCATGTTCAGGTGTGAAGTGTTAAAGATGAAGATGTTCTTCAGATGGTTTTCTCTCAACATGTTTTCACACCCTGCTCCCCCCCCCCCTCTGCACTCCATCTTTCCCTTCAGAGTGGATTTCAGTAAGCCAGTAAGCAGTGCCTTCCAGTCCCACTCCTCCCAGTTTGTGCTCAGTCCAGCGGTCGAGCCCAGGTGGTCCTGTCCTGGTGGGACCTGGATATGGATCCCAGTGGAAGCATTGTGTGCACCATGGCTCCTAGCTGGACATACCCACAACCAAAGATGGGTCCGGTGAGTTATAAGACACAATGTCATGATGCTCTGATTCAGGCTGCAGTCGCCCCCTCGTTAATGCTGCGGTGTGTTGTAGTGGAGGGACCACTGGATGCAGAGTGTGTACTTCCTGCCTGTGGAGAGCAGGTGACAGAAGGAGAGGAGCTCAGTCTGACGGTCTGCCATGACGACTACAGTCTGTGGTACAGCCTGCGATGTCACAGGTAAAAACGGCTCGGAGACAACATAGTGTATGTGTGTAAGTACTGTACGAGTCTGTGCGTCCTGCATCACTCAATAGTGTAACAGCAACATAATACTCAGCAGCCACTCTCTGGAACAAGAGCATCAGTCTCACCACAAGGTCCATTTAGTAACTGTTCTTAAGCTTTCAGTGGTATCACACAATCTGCCGTGGCAGACGAGTTACTACAGCCATCAAAATACTGAAGTGATTACAGATCTGTTAGCCGTCATTTAAATTTCTGCAGTTATCCAATAAGTGGCTCATTAACAGATTAAAAACAGCTGATTCAGAAGAGGTTAACAGATAGCTGAAGCTTCCAATATAGTGCTGGATCAGACTACATGATATCAGCCTGGTAATGACATGAACTGACAGAGGTGAGATATCAGGGGTGAAAATGAGCTCTTTGTCCTGTGTTGTATGTCATGGCAGAAGACCACTGTGTCACCATTATTTTCTGATAGCATGTCGAAATGAATTTGCTTTCCTCATCTAGTTTGACAACTTCTTCAGCAGGTGTCTCCAACCTTTTTTACTCTGAGAGCTACTTTGACGAGATAAAAGCATCTGGTCACAGTTATTCACATGTATCAAAACACTCAAACTGATCTCCAAAACAGATCAGATCAATAAGACCATTTAACAAGTCATCAGATATCAACATCAAAAAACATGTAAAAATCAACAGCTATGACTCAGACATCAGACCTGAACAGACAGACATGAGAACACCACTATAAATAAAGCTCCATAAATCTGATTAGAAACCAGAGAAGAAGAAGCTCCTCAGTCAGTGATCAGTGATAGTTGTTCATCAGTGATTCATTTCAAACATGGGACAAAAAAAATTTAAAAAATGGAGCTCAAGTTGAAGCCCACAGTTAAACTCACTGTATCCATGGCAACATATTTCTGTTTGTTGGAGAAGTTTGGTTTATATCTGTTTCCATCACTGCATGTCGCCTACAGCTGATCTGATGTAAACAAACCTGACAGTAACTCATTTGAGTGACAGCTGACACATGATGATGTGGTGTTGAGGGGGGGGGGGGCTGTCTGTGTGTTTGATTTAGTTGTATTTAGAACAGATTTACTGAGTGAAGGTGAGTTGCTTAGAGTTTGAACTACACATCCATGGTCTGTACAGACTGTACTCTCAGACCCTTTGGGTGAGCGACTCTACAACAGGGGGTGAGCTACTGGTAGCTCACGAGCCACCTGTTGGAGACCCCTGCAATAGACAGAGTCTGGGCTTGACCAGACTCCAAAGCTAACTATAGTCATGAATGTGACAACAGATGAGAGACCCTGTCTGTCCCTCAGCTAACAGACTGTCTGTGTGTTCATGTTGCAGCCAGCAGGACTCACAGACTACAGCTCCTCCGTCTCGGCCATGCTGCACCTGCCAGGCTCACCTGGTTTGGACTCGGCCTCGTTTCGGTGAACTCAACGACAGACAGCGAACAGAGAGCTACGTCAGTGCTCTGCGCAGTGTAAGTCAAGACCAGAACCCACACTGTTTGTTACTGAATGAATGGATATGATTGTTCTCTCATTACCTGCTGTGTTACCTTCAGGTGCTGAGAGAAGACAGTGTGTGTCTCAGCGTCAGTGATGGAAGTCTGCTCCCTGTGTTTGCTCGTATGCTCGGAGCCAAGAAGGTACTGTGCTATGATCATGTGAGCACATAGTGTAGCTTTACAAATCACCACACTCAGACTCGCTTAATGACTTGTCTTTTTATTCACTCGGCCTCTGCTCAGGTCTTCGGTTTGGAAAACTCCAGAATGTCCAAACAGGTTATTGAGCAGGTAAATGACAACTATTTAAAGCGCTACCTCACCTGTCCTGTTTCTCAACATTAGAACACGACCTCCAGAGGCAGGAGAAGAGCTGATACTACTCATTTTTCTCTACAGGTGTTGGAAGCCAACATGATGAAAGGAGGAGTCGAGCTGCTGGAGATGAGGCCTGACCAGCTCACCAGTAATGACTTAGGAGAACAGGTACTTTTAGAACAAGCCTATAGTGCTGTCCATTGCTGTCTGCCAGTGTGTCTGGCGTTAGATGAAACTCCATGACCTGAACACAGTGGCTTTAAAGCTGCACTAATCGGTATGTTAGAGATTCACAATGTGAAACAACACGTCTTTAAACTTATTCAAAAACATAATGTGTCCTATCATAACTATGCTGATGACATGCAGTTATATATTTCCCTGTCCCACAAATGATCTGAACCCTATTAACGCACTATTAGAATGCACCGAGGATACTGATAACAAGATGTCCCAAAATGTTTTACAGTTAAATAGTGACAAGACAGAGATCATGGTTATCGAGGCAAAAACTAATAGACAGGAAATCTCTCGGCCAGATCTCAGTCCTGATGGGTGAACCTTACTTCAGCACCAGCCTCTTACCTTGGCACTCCCTGTTCTTCTGGTACTGTCGGACCGCCCTGGCAGGCCTCCTGCGGCCCAGCGCCGCCATCCTGCCCTGCTCTGCCACACTTCACATGGTGGCTGTGGAGTTCCAGGTGAGACTGATGAGAATGTTCTCATACATATACATGTTTTCTAATAACCTCACAAGAGAACATCCACTATAGATAAGTCCCTGTTGAATGACTGTTGTTTCTACCATGTTTGTCAGGATCTGTGGAGGATAAGAGCACCATGTGGAACATGTGAGGGCTTTGACGTCACACCCATGGATGAAATGGTCCAGGTAATATTTTTCTGTAATTCATTTATTTTTTTTAGCTGGAAATTTTTTACATCCACTGAGGTGTGCTTCACTGGTACTTGTTAGTGTTGGGCTGATATTCGATAATATGGAATATTGAGATATTTCCCGCCATATGAAAACATTTTGATGAACTGATTAGGTTTTGGTGGTCAAAGGTCAAAGGTCACAGTGACCTCACAAAACATAAATTTGGCCTTGTGAACCTTATCTCAGTAACACCTTGAGGGATTTTCTTCAAATTTAGCAAAAACATTCACCTGGACTCAAAGATGAACTGATTCAAATTTGGATACAAACTCAGGAAGGAGAGCCTGACCGTATTCCCTAGACAGGAAATATCTTTCCATGTCTTGCTCCTTAACTGGTTGATGGAGGAACCAACCAGGAGCTGGAGATTCTAGTTTTTTCAGTTTTGCAGTCTATTTCTGCTGCTAAGTCCAACCTCATTTCACTGCTTTGTTCACTGCACATTGAACCTTGGCATGTGACAAATAAAACTTTGAACTGCTTTTTAGTGGCAACATCGCTTATACCTGAAACATAAAATACAATAATATAATTACAATATAAAAACGGCAGCTTTATAATATTGTATATGGCAGTATTCGGACTGGACTGTATCGAGATGTTAAAGTTTGGATACCTAAGCCTTGTACTTGTCTGACACTTTGATCATGGAGAAGAAATGTGTTACATGGAAAACACATGACAGAAGATGGACCCCTCCATTCATTTTTTTTCTGTATTTTAGTTCAAAATGTACATGTCTGTCTGGTGTCAAAGTAAAACAAGTACAAATCATTTGTTTATTGTTCAGTCTTTGTTTTAACATTTATTTGTGTGCTTTTGGAACAAGCTCTGTATCTGTGTGTGTTGAAATAACTGATGACAGTGGAAACATCATGCTCCAGATGTTCTGAGGAGACCCTCTCCCTCTGTCATAATTGTAAGGTGACTTTCTCTCCATACATGGCTTCTATTAGAGTGTTCACTGGATAAGTGTAAGTGGTTAATATTAGAGAGTGGTCAACCATGGTCCTTTGTTTGTCTCCATGATGAATGATACATTTTGTGCAGTCCTTTTTCTTTCACCCCATCAGTGTTTCAACAGAGCAACTCTCCTTAACACTGGAGCTTTACAAAGGGACAAAAAGTCTGAATGATTTAGTATGTGGGTGAAGTTTCATCATCTTGTTTGGTCTTGTAGTGGTTTATTTAGAAAATGAATTCTTTTTATTTGACTTTATTGGATGAAGTGTAGAGAATGAGACAAATACTGATGCCAACATATCTCTAAATATGGCTGGATGCTACAGTAATAGCGTGATGAGTGGTGACAGGTGAAAATCAACCATAATACAATGAATGGAAGGCAAACTCATTCTGGACTGATGCCTCTATTCAGCAGGTAAAGGAGAGCACAGACAGGTTTGTGATATGTAGTTGAAGTTAAGAGGGTCTGTTTGTTTAAAAATAATGCTTTTAAACTGAACTCTCCTCATCTGGCCCTCCAGCAATCTCTGGATTTCCGTGAGTCCCGGGAGGCAGAGCCCCACCCTCTGTGGGAGTACCCGTGCCGTGCTCTGACCCAGTCCACAGCCATCATGACCTTTGACTTCACTCAGTGTGTCCCTCAACAGCCAATCAGCAGTCTGGGCTTACTGCCCTTCATGAGGTACAGTCTCTTTCTATAAATGTAACTATAATGGATGCTTTTTGAATAGAAGTTTATTAAGTGATCTGTGTCTGTTGTATGAATTTGAATATTTCTTGCTTTTTGAAACCAAACCCTTTTCACTTCAACTTTGGTTGAAAAGTTGGTTGAGACTGAGCAGCAGCAGCAGCAGCAGCAGCAGCAGCAGCAGCAGCAGCAGCAGCAGCAGCAGCAGCAGCCGCCGCCTCCTCGCTGTGTGTTTGGTCCTGCAGACATGAGCAGAGCCTCCACAGGAACAGATGGCTGCAGCACAGGAGGAGCTTTTGTATGAAACTTTTCCCTTCACGCTCTCTGTGCTGAGTCCTTAACAGTCTGTTTACATGTCTGTTTCAGGATTGGTTGTTGCCATGGTGTTGCGTTGTGGATGGAATACCACCTAACCAATGACATCACTGTCAGTGCGGGTCTGATTGGTCCAATCAGTGAGCAGGTAACACAGCCTTTGTCTCCTGAACAAATTAAACATCTTTGTACACTGAGCTTTTCTTACTTATTTTGTTTTGGCTAATTAACGGTCTCACTGTCTAATACAAGGTGGGTGATGTATATTATCTGGCTTTATATTTTAAATCTGAGCATGTTTGTTCTTGTCACTGGTCATTTTACTTTAGTTCCTCACAAAACATGGTTTTGGCCTCATGAACACAATATCTCAAGAACACAAAAAGTGTTTTGGCTCAGTTTAGCTCAAATGCATCAATTGTGTATGAGAGAAAAAAGCTTGTGAAGAGCAGCCAGAGGCTACAGAAGATTTTCAGAATGAAGTTTGGTGACAATAGATGATGATGATGATGAGAATAGAATTGATGACTGCTTGTCCTGCCTTCTCCTGCAGGGTGACTGTGAGTGGAGTCGGCACAGGAAGCAGGGAGTGTATTTCTTCAGGTCGCCATGGGAGAGCTCAGGTGATGGCAGAGCCGCAGTGTCTTACAGCTTCACCTTTGAACCCAGCTCAGGAGACATTAAGATGGACTTCAGCATTGAGTCTCAGTGATGTGGAGCAACCACTAACTGAAGAACGAACTCTGAACACTGCTTTTTACTTAATATCACTGTTTGCATTTTGAGTGCATATTCAACACCTGGGCTTCAGTCAGCATTGTGTGGCATTTGCCTTTATGATATTAATACAAGATTTGACAAATTTGACAAAATCCCTAAAACTGAGCAGTTTAGTGTTGTTAGACTGTGGAGGATGAATGTTATTTATGATTATATTAACATGAGCATAAATATAATTCATGTAAATAAATAATTCATATGAAGGGCTTCCTATAAACAACTTGTGAAGTATATCAGTTTTACAGTAATTAAACAGCTGGATCCATCACATCAAAGGTGGATAACACCGACTGGCTGATGTGTTTTCAGTCAGTCAGTTTACTACATTTAAGGATAAAGGATGTGTTTAAGTAACACATTAGAGTCATTACAGGAAGAGAATGGGAGAACTGCAGTTTGTGTACGAGATGACTGATGATTTACCAGGACACTGGTCTAGCAAAAGTCTTGTAGACAGGTTGAATAAAGTTTTATACTGGTTTGCTGTGTCTCGTATCCTTAGTGCTGTAAAGTTTCCATGAAGGAAGGTGGTTTACTTCTTTACACAGGCTGCGGTCGCAAAGTCTTTTTTTTTTAGAAAGGTTCCTTACTGAGTGAAATGACCTGGAAGTGGCAGCCATGATCAGAGCTGGTCCAGTTCGCAGAGGAAAGGAGCTTCAGTGCTTCCTATCTTATCTCCTTTAGCATAGGAAACACTGGAGCTTCCTTTATGAGAGGAAAGGAGAATATGCCGTCCCACAATTCCTTGCTGAGGCAACATTTAAAACGATGCATCACTGTAGTTTCACCACAGCAGACCCACGTAATGTATCTGTTTAATGTTTCTGACATGATCTAAAACTGATGGAAATCCTCGTCTGATCGGATGAAGCCCAAATCCATGAATATAGATTTATTCGCTTTAAATCCAGGTAGGAATCGTTATGAAGAACAATCAGATTGAATTTCTAGTTTACAACATCATCATAACAAAACTCTCCAGTCTATACAGAAATGTTTCACCAAGTCCTCTCCCATTGTGTAAAGCACTGAAAATAATGGCTAAATATGGATTTTTTCTACTTAAATAAAAATGTCAAAAGCACCTATGTCAGAAACCTGTACTTTTGTCTGAATATAATTTATTCTGACCTCTTGCTCAGTTCCTTATATCTGTTGAATTATTTTAATGGCTCAACTTTCTCTATTTGTATTTTTTTTCCATGTTATCTTATTTCAACATTTCAATCCTGTTTGCTTTGTTTTTGTGCTTAGGAAAGGATGATTTGTTATCCGTGTTATAAATAAAGTTTGTTAAAAAAAAAATCCTAGTGTAAGTGCAGTCTGATTCTTCAAGTCCTTATGAATTCTCCTTCACATCTTTGACCTCATGACGTTTTCTGTCGAGGTCGAAGAAAAGTGGTTAGAGAAGGAGATTATTTTGACTTTTCAACCGCAGCCACAGACTGCAGGGACTAGCAGGGCACCGACATCACTGCCAGGCTCCTCAAACATTAGATATCGAATGTTCTCACTGAGAACCAATCAGTTTCATTTGAGATACTGTAGGTAGTTTATTGGGATCACCTAGCTAAAACTAAGCCTCGTACAGCAGGCCTGCAATAAATCCTACTTGGTGAAGGTTTTAATAGTTTGTGTTGAAACTGTTTTAGAGAGTTGATTCAACTGTATGGTAATTTTGGAGGCTGCAGTCTGTGGTACCATTGAATTGTGTGCAGACATGTGTTTCTATTATTTTGTCCAGGCTAGTAAACCAATCTATAAATTGTCTTTGTAAGGTGTTGGACCACCACGTTCCTCCAGAGCAGATTCACTGCTCCTTGTTATTGATTCTCCAAGTGTCTGAACTCTGGAGCTGGAGGATGAACACTATTCTGCTAAAACACGTTCCCGCATGTGGTGTTTAGATGATGGTGGTGGAGAGCGCTGTCTAACACGTCGCTCCAAAATGCCTCATAGGTGTTCAGCTTCTGGTGACTGTGAAGGTCACATCATCTTCATACTTATCAAACCATCAGTGACCCCTCATGCGCAGTGGATGGGGTCATTATCGTCCCGGAAGAGACCACACCCACCAGGATAGAAATGTTCCATGTTGAGGATACAACAACTTTGTATTGATTTGCAGTGAACCCTCCCTCTAAGGGGACAAGTGGCCCCAAACCATGACAGCAAAATGTCACCAAAAGCATAATGACCACCGGATCTTCTCACTGTGAGGGTCAAGCATTCAGGCCTGTACCATTCTGTCTGTGTACGCCACACATGACCTCACCCACTTGTCAAAAATGTGAAAGATGACACATCTGACCATCTCACTGTCTCTGTAGACTGGAGCCTCTGGTTTCTGCTCCTCTCAACTCTTTAATGTACTTACATTGATGTAATGAGGGTTTATGCCCTGCAGCATAATATCCCTCTCCATGTAACTGTTGAGACTGTTGATACCGACATTCTCAGTCGCCTGAGGAAGAGCTGCTCAGTTTTCCTTACCTGTGGCATTATTGTACGAGCACCAGTCATCAAGTGTGCTGTCGACCAGTTCCTGACCCCGTTTACTGACGTCTGTACCATAGATCTAAGTGCAGATGTCACTTACTGATCCTATTGAACCAGCAGCCAGCTGAGCATCTCTGTAAACAATGAATCCTTTTTCAAAGTCACTCAGATCTTTTCCTCTTGCCACCTTCATACAGAATCAGCTGGGCCTGCTCGCTGTTTTACACCTGTCACAGAGCATGATGGGATTTTAGCAGCTTAACTGTACCATGTAGTGCACCTTCGTTATGCTTCTCCACTCATTTATTCGGCTTTAAGTGATCAGCTGTCTATATTACTAACGACATTCAGTAAAGTAAATGGGACGCCTATAAACACCAGAAGTCTGGCTTTAGTTAATTGTATTAAAATGAATCAGAAAAAGGCAACAGCACATGTTTGCTTGTTTATTTACATAAAGAAGCTTCAAACTAAGCAACTACGGTAATCAGTTTGGATCCTTTTTGTATGGACCTCTGGATGCTTAAAGTATTGATTGTATACTGGTTCTACTTCAATGATCAGATGTGAATATAATTGTAAATTAAAAGAACAGATACATTTCAGTGCTTTTAGATACTTCCTATAAACCATCCAGGTGAATCTCACACCATCATTTTCATCATTCACATCAGCAGGAGTAAAACTGCAATGACAGTGCACTTCTTTCCATTTCATTCAAATTCCACTGTTGCTCACTGTCACAGCTACAATGCCAAACTCTCAAATTAAGAATCTCTTTGTGAACATGGCATGTTATTGCTGTTGCTGTGACATGACAGCATGACAATGAACTTTGAGGAAACATGTGTTGTCATTTGAAACTGAACTCCTCAAACAGAAGCCGTCTCTCTGAGCTCCTGGAAGACAGACAGACAGAAATCATCACATCAGCAGTGATGTCCACTGAAAAAGCAGCTCTTACACCAGGCACTGTGTCAGAGACAATCGTGTTTTCAGGGGCATCTCAGGATGGATGCAAAAGTAAGGAATGTAATGTTTTGAAGCATAAGTGATACATGTGTGAACATGTGGTTTCAAGAGTCCGTTAGTGTCTTGTTGTCCAGGACAATCTTCTCTCCTGGTTTGAATGCTGGCTTCCCCATGTGAGGACAGCTGGCACATCGGAACGCGTCACCGAGGTAACACTGAACAGATGATGAAAATCATTGAAATCATTATTTCTTAACACTGCCAACAGGTTAGTATGACAGAAGAGGAAACAGGGTGAGAATTTGACACTACATTAAAATAAAAATGTACTCACACTTCCACAGGCAGATTTCGGTAGATTTGTCTTCTGTTTTCCACTACTCTCCTCCTCCAACTCCTCAGCAAGACCACATGAGCTACACATACAACAGATAACATAAGGCATCATGCAATATTTAAATAATTTTCAAAGCACAGATAGCTGCTGCTGCTGGGGCGTCGAGTGGTGCAGTTGGTTGAGCATCCGCCCCATATGCAGAGGCTAAGGCCCTCGCTACGGTTGGCCTCGGTTCAAGTCCCACTTCGGACGGCCCTTTGCTGCATGTCATTCCCCCTCTCTCTGCCTCCCCATTTCCTGTCTCTCTCTACTGTACTGTCAATAAAGGCATAAAAAGCCCCAAAAAAATTATTTAAAAAAAAAAAGCCCAGCTGCTTCTTTAATGTTTAATACTAAATACCCACAACATGCTTTTTTTGTCTGCAGTTTAAAAACATGTGACCTCACCAGTTCTTGCAGGCTTTCTTCTTTCCAGCTCCATCTCCGCAGATGGGGGCTTTAAGAGAGGCCGGATCTGGCTTCTTCAAGTCATCTTCATCCAGCAGAGCATCAGAGTCTACCAGATCCTGGAGAAAGAGAACAGAAGGGACAAGAAAAACCTGGTGAACACAGGAAGACGACAGCATGAAAGGTACTTATTTCCCCAGAAGATATGTGTGGAAGCCCTAACATTACATCTACCAGGTTACCTGAGGTCTGTCCCTGCCCAGCTGAGTGATTTTAAAAGATACAAATCAGTAACTCACCACATCATCATCATCGATGTCATTGGCTGAGAGCGTCCACATTTTGACAGTGTTGGGATCCAGAGCAGGTTTCTCTGCTGCAACCACAGACGTTAACAAATATTAGCTTCACATCAGCTTTGACAGCAGTTCAGATAATTCAATTTGACAGGAAACTGTGAGGGACAGCTCATTGATCAAAGTTCATGATCTGTTCATTGTTAAATACAATTAGGCAATTCAATAATTATGTATAATCATAAGAAAAAAAAATCAGATACATACTCATGCTAATAATGAACACTAACTGAAAACAAAATGTAAGTCAGGAAAATGAAGGAACCATAATATTTTCTGGGTCACAAATTTGTACATCTTACTCTGTAGAATATAAAACTCTTAAATCAATAAACTTAAATATGTTTTAATACTTTAAAAACTAGTAGAAGATATGACGCCTTGCTTATTCCCTTGCCAAAACACTTTTTGTGTTCTCGATATGGCTTTCACAAGGCCAAAATCGTGTTTTATGAGGTCACATGGAACTTGACCTTTGACCCTTGACCACCAAAATCTAATCAGTTCATCCTTGAGTTCAAGTGAATGTTTGTGCCAAATTTGAAGAAGTTCCGTCAAGGTGTTACGGACAACCTGAAAACAATACGCCTCCAGCTCTGGCTGTCGCCGGCGCAGAGGCATAACATGTATGAGTGTACATGTACATGTACACATGAATTACTAACTACTGAGATCTATTTTGTGATGGCTCACACTTACAGTATCTGTAATTCACTGATTAATGACGTATAAAACATTAGATATAATCTATAAAGATTAGAATAATAATTGTGTCCACAAAAAAAACATAACCACCCACTTTTACCTACTTCTCTACAAGCAGCTGCACAAAGTTTAACTGGAGCTGATATTTTTATATATGTTGGACTACAACCTCAATACAATAGCAACTCGATACCCTCTCTTCTAACTAAAACCAGGGCCAATGTCACTTTATTCAACCTGCATCAGGGTGTTAGATATGACTGGTTATCATGGTTTTCTTTACCTTTAGTATTTTTAACCATCATGAGACACATTACATTCCCTTCAAAATCTGACCAGTGGTTTCAGAGGCATCACATGTGACAGACAAATGCAAAGCAGATGCACAGTGATCTCCTTGAATTTAACACGTGGATAAAAATACACTTACGTGGAAACAAACAAAAAAAAAAACATGTTTATGAACCCACCTGGCTTGGGTGTCTTTTTCCCGAACGACAGTTTAATCTGACTGAATGCTCCCACCTCATAGTTGGGCTTGGAGGCAGATATGCGAACTCTAGACAGGGTGTTTCCTTGGTAACCAGTGGCCGTTCTGAGGGAGCTCAATGCTTGTTCACTCAGTTCTGCTTTACTGATCTAGATGGAGAGGGGGGCAAGAGGGTCAACAGGTCAAACAGGAGACATCTTACAACAGAATTTAATTGGTGCAGATTTTTTCACGTATACTAATTAGGGGTGGGCAATATGACGATATTAGATCGTGAAGGATTACAACGTGAAGACGATCTCTCAAACTGCAGAGATCGTGGGATCGTCTAGGGCACATTCTATAAATTGCAGTTCTATGCTGATGCACCGACGCACCAGACGTATTGACGTCGTCAACCTGACCGACCAATCATAGCGAATTACGGGCAGTGACGCGCTTTCCTACCCGCCTCCTTGTTTGTGTGTGTAGCGGTAGCACATGGAGAGCGATGGCTGAAAGCCAAACGGAGTTGGTCTCTAAAAAAAATTCCACCTCCATTATATGGAATTGGTTTGGATTTTCCGCAACTGATCAAGCGCAAGCAAATGTAATTTGCAAAGTTTGCACAGAAACCGTTCGCACGTCGGGTGGTAACACGACGAACCTGTTTAATCACCTGAAGAGGAAGCACTAAAGCACTAGCACTAGCAACTGCTGCACTAAAAGAGATAACCACAGTCACTTTAGTTTGTATTTTTAGTTTCAATAAGCTATTTAGTGTTTTGATAAATAAATCCTGTTTAAGTGACTGTCAGTAATGTCTTTGATTGATATTTTACTTTCTGTTACTACTTTTGCAAGAGTGCACTTTATTAGGATGTTGTTGTTTTCCTTAAACTTTACGTTGTTTGCACATGCAGGCAAAACTGCGACTATTTGAAATAAAATCTGTTAAGAAAGGTTCTTTGGTCTAAATTGTCTGTTTTTCTTTTTCCAATTTAAGATCGTGATAAAATCGAAATCGTGATTTTATTTTTAAAAAATCGTGATATGATATTTTTGCCATATCGCCCACCCCTAACACTAATATAAAATTTTTATCAAGTTTATATTTATTTCATGCGCTCAATCCCAGGATTGTGTTTCTGCTTTCTGGGATTATTTCCTGTACTTCCCATTGAGGTTTGATAAGTGCAACACTTCCCTCCAGTACACACATTACGACAAAACAAAAGAATAATACACTCAGAAACACAAGTATGATTTAGCTTTTAAGCCATTTGTGTGCGAGTGTATTTAATCCTACAGCTCTGTGCTGGATCCACTCTCACTCACCACTGTCACTGACATGAAGCCCGACAACTTCAGAGCTGACACCAGCTTCTCAGCAGTCCTCACAGTCTGCGTCTCACCTCCTGGAACACAGAGAGAAACAAGGTCCAACACACAGCAATGCAATGAGAACAAAAAAGTTTAGTAGCTTTGCCACATTATGGTGACTTAAACTTAGAGGTCTTGAGGTTCAAACATCTTGCCTGACTCAGACTTCAACTTCCAATAAAGTAATGCGTATGAATTACTTTTTCCTTATAGAAAGTCATCGTCTTGACTTTTACACATCCCTGCCACCCTACATGACATTCAAACTAAAGGTGTTTCTCACCGGTAACTGGTTCATCCAGAACCAACTTCCCACCAGGCTTGAGCACTCTGGCCATCTCAGCTAAAATCTCTGAACTGTGGACGAAGGAGCTGTCAGCCAGAGGGCAAGAGAGTGCCCAGTCAAAGGTGGATGCTGAATGGGAGGCTGAGGAGAGGGGAAGAGAGAAAATTTCACTCCTGGCTTTTGAGTCATGCCTTCAAGTTCACACGGCTACACTAGAAAATACTCCCGTGCTTTGGAAGGCACATAAAAGTCTTGCATAAAGTAATTTAAAGTCAGGCCAAAAGTCACTCACACAGCAAAAGTCTCTCCATGTTCTCCACTGCAACTTTGCCATCTGCTCCAACAATGGCACCCAGTTCCTCTGCATACTCTTTCAGGGCTGCTGGTGCTGAGGGCTGTGTCCAAACAAATAGCACCTTGTCTCCTGCTTTGATGCCAAGGTCTGCCATGATTTCTTGGAGAAAGCAGAGGTTCGCTGAAGTTGTTGTAATGCTTGCTTTTAATGTCACCGTAGTTATGTCATTCTGACAATACTACATGAACATAAAGCCAGCCAATATGTATATAATAACAAATAGCAGTCTTAAAAAGTGGTAGGAGGGAAAATAGCATAATTGCTGGTTCCATCCTGGCTTTGGTCAACTATGAAAGTGAAGGTTAAAAACCAGCTTCAACTTGCAACTCAGTTCTCTTTTAGTCAGACCATTTTCACTAGAGGTGGAATTCGTACCCAGCTGAGTTGAAGGAGTTAAAGACAATCTTTACATACAAAATACGTCATATTGTGTATATGATGGGGTACATACACTGGAGTTTGAAGGATTCTGGCTGATGATGCTGTTATTGTGGGATTATAGTTTGTGGAACTGTATGATTTTTTTTAACCTTTTGTCTTTGGTGTAAAATTTTTAAGTTTTATCCCAGATATCGCCTGTCAATCAAACAGTCCGAGTCTCTCTTCTTTAGAGAGGGCCGTGTTAAAACTCACATTGTTTTATGACTCGAAATCATACAATAAATAATGATTTCAAAGCCGTGCTCAAACGCCTGTCCAAGGCCAGTCCAATGAAAAAAAAGAGATTACACTTTAATATAATATTATCTTATTACCATAAACACAGCACTACTAGCAGTTAGTCGATGATAACGAAAAAAAGAGTTACCGTATTATAAAATGTTTTTCTAAAGACTTGAAAACTGTAGAATGGTCTCGAAGTTTCTCTCTACACAGTTTATTACCAACATTTCCTTCATACGCAATGCTAACAGGCAAGAAATGTGGTTATTCATTCGCATTTAAGCCATGAGGTAGATAAAAGAGTTGGCTTGACTAGCAGTTAGCGCACTAGCTTTATGTTGACGCTGACGAAACTCAAAGATTACCTCCATGTTACATCAAGCAAACAGCGTGACGCAGAAGACGCCGGTGATTATAAAGTTTATAAGCGCGTTGTTCCCACTACGAGAGAACGGGACACGACTACCCGCGAACAAAATGTGCACATGTTTCTGTGTGATTGTTGTTCAATGCTTGTGATGGCTAAAAATACATAAATAGAAGACATTTTCAATCGAATGTACCCAGTGACCTACCTGCTAGCTTGGTGGCAGTTACTCTGTCAAATTGTGCAATGTAAAAAACCTTTTCCGGGTTAAATTTCAGAATAAAATAAAAATGTTATTACGTTGTATCCGGTATTCAATTATCCGGTGAAGATATCGTATATATATTTTAGGAATAACATGAAGTAATTTTGACTAAAAATCGCATACCCTCATTTCTTTCTTTTGTTATTCATTAGGAATTTCATTTTATTTTTCTTAGGTTTTGAAAGACTTGGTCCAAGGCATACATATATTATTGTTTCCACGATACTGGAATACATGGCACATTTTTTTATTATGGGAGACTCCAGTATTTAAATCTAGAAAAAGATAAACAAATGTATGAATATATCAAGAAAGAACAACAAAACAATAGTCACACACAAAGGAGACTGGCATCTATTTAGACCTATCTTCCATTTTAAGCCCAGAACTAGTTTTAGTCGCCATTTATTCTACTAAGCAACTGCTGTTTTGTTCATTTTTTCCATTTCCAACTATTTTTTTATGCGTTTTAGATTGAAGAAAGTATCCTTCGGTTCTCGGACTTATTCTAACTATTTTGATGAGTTTTTATTTCTGAACTGGGTCGCGCTAAAGTGACGTAGCTGTGTCTAAAAAAAGCGTCTTGGTGTAGTTGGATATGGCGGCGCTGCTGAGAGGTCTCCGAGCTGGAAGGGCACTTCGGGGGCTGGGCAGCGGTAAGACAGGGCCAGTGTGTTATTGTTGTGTTATGTTAATAATGGACAGCTAGGGAAAGTATTCCTGTACCGTCAGTTCTTTCGGTTTGTAGTTGCATGAAATTCAAATGAGCCAGTGTTCACGCGACGTGCCAAAGTCACTTACCGTAGGTGATCATGAAGGACAGAATCGTGCAATATTATGTTGGCTGTGGCTTTAAAAAACAAATTACTAGGCGGATAATTGTTAGTTGACGCGGTGCTACGGTTTTGTTGACCTCAATATTCAGACACGAGTCGCATGGTAAACACGTTCCTGCGACTGGGGGGCGTTTTGTCTCTTGTTATGCAAGCTGTCAGTGTGTTTATCCTACACTCAGTTGGCTGTTTATGAGGAACTCCCAGCTAAAACTGAAGTCTAATTCAATATTCCTGCACTAAATCACTCTTCATGAAGGATTAAGTTTTTTATAGAGGTGTTGATTCAGCTTTCAACTTTGAAGGTCTTTGGTGTTTACTTACTAATTTGGTTTGAACAAACAAAAACAAAACAGCTAACAGAAAATCAAAAGTCTGATCTCATGCTACACATAAAGCACAAAGTACAGTACAATTTACAGAACAATACTACTGGCACCTTTGCAAGAAAAATATTGTTTTCACGCCTATAGTTTGTACTTAAACTCACATGGTGTCTGACTGATGTCTGCAAAATTCATAGGATACAAGGCTACAAGTCTTTTTCAGGACCCTAAAAGAAATTCACACAAACTTTTTTTTAACTGTTGCACCAACAGTTTAAACTTGCATCAGTTGCTTAGTCAATGAAAGAGAGAAATGAGGAATCAGAGGGCAGAGGGCCTCAGCTTCCTTTAAAACTGAGAACTGGACCAATTTGCAGAAGAAGACTGGTCCAGACTAACAGTAGAAAAACAATACTTATGTATATTTTTCTAGTATCTGTACTTTACTTGAGTATTATTTATTTTAGAAACTTCTGACTTTTACTCCACTTAAAAAACAAATATTGTACTTTTGACTCCACGTTATTTTTAAAATGTGATAGACCACACACTCTCTTCATGACAGGAGAAAAAACAATCACAGTCAACTCCTCCACTGTCAGTCATGTTTGAACCTGTCAGTGTCCTAATGATGGCGAGGTCAGATAAAGATGAGGCAGAAAATTCTTCACCAGAGACCGTGGTCTGATCTGAGGTCTGTGTTTGAAGGTTTAGAAATAAAGAAAGATTCCTTTAATTTTAAATGTTTTCTGTGTTTACCTCGACCAGACTTCATCACCGACTAAAAAAACAAATATGAAAATAACAATGGCTCCTTTTGTTGATTCAATTGTGTTTTTATGGACATTTCTACAGGCTTTGTATCATATTCTGCAGGTTCTACAGTCAGTCAGTCAGTCAGCAGGTTGTTTCAGAGTCATTAGGTCCTGTAAATGTGGAACAATACAACAATGTGTTGACATAAAAATACAGTACTTTTGAATATTTCAGTATTTTTTAAAATCAAGTACTCCAGTACTTTAACTCAAGTAAACATTTGACTGGGGCGCCTCGGTGGCTCACCTGGTGGAGCACGTACCACATGTCCTCGGTCCTGGCCGCAGTGGCCATGGGTTCAGGTCCGACCTGTGGCCCTTTGCTGCATGTCATCCCCTCTCTCTCTCTCTCCCTGACATTCCTGTCTGTCTCACTTCACTATCTGAATGAATCATCCAAGAGTTATTTGTGATTTACTTGAATGGATTTACATGTGTTGTTGAGCTTGAGTATTAATTGAGTTTTTTAATTAAGGAGTTTGATTGTCTCCCAACCCAATGCTTAGAAATTAAACAAAATATTCCTCTCTCCAGTGGTGGCTACACCATCAGCAACAACCCCGCAGAGTAGCAGCCTGAGACGTGGCTTTCATTGTGCAGCACTGAGGCTTCAGGACGAATCCAAATCTGACAAGCCCCCCTCCTCATCCACAACCTACCATGAGCACTACCGGGCTCACACTACTGAACAGCACACAACAGCAGCTTCGCAGGGAGACTCAGCATCTGACCCGGCAGCAGAGGAGGCGTCCAGGCCAAACACCAGGTCAGTAGAAAGCAGGATATCTATTATGTAGAGTTTTTGCGCTAAGAAAAATAATTTTGTTGTTTGCAGTTTACTGACATCATCTTATAAGTGTTACGATTTCCAGGTATAGAAGTCCAAAGTCCTGATGCAAAGGAGCTACTCTTGTTTGTGCTGAAATGTCACTGTTTGTGTGTCTTCGTAAAGTTACCAGGACCAGAGCGGAGAGCAGGGTGAAGAGTACGAAACAGAGGAGCAGCTTCAGGCTCGAATCTTGACTGCTGCTCTGGAGTTCGTCCCGCAGCACGGCTGGTCGATGGAGGCCATTGCAGCAGGTGCAGAGGTGAGCTGCTGTTCAAATTAAAAAGTGGAGTAGCTCTTAGAACAAACACAGTTGGAGCGCTTAATCATATGTTTAGATAACCTCATATGTAGTGTAAATATACTGTTCGTGGACAAACTGCACAGATATTCTTTTATAAAAACGCTTCAAAGTCATTTCAGAGAGGCTGCAGAGGGTTTCCACTGGTTGTCATGTACCTCACCTGACTTAGGGGCTCCACACACTGTGCAGTTTTTGACAACATCAGACAGAGACTGAGAATCTAGAGAAAAATTTGTTGAAATCTTTGGATGTCTCAAATTAGAGTTCTGGCAACCAAAGACAGTCTGACACTGTTAAAAATGTAGGGAGGAAAAATCACATTATGGCTGCGGTTGAAAAGTGTTTTTTGCTTAGGAAGGTTGAAACTGAGTGAAGTGAGCTGAAGTATCTGAGCAGCATCATGATCACAGCTGCTCCACTTCTCTAAATGATGAGGAAAGGAGCTTCAGTGCTTCCTATCTTATCTCCTTTAGCATAGGAAACACTGGAGCTTCCTTTATGAAAGGAAAGGAGAATATGCCGTCCCACAATTCCTTGCTGCAGCAACATTTAAAGCAATGCACCATTGTAGTTTCACCACAGCAGACCCACATAAATGTAGAATCAACAGAGCAGCTTTTTTATGTTTCTGACATGATCTAAAACTGATGGAAATCCTTGTCTGATCGACTGAAGCCCAAATCCATGAATATAGATTCATTCTCTTTAAATCCAATTAGGAGTCATCATGAAGAACAAGCAGATTGAATTTCTTATTAACAGTATCATCATCATAACAAAATACTACAGTCTATACAGAAATGTCATTTCACTAAATCCCCTCATTGTGTAAAGCACTGAAAATGAATTTTATCTACTTAACAAATGTATAGAAATGGCAGGAAACTATGCTTTTGTTTGAATATAATTTATTCTGACCTCTTGCTCAGTTCCTTATATCTATTGAATTATTTTAATGGCTCAACTGTCTCTGTTTGTATTTTTCTTTCATGTTTTCTTATTTCAACATTTCAGTCCTGTTTGCTTTGTTTTTCTGGTTAAGAAAGGAGGATTTATCATCCAAGTGTTAGGTAAAGTTAGTTAAAAAACTAACAACAACCTAGTTCCTGAGAACTACTTGCTACTACTAGCTTGTATGCTACTGCCTAAAACATATTTGTCTCAAGCTGATTTGGCAAAATCAGCATTTTGTAACACCCTGCACGTCACTCCCCATCTCTCTGCACTGACTTCCTGCCTTAGTGAAGACCTAAAAATGCTCCTGAAATACTTCTCTAACTCAAATTCAACTATTAATCTAAAATAAGTTAAAAATAAAACAAATGATTAGCATAGTTGTGCATGGAGACTTTAAAGTGTGTGTGTGTGTGTGTGTGTGTGTGTGTGTGTGTGTGTGTGTGTGTGTGTGTGTGTGTGTGTGTGTGTGTGTTGACACCAGACACTGGGCCTGTCCTCTGCTTCCACTGGGATGTTCTACAATGGAGCTGGAGACTTGGTCCTGCATTTCATTGCCCAGTGCAACTCACAGCTGACAGAGATACTGGCTGAACAACACAAGCAGGTCCAGCTGGGCCAGGCTGAGTACGTACACGCTCACACACACACACACACACACACACACACACACACACACACACACACACACACACACACACCTGCAGTCCAATTCTACTGTTAAAATGTAAATTCACTTAACTTTTTACAGCCTAACCTCAGACAGACAATAAATCTTTAACATTCAGTTTTCATGGATTTCACAAAAAAGCATTCTCCTTTTTCTCATGTCACAGAACTACCATTTACAGTCTGCTGTGTTTGTAAGTGCTAGAAAACTGATGAGCTCCAAATAGAAAATTGCACATTTCAGCTTTTAGCTTTGATACCTGTGTTCCAGACCAAAGAAGACTGCTGACTTTCTAAGAGATGCTGTTGAGACCAGACTGCGGATGTACATCCCCTACATTGAAACATGGCCACAGGTATAGTGTGCATGATGATGAGTCATAAGTGACATGACCAGGACTGTAGCAGGAACCACATTTGATCCCCAGCTTTGTGTCCCTGTCGTCAGGCGATGAGCATCCTGCTCCTTCCTCACAACATCCCTGACAGTCTGAAGCACCTGTCCAGCCTGGTGGACGACATCTGGTACTATGCTGGAGACCGATCCACAGACGTGAGTGGATCCCATCACCCTCGATCCCCTTCTTCTTCTGCTCATACCTTCCTGTCCCCCTTTCATCACCACCCCCACAATATCCGGCCTGCCACCTTCCAGGTTACTCCCCCTTCCCCCACCAACCGTGTTTACGCCATAGAAATGACAGAGTTCTTATCTTGTATGTGTTCGTCTTATCATAGCTCCAGTCAAAAGTTGAGCAGAAGTTTCAAAGACTTTAGTAAGTGTCCATGCTTGAAAGGCACAGTGTGTAACTTCTACCCCTAGGGGTCTGTCAATCAGAACAATAACAAAAGACGGTGAAATAGCGTGGGATCATGAGAGTTGTTTGGATTCCTTCAGTGTCAGTGGGTCAGGAAATCAAACAGACCTGGTGATTCTAACCATTAAAAACACTGAATGAAGCAGTTTGACATTTAAAGTCAGAGTTTGAGCGACGCTGTACGGAGGACAGAGACTCAGGGAAGAGCTGGAGCTGAGATTGATGCTAACCTTTGTTCTGATTGTTTCTCTGATAACTTATGAAGCAGACGTTCAGCAGGTTTTTACCAGCAGCTGAATGATCCACAGAGGTGTCCTCCTCTCTTCAGTGACACAGGACAGGACGTCTCCAGCAGCTGGGAGCTGAGCTGTCTAACATTTCCTCAGCTTGTTTCTCTGATAACTTCAGATCCAGACGTCCGACGACTAAAATCCTTCATCTGCTTCAAATATAGAGCTGAAAACCACCAAGGTGGAAAAAGTGTATGTGGCTTAAAACTAGATAAAAGTCAGTGTTGAGCTTCTGTCAGACAAACACACTGACACATGATCATAGAGGATATGATGTCACTGACAGGCGACCAATGAAACGGAGCGTTACCATGATTAAAATCACAGATTTCTCTGGTTTGAGAATTGATGGAAACATTTGTGTTAATGTAAGAACACAACTCAACAACATATAGAACACAGGTCTAGTTGTTGACATTTGAATGTGGAAAAGTTACAGATTAGAACTTTAATATGATAATGTACTCTGAAATATCTTTATATAGGGAACTCATGGATTTTCAAATTGTTCTTCACCTCATTCTCATCCATTATTATCATATATCGGGACATCTGATCATAAATTATCCCTTACATAATATATTCTTTGCTTCCCATACAGCCTGATAATAACATCAGATGTGTTTGTCAGTGTGACATCTGCTTTCAGTGATTGCTGACTAAATATACATATTTTAATTGCTTGTATTTGGGAAAATAACCAAATGCAAATACAATATATAAAAATCTGCCAAATTTCAATGAAAAAAAAGGTGATAGAAAGAATAGTCACAGATATTTACAGTAACGGGGCACAATTTTTCTGTTTGACTCAACACACTTAATACAGATTTCAGAAATTGTGCAGATTCACAAATCATACTAAAGAAAACTAATGGTGATCGGAGAAAATTACTAGCTAGGTTGTGCATTTGGAAGGTGATAGATTTGATAGCAGGAATTACAGTAGTAGAGTAGGATAGATGAGCTGTACTTACCAACTCATAAAGCAGAACTCCAAAACAAAAATGTGGTTGAAAAGTGTGTATCTTGTGAACCATTTTATTGTAATGTTGTGACAGCTGATTTATGGCTTTCAGGTCATTGTCAGAGCACCAGACAGACTTGTGTGGAGAAATACATGCAGCAAGATTACAAAAAACAGCTCTTTATGCAGATGGCAACTGGTCAACTCCAGAATCTTGCCCTCAAAGATGTTTTCAATCGTGATATGTAACAGATAAGGAAAGGCTAAAAACGAGAATGTAGCTGTACCAAGCTAGCCTGATTTACTTTTATTGCAAAAACACTGTTCCCACTGAGTGCCTGCTGGAATAGTCCTGTGCTTTTAAATGATGTCCCTCCTTGAACAAACTGTGTCACAGATGTAGGAGTGTGTCATAGGAAGTGCCGTTTTAACTTGTTTCTATCTATAATGTTGCTCCTCTATTTTCCCTTGTTGCTGTTGCACTTTGTTGAATTTTAGTATTTAGTATATTGAGTATTTTTCCGTATAGGTTTCATATTCTATTTCATTTGAAAATCAAGCACAATTAGTTTCCTTCTAATGATATCCGCAGTTGAAATTAATTGTCTTGCTTCTTTCAAAAGCTCATGATATGAACTTTCCGTACCACCACCACCCCTTTCTTACACAGATGAACTGGTACACCAAGCGAGCAGCACTGACGGGCATCTATAACACCACAGAGCTGGTGATGGTTCAGGATTCCTCTCCAGACTTCCAGGACACCTGGAACTTCCTTGACAACCGCATTCAGGATGTAGTCAACATGGCGGGCACTGCCAAACAGGTGACATACAGTGCACTGTCTATAGCCTCAGAGAGTTGAACAACAGGTCAAACAAATGAAGTGTGGTCATTAAGAAGTTGTTTTAGACTCTGTTTGACACTTAGGAACACCCACCTCTCTGTGTTTCCCTGTGCTGCACCCATCACTGGAATAATTTTGAAACTGACCTCAGATTTAGTGTCCTGAAAAATCTCATTCTCCTCCTACTGAACAAACTTGTGCATTTGTGTTGTTTAAGTTGTGTGTTCCACTTTGATCTGTAGGTGCAGTCGACTGGTGAAGCCGTTGTGCAGGGGCTAATGGGAGCTGCTGTAACAGTAAGTATTTGCATTAGTGATCTTGTTCATCATTTGTATGTATTCTTCTTTTTAAAACTTCTTCACCCACCTTAAAAATAGCACACTCTTTTCTTTTCTTTTTAAATGTATACTTGCAGTCCAGTAATCCCTGTTCTTAATTTTAAACCTTTCCCCATGATGATATTAGTAATTTAATCATTTTACAAAAGTTAGTTGTTTAGAAAAATATGTGAAGACATTTAAATGTATTTATAGAATTGTGGCTCATGCAAAGCGTTGTGTTTTACAGCTGAAGAATCTGACAGGAGTGAACCAGAGGCGATGATGTACAAACATCTCTCAGTCACATTGATCCTGACAAAACGTCTAGTTTGTGTCACGAGCTGAAGATCAAGTTATTTTCTTTTTGCTCTTGTTTCCGATATTCTGTTTGAAATGACTCTGAAAACATTGGATTATGACTTTTATTCAACAAGAGAAAGCTATTGTTTGTCACGGGCCGCAGGTCTCACCTTGTGTTCAGCCGCAGGATCAGTGGCTTTGTCCAGTTTTGTGTTAATGCCCAACATTTCACTATCTTGCTCAGATCATTTTCTCTCTTTGTATAAAAGGACACACAGATCTGTCATTTTGTTGTTGGATCATGAAAGACTTCAATAAAGTAGCTATTATTGTATATTTAACATTTGTCTTTAACGTTTGTCTTTAATTATCTGATTAAAATTGAATGAGCTAATAATCCAAAGGTTGAAATCAGACAAACACCAGGAGTCCAGGTGTAAAAGTCACTATTATGTAAAGTTTTCACTGGAATAGTTTAAATAAAAATAGGCACCATTAGAATCATTTAAAAATATACTACATTAGATTTTACAGATGGGTTTTTGACCGTCAAAATCTATGGAAGCCAAGCACTTAAAAATATTTTTTCATGCTATTATTCCAAGATCACGAGTAACAAATTTTTTTTTCTCGTAACAATGGGTATCAAGTTATCCAAAGAAAACAAGCTTTGTTATCTTGAGATGAAAAAGATAATCAACCCATTATCACAAGAAAACAAAATCTTGTTTCTTTTTATTACTTTAATAACCAAATAATTAACTTGTGATCTTGAAAGAATGGCATTCAAAAATAATTACAAGTTGTTCTCGGCTTCCGTAGAAATCAAATATCTCATTGAAACAAATCTTTTTTTTCTCTTTTTGTAATTAAATATTTATTTTGTAAACATTGTGCAGTTACAGTGACAGCCTTGTTGTACAGATCAGAATGTATCACACCTCTTAATGTTATTTTACTTCATACATCATGTAGACTGTTATGTTTAGGAATAATAATAATGATAATGATAGTAAAGAAAATAAATACAAGTAATAATACAATAAACACAAAGAGAGAGAAAGAAAAAAGTTTCATTGAGACAAATCTAATCAAAAATGAAAATGAGCGCTTTTATTTTGAAGGAAAATTTCCAGGCATCTATGACCCGGATATTAAATTAAGCCCCGCCTCCATGCTTCATTGAGACCAATCGCTAATCAGATTTCCGTCTACTGGCCAATCAGCGGGCGGTAAATATTTCCGTGGAGGCCTTCAACCAGGAGCAGCGGTAGTGTTGTGTGTGTGTCGAGTTAACAACGTTAGTTTTAGGCGTCTTTAGCTTCAATTATGCCGTATGCTAACCAGCCGACGGTGAAAATCACAGAACTGACAGACGAAAATGTCAAGTTCGTCATTGAAAACACTGATTTGGCGTGAGTATGCCTTACTTGTCCATTCAATGAGTGTGTGTGTGTATGCTATAGAGCAGCCATTATTCTCCACAGTACCAAAACACTGATGTTATGAGACTTTCCACGTTAAATAACTGCACATGATACAATTCCGCACAAAAAGTCTTATTATTATACGGTCTTATTTCCGTGTGTGAAATGTGTGTGTTCGTGTCTTTGTTGTCGGCATAAATGTAAACCCAGTTCACCAAGAGATGGACACAGGGAGAATGAACGATACACACCACTGTTGTCTTAAGTTGAATAATGTTTCATCCTGGGTGTTTGGGAAGGACTGAAAGTAAAGTCAAAGTATTAACATTAACGATAGCAGAAAACTGGATGATGTTTGTTATATCACATCTTGAGCATATGAACAATCTTCTTATTGTCTGTATGTTTAAATCTTAAGAAGACAACTTTCATCGGACAGAATTCGGTGGAAAGACGTGATTTAATTTGTCTTAATTTATCTTTCAAATAAAAGACCACAGTAAATACTTGGCTTTGCCGATATTCAATAACATTGAATATCGCACTATTTTTAAAATCGGTAAGACATATAATAATTAAACACCACATAGATTGTTTGATTCGCGATTGGTTTTTGAGATCTAGGCTATAGGTGTATCTGTCCAGTTCGGGAGGTAGGGTTTATTTTACTGCTGCAGCCCTGCATTTATTAAGTACTTAACAGAGAGTAGTAAAAAAAAAAAAGTCGAATGTTTGGCTAATTATTTGCTGTTGATTAGAATACATTCCGAAGTAGACTATTAATAATGCTTTTAACTGCAGCAAGTATCAATATCAGTATTGATATCGGTGATCCTGGCCTGGTATAACTTGGTATCAGATTGAAACCAGATTGTCGTTGTTCTATTATTCTGCAGTGGTATGAAACTATCCTAGTAAGGATCATTAATGGTCAGTTAAGTGTGAGTTTTGTTCACATCTAAAAGCATCTGTCTTTCTCTTTTTCAGGGTTGCAAATTCTATACGCCGTGTCTTCATGTCAGAAGTTCCCACTATAGGTAAAGTACATTGTTGTTTGGCTTGATTTACTTTTCACACATTTGGTAAGAGCCAATAAGTCACACCAATAGAATTAGAGGAAATTAGTCTTGATCAGTTCAGTTTCAATATTGATCTGCATCAGTATTGTTATATAGCACTTTCTCCCAACAGTAGTGCGCCACAAAAACTCTAAATTAATAACTTATATTACTTTATTATTTACAGCGATTGATTGGATCCAGATCGATGCCAATTCCTCAGTACTGCATGATGAGTTCATTGCGCACAGAGTCGGTATGTATCACAGTATTTGTGCTGAGTTGTTAATGTCACTTGGTGATAGTAATTTGATACAGAGTTAAAAAATAACCACGAAGGTCTCGTACATGTGAAGGTGACTGTTACATGTTTCCTGTGTTGTCAGGTCTCATACCTCTCACGAGTGATGACATTGTGGACAAAATGCAGTATTCTAGGGTAAGTATATTTATATCAGTCATTAATGAGGGAGCCCAGTAAGCTTTAAATGCAACACCATTAATAATGGACCACTGATGGTACTGAAACACAAGTGACACTCTAAACCCAAGACTACATATGACAGACAGACAGACAGATAGACAGACATTTATTCATTCATTCATTTATTTATTTATTTATTTCCACCATTGGTCAGCAGAGTGCCGGTTTCCCGGCTGCTCTGGAACTGTAGGGAAGAGAAGGAGCACTTCCAATACACTGAGCCTCGCCTCCTTTACAGCAAATAAACTACTTTCATTACATGTATCAGTATTACCAAAGGAGGTAGAGGAATAACTAAACATCAGACACACGGAGCAGAGGGAGCAGGAGGGAGGGAGGGAGAGGGAGAAGTCATCAGTAACGAGGCTTCGTACTAACGACTATGATCAACTCTACATATCAAACAGAGGGAGTTAGACATAAAGACCTGCCTTTGATAAAAGTTACATTCTAGTGTTGAAGTAAATAAAGACTAAACTATTCTGGATCCAGACGGAGGCCGTGTTCTGTGTGACAGACTAAATAAGAAAGAGAGTCTGTCTCTTCTAACTTTCTCTTGATCATGTTACAGTAAATACAGCTGAAACACAGCTCAGTCTTTTTCTTTCAGTTATGTGTTTGGTGATTTTGTCAGAAGACATCTTATTTATAAAATCAGGATTTGACCATAGGAGGTCCAGACATAGACCAGGTTTTGACCCAGTCTTCTTTTTTTTTTTTCTTTTTTTTATTATAAAATCGATAAAAAGGGTCCTTATATTTTGTATATCGTTTATCTCTGTTTGTCTAGGACTGTAATCGTTTCATGGCATTTTCTTAATACCATGAATCTTGATACACAATCTTGTCTATATTGGATTACACCCATAACAGACATCAGCTTGATTGGTTCCCATGGGATTTGCTGTACCTAAACAGACATTCAATACAGTTATTTTTAATTTTTTAATTTATTTTTTTTAAAGAATTTTTTGGGCTTTTTGTGCCTTTAATGGACAGGACAGTAGAGAGACAGGAAATGGGGAGGCAGAGAGAGGGGGAGTGACACACAGGAAAGGGTCGTCCAATGCGGGAGTCGAACCGGGGGCCAGCTGCAGCTGTATAATAATGTGATATTCTATCTGCCTGTCTCCGCCCCTCCTGCAGGACTGTACCTGTGATGATTTCTGTCCAGAGTGTTCTGTTGAGTTGACCCTTGATGTTCGATGTACTGAAGATCAGACGCGTCATGTCACCTCACGTGACCTTTTATCCAACAACCCCAGAGTCATCCCGGTGAGTGGTTTCTCTGTTTATTGAAGTTATTACATGGAAGCAGAAGAGAAAGCTGACAATGTTTTTAATTTGGCTTCCCAGGTGACTTCCAGGAGTCGAGACAATGATCCCAATGACTACGTTGAACAAGATGGTAAGCTTAAAGTCGTCCGGGAGGATAAACATTGGTCTTTCTCTTTTCCTTTGCCATATTATTGCTGTTTCCATCAATTAATCCCACATTTCAAACATCTACCTTGTCCTTACGTCTTCCTTTGCCATTAACTGACACAACACAGACATTTTGCTGGTGAAGCTTCGTAAAGGTCAGGAGCTGCGACTCAGGGCGTACGCAAAGAAAGGCTTTGGTAAGGAGCACGCCAAGTGGAACCCAACAGCAGGGGTGTCCTTCGAGTATGATCCAGACAACGCACTGAGGCACACAGTCTACCCACGACCTGAGGAGTGGTGCGTTATTTATTCTAGTATTGCTCACCATGAGGGTTAAATGAATAATAACAACAAAAGAACTTCTTGCAAGGCAAAACAAATTGCTTGTGCATATCCCCTGACTAAAATCATATCACTCTGGTTTCAAGGCCGAAGAGTGAATACTCAGAGATCGAGGAGGATGAGGTTCAGGCTCCCTACGACCCCAATGGAAAACCAGAAAGGTGAGGCAAGAATTTTCTTTATACTTGGGTAGACTTATAATTCAGTTCAGTTCAATTTTATTTCGGTCCTTATTAATATTTATACATAGTAAATACACATAGAAATAAAACACACCAACATTGGCCTAAAAGGTGTAGGCTGAAGTGTGCAATATACAGTTCCTATTTATTTCTCTGCCATCATGCTAGCTAACCTCACAGTCCCCACCAGATTGACACCAATTAATCTGAGGGGAGTTGGCGGCTAGCTGGGGATTCATCTGATTGGCCAAATGGTGTGAATAGGGCTCCGTTTTTCTTTTTCTAATTCATTGCGTTTCAGTCAGTCTTTTGCAATGTGTTTATTGCACATGTTCATATCAATGTGTCAATGAAAATACAATTTTCTCGGTCCCTTGCTCTTTTTAAATGTACTCATTCCCCTCAGTTCATACTCTGATTTCAGACAGCCTCTGAATACAGTTTGGGAGTAAATTATGTTGTGCTTTATAAATTATCTGTGCAGTTTTAAAGTCAACCAGATCATGAAATTTTAAAGCATATGAATGAATAATATTGGGTTGGTTGGTTCATAATAATCAGATTGATTGATCATTCTCATAGCTCTCTTCTGCAGCATGTAAGTAGAGTTTGTGTTCATTTTATCAGTGTTTCCCCATATCTCCACACAATAAGTAATGTATGGTGATATGAGAGAGCAGTATAATATATGTAGGGATTTCTGGTTCAAAATGTGTTTTGCTCGATGCAACACTGCAACACTTTTAGATAATGTTGTCTTTACATTATTTATGTGTGGCTTCCAAAATGATTTATAGTCACTTGTGGTAACTTGTTTTTTGATTTGCCAATTTCCTAATATTATATACTTAGTCTTAATTAAATTGTATGATAACTTGAAGTACAGAACATGTTGTAGACAAATTTGGTAGCAGGGCAGCAAAATGCAAACATCTACAACACGACTCATCCACAGCTCATTCTCCCTCCTTGCAGGTTCTTTTACAACGTGGAGTCATGTGGCTCCCTGCGACCGGAGACCATTGTCATGTCAGCGCTGGCCGTCCTCAAGAAGAAGCTGAGTGACCTGCAGACCCAGCTGAGCCATGAGATCCAGAGCGACGTGCTCACCATCAACTGAGGACATCTCACTTACAGACCAGGACTCGCCCTCACTCAGCTTTGTAATGATCAGAGGGGCTGACTTTAGGATCACTGTTGAGGTCACATGGCACACGTCCCAGTATCGTTTATGGAGTTGATGGATTTTTCCAGCAGCAGCAATTGTGACATAAAGCGGTTGTGCTAAGGAGGCCAATGCAGGTTCAAGTGTGTGAGAGGGAGTTTGTCTCAGAAATTTATTTTGTTGCTGTCAGTGTAAATGTTGCCTTTTAAATAAATCTGTTTTTGAAGAACTTGGGTGTTCATCTTTAATTGTAATTTCTCAGTGGGTTTACTTTTCATTTATATGCACAGACTATAAACACCTGGAAAACAGGGGAAAAAACAAACCAGGTCTGCACAAGAGATTCATAGTGATTCTTAAAAACTCAACAAAAAAAGTACTAAATCAAGAATATTTATCTGAGTGATTTACAAAAGAGAAACAACATTTATTTATTGGTCAAAAGTCTTAATTATTGATTGATTGGTGCCTGAGGAGCTCAACAAGCAGAAGTTAACCAGCCCTGGTTCCAGGCTTCCGGGTGGATGGATTGGGAACTGCACCTCTGTAAAGGACTCAAGGATTTTGCATCTTTATATATCCACTGTGGAAGGTGTCAAGTAAAACACACACAACCAGAATAAATCATAAGGAAGGTCGGATAGCTTCAAATTAAAAGCACAAATGTGAAACCAACCAACTAAAAATGGGGGTTTGTTGTAGTCTGAAAATGTTGCTTTTTTTGGTTGGATTTTCTTAAGGGAGGCTTTTATTTTGAATACTTGCACGAGGCAGTCTTGTGGGTTTCAAGTGCGACACAGAGGATATCACACTCCCAGATGGAAGCAGAGGTCAGAGTGGCTCTGTGTGCGGACATATCCGGACAGGAGGCTAATGATCTGTGGATGCTGTGAGATGTAGCTGTAATCTGGGTCGACCTGCCAGGGAGGATGCTATGTTTTTGCGGGGGATGACAAGGCAAGTCGTTTTCTGTTGTAAGAGGAAGTCACGCCGGTCTTCATTCGGTTTTCGGGGCTAATTTAAAGCTTCACTTATGAGCAGCAAATGTAACACGAAATATTAAACCGCACAATAGGGGTACTGAATAAGTGTAAGCAACTGTTTAATTCGGCGTATATATACACTACCAAGCAGCCATAAAAATCAATATAAACCCCAACTTTAATAAATGTGATGTCACAAGATACCGCCCACCGTGGTGCATTTGTGGGAAGGAAGTCTCCGTAGTAACGTACCAACTCTAAAATCGGATTTTTTTGTTAAATCATTGGCACATTATTAGATGTAGCCAAATGGAACTCGACGTTCTGATAAATTCTGAAATCTTGTTTTATCAGTAATATATTACAACAATCTGGCCAGGGTCCTCCTCCATGTTAAAGGACAAGGAGGTGTCCTACAGTGCTTGAGTTTGTGAGGGTGCTGCATTCATGTAAATGATGTACTGATCTGATCTCAGTCCTACACAACATAGATCACAGATTCAACGATCACAATGGATACAAAGCACATACAATATTAACAATTACAGGAACTATTAACAAATATAATTCCCCAACTCATGCTAAATGTGCTCATAATACATATCCAGGTGGTATTAATGAATACTGTTTACAACCTTTTGTCCATTGCCCAAAACAGCAAAAGAAAAAAAAATCATTTGAATTTCTCAAGCTTGAAATAGGTTGTGTTTCCTCTATGATTATAAATATAGATTTTTAGATTGTTTTTATGTTTAAACATTTTTATCTTACCATATTCTGAGTTTTACTTGCCATAATTTTTTTTTGTCTTTAATAAAGAGAAAATAAACACTTTTAAGCATTTGCTAACTCAACATTTCATCTAAACAATCTGGTATGGCAGTGATGAGAATGTGATATTTCAAAGCAAAGTATGTGATAAGCCCATCTCTGTTTTTCCTGAAGTGGATTCAACCGACTCTGATCAATTCTCCCCTGTGGATGAACCCTCGGACTCTGATGGCTGTGATGAGGAAGAGGTTCGCCTCTGTCTGCTCCTCTTCTTCAGCTGAAGAAGACAGTGCAGGCCTCTATGACAGTGCTCCCATTTCTTCCTCTGATCCACCCAGTGAACAAGAACATCCTTGTGCATCTCTGCTCTGGTAAGCTATCTCTGCTGCCTCCATCACTTGTTCCAGTTGTCAGCTGCCACATACAAGACATCAATAGTGGAGGAAGTGCTCAGCTCTTTTTTATTATTATTATTGAATAAAGTAGCTGTATTACACTGTAAAAATTCTCCATTCAAAGTAAAAGTCCTGCATTAAAAATGTTACTAGTGTAAAAAGACTGTTATTAGCAAAATGAAAATCTAAAGTAATCAATGCTGAAAAATGGCCTGTGTGAGTGTAGTACTAATGATGAATTTGAAGCATTTTATTTACTGTTGAGAAATTAAATATTTGACAAAGCATGATTTCACAAACTCATATGTTTTGTTATAAAAACCTGGTTAAATAAATGTAGAAAAGTCAAATTTAGTTAAGTAGAAGTATTAAATGGCAATAAATACTCAAGTAGAGGTAGCTCAACCTCTGACTTAAGAACAGTACTTGTGTTTAAATATACTTAGCTACAGTCCATCAGCGGAAGACAGGTGATCACAAAAATACGCAGAACGACCACAGAGACAGAGACAAGAGACGTAGAGACACAAAGTGATCAGAAAGTGATGCGAAAAAAATTGCCCCACAACAAACAAAAGAGAAACAAAGCAACTACAATGAGAAGCAAAATGACAACTATATTTTAAAACAAGTAGAAACACCCAGAAAGCAGTTTACCTTTAAAAATCAGCGATTCACTGACACAGGACAGGACGTCTCCAGCAGCTGGGAGCTGAGCTGTCTAACATTTCCTCAGCTTGTTTCTCTGATAACTTCAGATCCAGACGTCCGACGACTAAAATCCTTCATCTGCTTCAAATATAGAGCTGAAAACCACCGAGGTGGAAAAAGTGTATGTGGTTTACAGATAAAAGTCAATGTTGAGCTTCAGTCAGACAAACACACTGACACATGATCATAGAGGATATGATGTCACTGACAGGCGACCAATGAAACAGAGCGTTGTCATGATTAAAATCACAGATTTCTCTGGTTTGAGAATTGATGGAAACATTTGGGAAAATGTAAGAACACAACTCAACAACATATAGAACACAGGTCTAGTTGTTCTTAGACATTTTAATGTGGAAACGTCACAGATTATAACTTTAAGAGAACATTGTTGTTGACACCTATACAGACACCTGCACTGAGAGCATGTATAGTATGTGATGCAGGTTATTGGCTGAAAACAACCATCTACAAAAGGACTACCTGATCAAAAGTAATTAAAGAATTTCCAGGGGGACTACACTGGTGAGAAATAAGCCTCACGCACAATGAGAACTAAAAAAAGTCACTCTGTCTAGTTGCCACAGTGTCCAGGACTCTTTGCTGAGCTCCAACAGCAGCTTCACCAGATACAGAGGCATCCTCAACTGGATCATCATTCTCTTGGTCAGTTATCTCTTCTTTTTTTGTGGAGTAGATAGATATTTCTTAGTTTTTACTGAGTTACCAAACATGTGCTTTTACAATAAGAAGAAAAGCTCTGAATGAGGACCAACATTGACTGACTGTCGGTGTGTGTGTTTTCTGATTTTCAGGTCCTGACTCATGCTCACTTGTTCTTAGAGAACTTCATACAGTGAGTATAATGGATGCTGCTTACACTCACTGTTTAGGCAGAAACTCTTGTCTACTGTACATCTTCTGCTTAGACTGAGTTTAGATTTTGGATAGACTTTCACATCCTCGTGAATGTTACACATAATTTGTGTTTAATAATAATATTTTAATTCGATATTAACTTCTAATGGGGTTGTGGATATGAGAAAAGGTCCTTTTTTAAGCATGGGCGCACATGACTAAAAGCAGCGAGGAAGAGTTTATTTTCTTTGTCAAATCGTAACTGTAATCAAAATTAAAAACTCTCACCTCTCAATCTTCATTTTTAGCCAAGCTAGCAGCATGACTCTATGGCAGTGTTATCAGTATGTCGTCCACCTCCTTGGTCCAGACTGAAATTTCTCAACATCTATTAGATGGATTACCATGAAATTTTGTACAGAAATTCATGTTCCTCAGACTTTGAATCTTAGCGATTCCTTGATTTTCCATCACCAGGTCAAATTTTCTATTTATACCTGCAAAACTAACAATGTTCCCATCTGCTGAACTTTGTGTTTTGTCCTAATTAGCAAATGTCAGCATGCTAACACGCTGAACTAAGAGGGCAGCTATGGTAAACACACTGGCTGTATAGCATCAGCATGTTAGCTCTGCCATTGTGAGTACTGGTATTAACATTTCACTCAAAACACTTCCCTGCCTACCTACAGTCTCACAGAGCGACTAGGCTGTAAGCTGCGTCTTCATGGCATATACACACTCTCTGCTAACAATCCCACAGTGTAATGTGCATCATTGTACATGTGAGAAGATTACAGTCACCCGATCCTCAAGCTCTCAGTGTTTACATAAAAAAAAAAAACAATTATTAGTATGCGTCTGAAATCTGAATTTACTGCACTACTACTGTGTAAACTACTGAGTGGCCATTAGACAATATGAAGTGAATGAGTGAACAAGCAAGTGATTTCACAGCCTTAAAATCTTGTTTCCTCATATATATAATTTAATCTTCAGAGGGAAAGTTCAGTCTTTATCTTTAAAACAGTAGTTTGGAAGAAAATAAATACAACTCAAGGTCCCCTTACTAGACTTCTGTGGAGCTTTCAGCCATAATTCACAATATGTATCAGCAGATGGAGCTGCATAATTGCTTAATTCACTGGACTAACTCCCCTGATGAGGAGTTGAGGAGACTGTAAGATAAGATGCGCCCAAAAGCTGTGAAAAAAGCTAGTAAGTGGACCTTGAGTTAAAGTTTTTTTTAAATTTTTCTTTTGTAAAACCATATTTTGTCATTTGTAATTTTGTTTAATTAAGTTTTGCTTTTGCTATATAGCCAACGTTAGTATTAACAGCTGTTTATTTATCAGTCCTGCCAAGAGCCTCAGCCATCATTGCGTTTATAAGATAAGAGGTTATAATATGCCCTCTGAACAGCGCTATTTCTTCAGGGCAGCCTGGATGCTCCAGTGATGAGATGGGCCATTCGGGCTGGGGATAGCTGGTTAGCATGTTAACTTCAGTAGAAGAAAATAAGTGATAGAAATCACAGAATGCAAAACAAAAAGGTTGCTTAGCCACAACTGGAGACAGCTCTTGGTAACTAAAGGAATTAAGTTTGAGGCTGAACTCACAACGTTTTTTCTAGACTGTTTCAAGCTGTAAATGCTAATATTAGCTATGTAGCAATAGCAAAACTTACCTATAGCTCCTTTAAACATTCACCATATACATTATATCATTTATATTTGACTTTTGTCCTTTGTTCTCCTCCGAACAGACATGGCTTTTTGATAGATGTCAAAAAGGTCTTTCAGCATCTCATTGAGGACAACTGCAACTGGCCGTCTGTCAGCCTCTTCCTGGGTGAGACTCAGTGCAGCAAAAATACCAGCATCCATAAGATAAAAGAAATTTACATCAGAAAACCTTTAGGCAATGATTAGCCCCTATATGGGGCTAGGTAAAACAACACGCTGAGCCTGTTGTTGTGAACATAATATCTGTATTTCTTCCAGGAGCCAACGTGTTTGCTATTACAGCTTTGCTCCTTGAGAGGTTTCAGGAAAAGGTGAGATGAGTCCATTTTCTTTTTCTCTTTAATTTTGGCTCAAAGATGCTCTGATTTACAGTAGATAATACACCACGATTTAATTCACACCATATCGTATCAGTTGTGCTTGTATCAGGTCAAATTATTTGTCAACTCACAACTGTCATTGAATGATCAACACTTCTGTTTTATCCATTTCTGTCAGGGTGTGCTGTCCCCCACCAATGGCCATCGTTTACATCTCGCAAATCTAGGGCTGCTCCTGCTGTTTCCTGCTGCAGTCATTGTGCATGAGCCCACAACATCGACGGGTAACAGCTGTATGCATGTGCATCAGTATTACATCACATTTAGTGTGCATATATGATACAGTAACTAAAATGTATCGGTTCAGTCATTGTGTTCAGGTTGTCTGTTCGTCTGTCCCATTCTCGTGGACGCGATACTTCTTCAAATTTGGCACAAACATTCACTAGGACTGATGACATTTTATATCCACAAGGTCAAAGGTCAACTTCACTGTGACATCATAATGTTCTGCAAAAACACTTCGGGCCATTATTCAACACTGTATCTCAGGAAGGAGAGACTGAGACCAAATTTCCTGTAACTTGGCTGTTTGGTGGAGGAAACAACCAGGAGGTAGCTGGACAGCTTCACTATTCAGTCAAATGGAAATATTCTATCATCTTATAGTTTACACTTTCCTCATACTTCAGCCTGACATATGTGATATCTTGCTCTAGAATCAATTTCTACATGTTAGACCAATGTTTGTCTCAGCTCATTGTGCTGTAAATGATGTTGCAGCCTTGCTGGCATGTTTCTGTTTTGTCCACCAGGTGGAGCATTCTTCTCTCTCTGGCTCTACACTGTTCTTGGGATGAAGCTTTACTCATACCAGGAAGCAAATCACTGGTACCGACAAGCTCATTTAACTGATGCAGGTGTTTACTTCCCCAACACCACAAGTTGTACTAACCTCAATTTAAGACAAAAACAAAACTAATCCAACAAATGATTTCACATCTGTGTGTTTGTAGATAAAGACCAGAATGGATCAGTTGCACAAAAAGCCCAAAATGAGCATCTGACCTACCAAGGTGAAATGGCTTGTTATGCTTAAGGTGATGCTGATTTCTTTACATTAACCTGTCATCATACATTTTGTCCTCTGTGATTCTGTGTTTTATTTCTCAGATCTGTATTATTTCCTCCTTGCCCCCACTCTGTGCTACCAAAGAGATTTCCCGTGCACTCCTAAGGTCCACATCAATAAGCTACTGCACAGGCTGCTGGAAATGGTGAGCTGAGAGAGTGGCATCTGTATCTTTTAAGGTTTGATTGATGTTTTTTTATAGGATTTTTTTGGACCTAGTCTCTTTCCAATATATAAAAAAATCCCACATTACAGCAGTGTGGTACGTATAATAATTACAGCAGTAATAAATAGTTATCCTTTGGCCTGAGAGGGTTTTTACCATGGAAAATGTATAATTCCTAAATGTGTAATGCCTAAAACAAATCAAAGAAATAAAGTTAAACGCGGTAGACACTGTCACATGTTTTTCATTTGTATGCATGCACGTACTGTGTTATAATTAAATGAAACAATTAAACATTTATTTGTCTTGGGGTTCTGCCCCTAAAAGACATAATTGAACAGTTGATACTTTATTACTTTTCCTGTAACATCCCTGGCCCTTCATAAGATAGATAGAAACACTGCACCTTATTAATTGTTGCATCTTCTACTTTTAGGTGATCGTCATCCAGATCATGGTCGGCATTGTACAGCAGGTACAGCAGCTGGTTAAGCTCTTCCTTCTTTGTATAGAATTTTTGTGATGACACCATCCTTGTCAACCATGAATGTTTCTTTAACACCTCCAAAAGGGAGGAGTGTATTGTTTTAATTGTTTTTAGATGATATAGGTATATGGCTATAGGTATGGAAATGTCAGCCTGTTGGTTGGGCTGAAATATCTGAACAAGTATTAAATGGAAAACCATTTAATTTTGAACTGACATTCATGGTCCCCAGAGGATGAATCATAGAGACTTTGGTAATCCTCTGACTTTTCCTCCAGTGCCATCAACAGGTTGACATTGGCTTTTGGTGAAATATCTTGACATCTATTAGATGGATTACCTTGTAGTTTGATGCAGATGATAATTGTTCTTGGACAGGAGAAAATGTCAAATTATCCACTGCTTTGGTTTATGCTCAAATAGCAGCAAAACTAATGATACTTTCATCAGCTTCAGCTGTACTTTGCTTATTAGCAAATGGTAGCATGCTAAGATGCTAAACTTAGAGGGTAAACACAGTAAACATCATACATGGTTAACATAAGCATGTTAACATGTTAGCATGTTGACATTAGCATTTAGCTCAAAGCTTTACTTAAATAAAGCCTCACAATGGTGCTAGCGTGGCTGTAAACTGAGCCTTGTTTCTGAATGTGTGTATTTACCTTGAATGCTGTTACTGCATTGTGACTGTGTCTTCTGTGTCTTTTCCCCTCAGTGGATCGAGCCCATCTTCCAGAGATCAGAAAACTCTTTCTCTGTGAGTGAAACACAGTCCCTCTAATAACTGACAATATTAGGAAAAGACCTCTTCCACACTCACTTATTCTTATTCATAGAGTATGGACATTACTATGAGAGTGGAGCACCTGGTGGGACTGGTGGTGAGTGATTTTTATTTATTTTAACATTATATTCTATTGACTTAAGATATCTTGGTTTGAATTTTCCTGAACTATAAAGCACTTAGCCAGTGTAAGTTGGACAAAGTCCACAGCTCTATTAATTGAGTCAGAGTACAGATCCTCCTTCTAGATTCTCAAATATGACTCCAACTGAAAGTTGTTAAGTTAGATTTTCACTAGAGTTAAAGTACTGGAGTACTTGATTTCAAAAATACTTAAGTATTCAAGAGTATCCTACATTTTCTTATGTCAACGCATTGTTGCATTGTTCCACATTTACAGAATCTAATGACTCTGAAACAACCTGCTGACTGACTGACTGGCTGACTGACTGACTGACTGTAGAACCTGTACAATAAAAACCTGCAGAATATGATACAAAGCAACGAATGAATGAATGAATCAACAGCAAGAGCCAACTAATACAAACTGTTTAAAAGTTTATCCTCAACATGCTTTCTCAAGTTGAACAGCTTTTTTTTTTGGCAGTGATGAAGTTTGGTCGTGGTAAACACAGCAAACATTTCAAACTAAAAGAATCTTTATTTTTAAAACTTTAAAAATGGACTTAAGGTCAGAGCATGCTCTCTAGTGAAGAATCTTCTGCCTCATCTTTATCTAACATTGAAAAATGCAGCAATCACAACGTAACTGACAGTGTATGGTCTATCACATTTTCAAAAATAAAAGAAAATTCACTGTAAAAGCTGTGCTTCAAAATAACGAGTTCGTCATAGAAATGTAGTGGAGTCAAATGTACAATATTTATCAAGTGTAGTCGAGTAATAGTCAGAAGTTTTTAAATAAAATAACACTCAAGTAAAGTACAGATACTGGAAAATGTATACTTAAGTACAGTACTCAAGTAAATGTACTTCATTACCATCCACTCCTGATATGAGATGTCAGTGTACAATAAACGGATGTAATCTCTTTGAGGGAAGTTGTCCCAGATGGTGGTGATGATGACAAAGGAGGGGGAGGAGCAGTGTGTTTGGTCATGATGATTAGAGATAAAAGTATGTGCATCATCGTACATACAGTATGTCGCACAACAACACTGGGAAAGGAGAGAGATTGCTGTTAAACGTGTGCTGTATTGGTGTTGCTAACACATTTTCTTGTCAGGCACCAACCCATTTCCTCTGGCTGCTCTTCTTCTTCTTGAATCACTCCTACCTGAATTTCTGTGCAGAACTCCTGCGCTTCGGTGATCGCCATTTTTACGGAGACTGGTGGTCAGTTGCACAAATCGGTGTCTGTACATTGTGTCGTCGCACGCGCAGAATCACTGGCTCACTATGTTTCATCTTTCATTAACAGGAATGCTACAACTCTGATCACTTTCTGGAGGAACTGGAATATTCCCTTTCAGAAATGGTGTCACAGGTATTTTGGTCAGACAGGATGAAACAGCCGTCAGTTTTTTACTCAAATGACATGAATCCTAAATAATCCATCTTTTGCTCTCCCCCTATGACATGTCTTTGCTCCTGATGTTCTCATTTGTGTGAAGACATGTATACACACAGCTGGTGGAAAAGAATGTGCCATCGTCACGAGCAGAGTTACTGGTCTTCCTGATGTCTGCAGCTGTTTGTGAGGTAAAGCACAGATACCTGTATCTACCTGTATTAGCCAAAATGTGCTGATGTGTAGTATCAAACTAAGTATCAAACTTTAGTTGTTTTCCTTACACTAATGTGATTATGAGTTGGGTTAACAGCTCGAATTCACAAAGCATTTTATCTTAGCACTAACAGTCTTCCTAAGTCACACTAAAAGTCCTCTTCACAAAGCTGCTGAGCCCAACTTTTACTAAGGAAGAGGAAAAACTCCTGAGCTAAGAGAGTGACTCTGTTGCTATGGCTGACGTCAGTTTTCATGGATGACCTCACTTGCAGGAACCACAGTGATTGGCTGATGAAAGACCGTCCGTGCCGGTGAAAATGCATGCGCGACATCCCGCAGTAATAATAAAAAAAACAGTGAGAAATAAAAGAATACAAATTAAATAATAATGGATTAGGTGCTGTTTACTAAAGTAGTTCATTCTCCAAAATGGATCTGTATGATCAGGTTTGTGTCGAACCGGGAGAATTTAATTTGACTATAAAAACTTACATTCAGTTCTCTCAATGGAAAAAAACACAAAAACCTAACCTGTCCTAGACGACCTAACTAAAGCTAACTGGCAGCCTATTAGCCACGGTCTGTTGCAGCTGTACCTGTTGTAATGTAGCTGTGGTCCCAGCTGTGGGTTGAGGTGTGAGAAGGATCCATGACTCGTGTGTAGATCCTGGCCACTTTGCAACATTGTCTACAACTGTAGCATTGAAAACCTATGGTTCTGATCACACTTGGTAGACTGGCAATTGCCATGAAGCTGCTTTATTTCTCTGTAGTTGTTGATCATCTAAAAGAAAACGTATGAACTGTCCTATGATGTCGCGTCAGAGCGCATTTATTGTCTGGTGAGCAGATCGGCTTCTCTCTGTTGCCAAGTTGCAGTGTTGCCAAACACTGATCGGTTGTTTTAGTTGGAGATGTTATTGCATCTTTCACAAACTCCACAATGACCATTATTCCCTCATGATTGAGTCGTATCTTTTAAGTAATTCAGCATCGTGTAAGGTTTCCAGAACACTGTGATGTGGAATGACCTCAGCCCTTTAAGATTGTCTGTGATTTGGTCTTATTGAGTTAGGAGTCCTCTCCACTGCTTCTAACTTCTCCCAGGCTTAGGAACTATTTTTAGTGTAAATGGCTTTGTGAATAGCTCTTAGTTAAAAAAAAATAGAAGTCCTAAAGTCAGGACTGACATGGCCATTATTTTAAGGAGTTTCTCCTAAATCGGCAAGTTAGGAGCTACTTTTAGCCTTAAGATGCTTTGTGAATATGGGCCCAGGTGATTAAAGATGCTCCATTTTTAATCAACCTCACTGGTTTCTAAAATCTGCAGTAGCCTATTTGTGAGATGTGGTTACATGTTTTCCACATGTGCTCCACATATTACAACCTGTGGTAACATCTTTTCCACATGGTAGCACATGTTGGAGTATGTGATATTATGTGACACTTGTGATCAAATGTTGGGAACACATGTGTCTGTACTGCCTCCTTTAGCACATTGTTTTGGTTTTACAACAAGGCCTGCTCTCATAAACCATCACAGAGGATTAAGAACCAGATATTTGATTAAGCAGATGAAGACAAAACCAGAGCTAAAAGAATAATGACTATTGGTATCACAGCTATCATGTGAACACAAACATGACTCCCAGTGAATGCTAATATTGCTCCGTGTCTGCTGGACCTGTTAATTGGAAATTGTTTACTAATGCACTTTAACACTTTATAAGGTCATGTATTGCGTTTTCAGCATGCTGTGGAGCTCCTCTGCCCACTCGGGCCAAAAATAATCAGTTACTGCAGCTTTAACAGAAAGGTTCACATATCTATCTTAAAGTATTTCTCACATTACTCACACATTTCAAGTTATTCATTTCTGCGATCATTCCTTCTTTTCCAAACTCACCATGAAGAGGTCTTCTACACAGTCCTCTCCTTTATGAGTTCAGCTGAAGCTAATATCAGGCTTGAGCAGTGTTAGTGAGTCAAATCCAGTAATTTTCCAGTTACAGTTGCAGTGTTGTTAGTTCAAATTTACCTATTTTTGTAAACTGTGCTGCAGCAAACTGCCTACTGGAGGATCATATTAGCTCCACTTGACCTTTTAAAGGCATTTTTGCATAGGACACAGTCTGTGGATTTTGTCCCCCATCACTTGCATAGTAAACGTTTATGGCCAGTATGCACAGGAGGAACAATTACAGCAGCTAGGAACTCTTGAAATGTACACAGGTTCACTCAAGTAGTCATTAGTAATTGACACTATTAAAATCTTTTGCCACCAAAGAGGTGGATGATTTCTCTGCTCAGATATCTTTAGACGTATGTACATATAACCAGCTCTTATCATGTGACAAATCATTGTAGTAATCAATTATAATACATTTGTAACAATCAAACTGCATCATGTTCATGTCAGCCTATTAACAGCACAGTAATAATCTGTGGTGATGTTTTTCCCTCTCTTCTACACAGTATATGATCGCACTGCCTCTGCACAGCTGTCGTCTGTGGATCTTTCTCGTCATGGTATTCGAGGTGAGAACATTACATTGTATTCACATGGATCCATTAGGAAAAAACTGTGACTTAAAGGGAAACTACAGTTTATTACAACTTTTCTTTTATGTGTTCTGTTGGTTATGGCACCACTGGGAACATGGCTAAAAAAAAAAGTTTCAATGGAGCAAGAAACACAAACAGTCAGACATTCATACAGGATGTAAACAAGACAACAGGTAAGTATTCTTTATTTTGGAGAAGGGAGGCAAGCAGTAAGATTACACGTTGTAAACATCCACCGTGGTTTAAAGACAGACTTCCTGCCATACCTGTTGTAGGCACTCACAGTTTTCCTGTTTATTGAGGGATTATTACCATTTTATCACTTTCAGTTTGACTTCAGTTTTTACTTGTTGTCTGATCTTCTGACTGGTCGTTGCCCTGTTTGACTTATTTTTAACGCTGTCACTACTTTTTTTTTTATAATGACCAATAAAACTGATGGCTACAGTAACTGAAATGAAACCTATGTTGCAATCAACTGTATTTTTCCTTTGAGCTCTCAGGACACAGCTATAAACAAATGTATTTACTCTTCAAAGTTATTATTTATCTTACTATATGTTCTTAACTGGTGAAAGGTATTATTTTCTCTTTGATGCTTAAAATACACTTAACGTGATGAGCTACAGAGCTGGCCATTCATTTTCTATGAGAAGTGGCAAATAATTTGCAAGGAGCATCACTCTAGCCCTCAGTGTAGACACAGCTACTGTATTGATCCATATTACTTTAAACCTAAACTGCAAAAACCATGAAAGCCAGCAGTAACTGTAAGCTGTAAGAGCAGACACCCAGAACATACAGAACATTATTATTATTAGTGTGCAATTATTTTATGATTATGCCAAACAAAGCTGGAGGACAATCTATGTATTATTAAAGCTCCATATTTTCTTCTTCACCTGTTTTTTATTTGAAGTGTTGATCCATAAGAAGATATATTTGTGGTTTTAAGAACCAAAAACCATCTCAGTGTAGTTTCACATCTCCTCTCTCAGGCTTCTCTTTGAAGCACTAGTAACAACAGATCAGTGAGCCAATCAGAAGAGAGGAAGCTCTGAGCCTCTCTTCTGATTGGCTGAATGTTTACTAAGTGATCCAATAAAAATAAAGCAGATTTCAGGTAAACACCCAGAGAAACTAAATCCTGCAAGGTTGGATGGTGGGTCCAGGTGGGCGGGGCTTGGGGCATGGCTGAGAGCGGTGACTGCTTTGTTGTGACATCACAAAGTTCCAGAAGTCCTGACGGCTGGTTTTAAGGCTCAGTTTCTGAATACAGGCTGTGTGCATTTCTCTGTGGACTGAGGCTTTGATACTTTCACAGTATTAATATAGAACCTAGACCTGATCTATAATCAAACAACACATGGACAGAGACCTTTAGACTATATGGGACCTTTAAAACTTGGTGTAGTTTTTTTTTTCTTTAGCTAACACTGTGTCTTCTCTTTGTAGCTCTTGGTTGCAGTTTTCCTGAAAGACTATTTCCAGGGAAACTATGGCAACGGTTTAGTGTGGCTGTGCCTTCTGCTGGGCCCACCTCTGGCTGTGATCACCTACTTTCACGACCACTACATCAGCTTCCACAACTGTCATCAGTCATCATCCTCACCACTGATATCAGTCCACCATCTTCCCAGCAGAGTTTGCCTGCAGCCTCAATGACCATGGAGAAATGTCTGAAATGTATAGATACTTTATTGATCCTGAAGAATATGAAGGATCTGTAATATTTAACTGTATTTATAAGCAGAGTGAGAGGATATGACTGTCATCCAAAGCTCATGTCTGTGCAAGAATCCATTCAGATCTCTGGAAAACCTTTTGAAATTATTCAGCAACATATATATATATATGTATATATATATATACATATATAGTACATATGTTGTATAGCTCCATTAATGTACCTACGGACTTGCATATAATGCTACTATACTTCTGCATCAAAAAAAAAACATCTGAAAAATGAAATGCAATAAACAACTGATTTTGTAGTTTTTAGTCTAAATTTGTACATCCCATTCTTGTTGAGTGACTGAATCATGAACAGGCAGGCTGCTGCAGGCTCAGCCAATGTGTTAGTCAGGAAAGGCCTCCATGACGATTATTGGTAGAAGATAAGGTTGCTGCTTACACACAGCTGTGCCAACATGTGGTTAAGAGGCCCAAGTTTATTCAAGTTTACCGTAAGTTTCATGGACACGGTCCAGTCAGGAAATACAGGGGATGATTGTACCTCATGGTTCAATGAGTCCAAGTGTGGAATTATTTAAAGCATGTCTACCAGCCAAGGAAAGTTTATATAGGCCTCATAATTCCTCTGATGTATTTTTATGTTTTATTTTATAGCATGTAACGACTTATATAGGCCTACCACAGAAATATGTCATCATTGTTAAAAAACAACACTTTACTTTGATTTTTCATCATTAGATAACTCTTAGATACAGAAGACATTAGACATTTAATGTGATGCTTTAAAGTGACTTGTCAGAACTCAGTGTCTGTACTGGTAAAAATCATGATCAGTACATGGTGCATAGACTGTCATAGTCATAGTCAGTGCTCTTTCCACCGGGACAGCTAAATGGAAGGACTCCAGATTGCTTGTATGACGATGGCAGGATAAACCCTCTTGGATCAGTACAGTCAGCATCTGCCATGGTAATTATCACACGGAAAGTATGAACTCATTTGTCAGTTTATTAGGTACAACTAGCTGAAATTAATGCAGCCTCATACAACCATCCGTTAATGAATCCTACTTCATGAAGGTTTCAATGTTCAGTTTCTGTTGAAACAGTGTTAAACATGTTGATTCAACTATACGATCATTTTGGAGCATGTAGTTTGTGGTGCCATTTAACTGCAATGTGTTAAACCGGTGTTACTATTATTTTGTCCACCCCATTCAAATCAATAACACAAGGCTAAACAACACACACAGTTGTATAATGCAGCACAAACTGCAGCTTCTAAAGTCAATTTACAGTTGAAGAAGAAGAGCTTATTGCAGGTTTCTTGGATGAGGATGCATTAGCTTTAGCTAGGTGTTAGGTGTAAACTGCCAACTGATTATGCATTGAACTTAGTCAGCTCATTGTATGGTATATTTTAATTGACCATAATCATTATTCCTTACATATTTTGAGAGACAAGGCAGTTCCCTTGAGCTCTGTGGAGCATATCATCCATAGATTGTTGCGGTGGTTTTCCAGCCCACAAACTCCACTCGCATCACCTTGTTTCCAGCAGACAGATGTTTGTAGTGAAAAAGCTCTGATAAACTGACTGTATATGTGACCTGTCCAGCACCATACGGCAGAAAAAGGGATCAAAGAGTGGAGCGTTGTGCTGCTAAAGAACCAGGTATTTTTCTTAGAGGTTGGTAGAGACCAAAAGAGAGCAAGCAGAATAAGCATCAAATGATCTCAATGCAGAATAATCATCCTTGTGAGGGTTATATAAATATATATTTCATCCCTGAATTATTATTACTGGTGCATTAATGTGTAAGTAGCTTTGTTCTGTAGTTTATTCCAATGTTAATCTCAACATTACATAATAACATTAACTTAAGATGATTACATGTTTCAAACACATAAAGCAGTGGAGTAAAAAGTACAATATGTAGTGGGGTAGAGTTTCCTCAATTTGTACAATGCAGCAATTAATTGAATGTACTTTTCTACATTCTTCCACTGTGACCTATTCATGTTACAAAGCCCCACAATTTCTGTAAAATCACTTAAATCTTGTTTATAGGCTGGGAAATATGTTGAATCAGAGGTTTGAGATGGCGAAGGATCCTAATTGTAGGTGTAGCCGCATCTCTTTGGAGCAGTGGCCTCTCCAATGGAAACTGAAGAAACGAATGCTTGTCGTTTGAGAGCTGCTCAGACATGGAAGGAAGCAACACGAGAGTACAAGAGGTCATTTTGAGATTTGAACAGAAGAAACTTTTTGTTCGGCCCTGAGCCTCTTTCTTTTGTTTTTTTCATCTCTGGATATTTGTGTGAAGCTTCAACAGACATACATGAATGATATTTTACAAAGGGGATAATGATTGAAACAAACTTTTATAATTAATCTATGAAATAATTTCCCTTTTCTCTGAAACTACAGTTCCTCTCTGTGGGTCCAAATTTCAGCAACAGTTAATATTGTCACAGCCTGCACTTCCTGGTTCGGATCATTCATTGACTCTGCCACGCCCCCGCTCCACTCAGCTCCACTGCAATCAGGACAGTCACACACACCTGCTAATTACCTGCTCACACACCTGATTCCCATTGACTCTGCCACTGTTTAGTCTCCAGTTTTCCACATTGTCACTGCCAGGTTGTTCTTTCTTCTTTCCCATGCAAGACTTTCTTGCAGTCACCATTTGAATCTGCTGTTGCTGACTCAGCCTGTCTTTGATTGTCCTTCATTGCCTGTTCCCCGGTAAACGACCTAGCCTTCTAGGACTTTGCCCTGTGTTTTTTGGTGTCTGTCTGTGGCTTTAGGTCGTTGTACAGCTGCAGCGTTTTGAAAGTGAGTCTCTGTAATCAGCTGTTTCCCCGTGGAGAAATGTTGAGTTTTTGCCTGTGCCATTTTCTGCTATAGATTCCTGCCTGCATCATTGTCTGTGGTAAATATTAAAGGATATTAAGAACTGAATCCTGAGAGCTGTGTGTTGCATCTGGGTCTACCTCCAGTCTGTTACAAATATGCTTCTGTTCATCCATGAGGGATGAAGATGAACATTGTTGAAAAACCTTCGCTTTCCTAGACGGCGAGCAAGTGATATAACTGATATAAAACAAGCTTTTCATTTTTAGACCAAATGGAAAAACTATGAGCTAAACAAATGTATTTATAAATGGTTGATTTAATGAGTTTTATGCTGAAGTATTTATTGATTATACATTCTTTTTACAATTCCTATTTTTAATGCCTATTGAAATATGAAAATAAGGAAATGCTTTATTACTTTTCCTGCGATATCCCTGGTCCTCTGTATTCCAGAGCCACTGTGCGTGGCCTGTTTTCAGATTGTGTATTTCCACCTGTAAACCTTGTAAAAGGAGCTTCTTCTTCTCTGGTTTCTAATCAAATTTATGGAGGTTTATTTACAGTGGTGTTCTCATGTCTGTGTGTTCAGGTCTGACTGAGCCATGACACGGGTTTTTATCTGATGAGTTTCACATGTTTTTGGACATTGATATCTGATGACTTGTTAAATGATCTTATTGATCTGATTTGTTTTAGAGATCAGTTTGAGTGTTTTGATACAATACGTGAATAAATGTGACCAGTAAGAACAGACATGAGGAGCTGCTGACATAGATGAACAAACGTAGACTTAAAAGTACTCTCATTGTAGCATCGTAATTCATTTTGAACATTTCTAGCAAGATACAACAAGATTCCTTTTTTACAGATGGGTCACTTCAATTGAAAACCAGCTGTATGAACATTTACTTACCTGATGTACCCATCAGCAAGAAGACATTTTGATCTGTGGCTCCTATGGTTAAGGCTTAGTTAGGTTTACTTGGTCAAGGTTAGAGAACAATTGCAGTTATTGTTCAAAGAAAACAAGACATAGTACATAACACAAAGTGTGCACTTAAAAGGAAGAATCAAAAGCAGTGGTGAAAGATTAAGAAGAAGGAACCAGGTAGTATTCCAGGGAGGATCACTTTGCTTCGGGCTGAGTCCACAGAGAAGTACAATACTGCAGCACAGAACCTCAGAAGAACCTAACAGAACCTCCTTAACTTCTCCATCCTCCACCAGCCTATTATACCAAACTGCAAAGAGGACGATGTCAGTTATTTTCCTCTCTAAATAACAAATTCCAGTAAGTAACAGTTTACAATAAGCTCAGACAATAAATCTTCATGACTACACAGTCTGGTGTCAAAGGATGCAATGGCCCGTGTGAGTTATTAACAGTGATTCAGCAGTTACTCATACATTTCAGTACATTTTTACCACACCTCCTTTTTCTTTGTTGTGGGCTGCATGGTGGCTCAGTGATTAGCACTATGCCTCACAGAAGAGTCTGTCTTTCTGTGTTGAGTTTCCATGTTCCCCCCATGTCTGTGTGGATTTCCCCCATGTGCACATGCAGCTCAGATGAACTGGCAACTCTTGATTGCTCAAGAAATATTGGACTGCATTGTATTTGCTTTAGTGTTTCCATAGTTGTTAGAATTTTGAACGTTTTGATACCTATTGTTTTATTCCTTGCTTTAATATTTGCTTAATAATATTGTAATTCTTTTTTTTGCAATTTTTTTAATTGTAAATGGAAGTGTTAGTTATTTATTGAATTTATTTATATTATTTTTTTTAAGTGATAATAAAGTAATAAAGTGACGTGCATCATTATTTATTACCCACAATCCTTTGTGGATTGAAGAAAAAAACACCATACCTAGGGTCACGTGATATTGTCACTGAGGCGGAAATGAAAGTTGGTTAGCGACAGCGGCGGAGCACAGCTGAAAAAGGTATGAGAAAGATTGCATTTAAACCTCATTTTTTAGCATGTCACTGGATGTGGCTTGTTCTGACATGAACCACGCAACTATCAAGGTAGCTTTACTTGTTGTCAGGTGATTAGAATAGGTTTTATCGGCATGTCCTTTTACGAGATCCCCCTACGATGCTCGGTTGCTAACAGTTAGCTTCTTCTAGATCAAGTTAGCCACAATAAGCCACATCGTACCGGACATGCAGCGACATCACCTTTAAAACAAAAGCAAGAAACGGCCTGCTTGTTAGGGAAACGTATATCATTTTACGCATCGTTATTTTCTGTCAGTAAAAATTCGCATCATTTTATGTGTGTGTTTTTTTTAATGTGCGTTACATTAGTTATAACAGGTTTGAACATGGTTATAGTTGCCAGTTGAGTTTTAGTTTGGAAAAACTGTCCGGAAGTGTCAGCGTTGTTTTTCTCTGGCTTGAGAGTGATGCATACAAAT